TGCACTTATGGATGCATTCATTGATTATTTAAAAAAATTTTTTTTATTTATTTACTTTTAGAGAGAGGGTAAGGGAGGGAGAAAGAGAGGGAGAGAAACATCCATGTGTGGTTGCCTCTTACGTGGCCCCCCACTGGGGACCTGGCCTGCAACCCAGGCATGTGCTCTGACTGGGAATCGAACCAGCAACCTTTTGGTTCGCAGCCTGCCCTCAATCCAGTGAGCTACACCACCTAGGGCCATTGGTTGATTCTTGTATGAGCCCTAACAGGACTAAACTGGCATCTTCAGTGTATGGAGATGATGCTCTAACCCAGGGGCACCCAACCTCTGGGCCGTGGACTGGTGCTGGTCCAGGTCTGCTAGGAACTGGGCCACACACCAGGAAGTAAGTAAGCTTGAATGTAATGAACTTGAGTCACCCTGAAACCATCACTGCCCCTCCCCCCTACACACACACACACACACACAGCCTGTGGAAAACTTGATTTCCACAGAACCAGTCCCTGGTGCCGAAATGTTTTGAGGACCACTGCTCTAGCCCACTGTGCTACCCTGCAGAGGTGCCTGACGATTTTTGATTGGATGCCAGACATTGTGAATTTTGCTTTTTAAAAAGATTTTATTTATTTATTTTCAGAAGAAAGGGGAAGTAGAAAGAGCGAGAAACATCAGTGTGTGGTTGCCTTTCACATGCCTCCTACTGTGATCCAGCCCTCAACCCAGGCATGTGCCCTGACTGGGAATCAAACTGCAACCCTTTGGTTCTCAGGCCTGCGCTCCTCAATCCACTGAGCTACACCAGTCAGGGCTGAGCTTTGCTCTGTTGAGTACAGAATGTTTTGGCATTTCTCTGCATGTTCTTGGGTTTTGTTTTGGGATACAGCTGAGTAACTTGCACACACTTTGATTCTTTTGAGGCTTGCGAGCTTTTCTTAGCTCTAATTTTTCTCCCTGCCCCTGAAGCTACCGATACCTTTTTGAGTATTCTCTTCTGTGCGCCATATCTCGGGAGGCTTTTCCACTGTGGAGCTCTCCCCAGCGTGTTGTGGACTCTCGGGATTGGCCTCCTTTTCTTCTCCAGTGGTTCATTCCTGGGCCTCTGGTAGTTTCCGGGTGGACTTGGGTGGATCATACGAAGATTCAGGGAGCCCGCTGCAGATCTCTGGAGCTCCTTGTGTGGCCAATTGTGGCACAGTGATCTGCCCGTGGATTCTAGCTGCCTTTGGCTTTGTGGTGTTCTCAACTCAGAGACCCTTGGGCTCCGGCTTTCCCTCTCCGCTCTGCGTCCTAGACACTCCATACACAGTCAACTGGGGCAGCCCTAGAGGTCATCTTGTTTAAAAACGTAATTTTTAAAGATTTTTGAGTTAATAGTGATGAATCTAAGTTTTGGGGGGCAGTTGGTCACGTTTTAAATGATAAAATAGCACTTATACAGTAAAACAAAAATTAAAATTGATCTTTTGTTAACTTAAAAAATTTTTTTTCACATAAATTTTTTTGTGGGGAGGGTTTAAGTACTTGCCAATTAAAGCCTTGAATAAAGAATAAGAATGGCGAGGAAGAGCAAGAAACTAGAGGTCAAAAGACCATAGACAGTCTAGTTAGAGATCTGCCATTTAACAAAGGCTGAGTCATTGGGGATAGAAATGGTAGGAATTCAGTGCTTCGTGTGTGTGTGTGTGTGTGTGTGTGTGTGTGTGTGTGTGTGTGTGTGAGAGAGAGAGAGAGAGAGAGAGAGAACTGAGCAGTTTCTGGTGAACACATCCTACATGGTAAGGGGAGGAGAAGGAAACCATTTATTCATGTATTTAACCTATATTGTGTACTTCCTCCGTAGTGTGGAGACTGCTGGGGTGATGAGTAAGGTACACGTGTGTCTCCTGAGAGCTTGCAGTCAGGCTGGGGACACAGAGAGGCATTTGTGGGGTGGCGAGTGCCATACATGATGGGGAAGTGCCAGATACCCTGGGATCAGATAGGATTGTAGCTTAAGGCAGATGTGGTGGGGTGGGGGAGGGTTCGGGGGTTGCGGAGAGTTCCTCGAAGAGTCATTGTTTTGGCTGAGTCCTCGGAGTTTTTGGGTAAGTGATGTCAGGTAGCGTGATTTCTCAGACTTTGTTATTCTTTCTCAAAATTGCTATCTTCTGTATTTTCAAAGTTTTACTCAATTTAGTTTTAGTTCTGTTTTTAAAAAACTATTTGTCATTATTTTATAAAAATGAAAAGTTTTTAAAATTCAGGTCGTACCAAAAAATGGAAAGAAAAATGGGTCATCCCAAATTTGGATCACAAAAGTGAGCAGTACTGACTTTTTATGACTATTTCAGACGTCTCTGTGTGCAGATCCACAGAGAAGGATTCACACGGAGACTCATTTTATGAAAAGGAATAAGCTGAATGCTGTTTTTTAGAAAATCAGTTTTGTGGGAAAAATAAAACAAAATTTAAGGCACAGCTGGTCAGGGCTCGTGGGCGGGTTGTGAGTTCACACGGAGATGCGCCCAGTCAATATTTCTCACGTCAGTGTTTCTTTTTCTCCCTCCCTTCCCCTTTCTCTAAAAGTAAATGAGTACGATTTTTAAAAGGTGGTGTTTGGTTTTTAAGAAGGTCTTTTGAGTGGCTTGTTCCACTGTTATTTTCCCATGGGTTTCAGTGTGATAGTATTGGTTTTCCTCTGTGAGAGTGACTTGGGTTGAGTGTTACAACTGAGTCTGGTCCCTGCTGGAAAACTTTTTACCTGTTGAAGTGACCTGTTACTGGGATCACTCTCCTGGCAGGAAGACACCTGTGGACTTTTAATGCCTTTCTCCCAAGAAAGCAGCACAGTGTCCTAGATTAATAAATGGCCCTGGCTGATGTCTGCGGTGCCTGTATCAAAGGCTTCCAGACCTAAAATTATCTTCACCCCATTATTACTTTACTTCTTTCCAAACTGCAGGGTATTAGAATTCCCCAGATTTTTTTAACTCACTTTCTTCTGTATTGCTTCATGTCGTGCACATGTGTGCACATATTCACGTGCACACATTTTCCAGATACATAAGGAGGGTGTGGGTAACACGTGTAACTTCTTCCTCCACCAATATGTGACTTCCTTGCTGGAAATGAAAAGCAAATTGTACCAATAGCATTAATTAAATAGTCCATACTTCCTTTCTGATTTGAAATATCTAAACAGGCTTTTTATTATCTGCTGAATGTTTGTAGTTCTGTCTCTAGATTATCTGTTTCATTCATCTGTTTGTTCATTACTAGCGTGTATCAAACTGTTTTTTAGCCCGTTCTTTACTATTAGTGTTACATTGGTGGGGGGCGAGGGAATTCTGAATAAACATGGTACGTCTTCTCCCTCTATTGTCTATTAATTGTTGAGTGGGTACAAAGGAATATTTTTAAGTTACAAAGAGTCACAATGCAGTGAATACCTATGTACTTACCACCGAATTTTGGAAAAAGAACTTTACTGTTACCTTGGAGTGTCGTGTATATTCCTTTCTATTCTAATTCCTTTTTTCTCCTTTCAGAAGTAACTACTGTGGATTTTGTGTTATTTTCTTGCTTCATTTGTAGTTTTGCTACATATGTTCTTTTCATTAGGCAATGTTTTGTTTAGATTTACAGTCTTTGTAGCTTAATAAGTTACAATCATTCTAAATGTATTTTCTGCTTGTATTGTTTAATGTTGTATTCTGATGTTCGTTCATATTGTTGCATGTAGCTGCAACATTATCATTGCTCCTTTGAGTTAAACTTTATTTCATTTTTTTCTAGAAGTTCCATTTTTTTCCTCAAATCCAGTTGACCATTTTTTATTTTAATTTGTAAAGGTTTTTCCTCACTAACAACCTTAATCTTTAGACATATTAAACATACTATTTTCTGATTATTTCACTATCTGAAGTCTTTGACAGACTCATTTAACTAGCTGTTGATCATGATATCCTAATTCTGTTTTGTTATTTTGACTGTAGGTTCATTTTCATTGGAACTTCATTTTTGAGAACTCAGATTCCAGAGACTATTTGGTGGTTTCTTTGGCTTACTTGGAGCATTACCAGTCTGAGATTACTTGATAATAAATTCTTCATCTGAGTATTTTCACATAACATAGCTTGAATTCTGGCCACTAATGTGCATGAAGGGGAGTTTTACTTTTCTGAGTAGAGACTGACAGCCTAGGTCAGATCGGGCGGCTTTATTCTTCTCTGTCCTGCACCATGGGTGCTCCCTCTCACCTTTATGACGACGACAGAGCCTCACGGAGTTTAATGTGCGGTGGTGGGTTGGGGAGCCTCCTCTTGACTTATTTGCATTGGCTCTGTCAGCCATAAGCTTTGTCTTCTTCCTCTGTGGCCCTCAGAGTGCGGGAAACACGATCAGGGTCACCGGATTGGATTCGTAGCTCGTCCTTGAGGCTCAAGCCAGCTTGCTTGCCTTCCTACTGTTCTTCACTTTTGGCTTTGCTAACTCATGAACCACCAAAAAAAATACTTTTATATTTTAACCATCTTTTTTGGTTGTTTACAATGGGAGTCATTCAAAGAATCTAGTCTTCTATATATTGGAAATGAAGGCTAATTTAAAATTTTTTCTATCTAAAGACATGTATTAAACTCAGTACCTAAGGTTACTGTGGGTTTGGATATTTTTTCATGGACTTTTTTCCTTTCACCTTAGTGGTAATTTTTCTCATATATATTAATATTTTTGGTGTGTGACGTGTTCTTTTAGAGTATGTCATGCAATAAGATTAATTCCAGGGAATCATGTATATCCTTAGAACAACTGGTTTAATGAATTTTTACTTTCCTGGGGTTGTTTGGGAAATAATTGTCTTAGGAGAGAATAATACCTTGAACTTAGAAGCACATAATATGTATTTCATAATTAGATTTTAGTTGTAGCTTTTAAAGTTTTGTGGGGTTTTTTCTTTTTATTCTGGTTAGAGATAGTAGAGATATATATCATAATAATGTCTTTTAAAAAAATTACAGTGGAAGTATGCAAGACTTAACAGCACAAGTGACTAGTGATCTTCTGCAGTTCCCAGAAGTGACCATTGAAGCCCTTGGAGAAGATGAAATAACTTTAGACTCTGTACTTCGTGGGAAGTTTGCTGCAGGTAAAATGTTGCTGAAAATTTACTAATTTGATTGATTTGTAAGATACTAATAAGCATCTATTGCGATTTTGTTACAGTGAGTGAAAAGCAGAGTCTGGTTAGAATGGTCTTAATGTAAATATATTAACATCTACGACTACAGCTGTAATAGCATCTACGTACTCTAGAACATGTTTTCAGTCACTCTCTGGGGGGGGTATAGTTTATTTTTATTATTAAAAGTACCATATATTTTATATCTTTTAGTACTGAGTGTCTACATTTGGAAAGTAGAAATAACATACAGCTGGCTTTTCTTTATAATTAGTATCTTTTATTGCTGAGTTTGAAGTAGAACCTAAACAGTCTTATAAATAGAAAATTTCTCATTTTTAGGGCCCTAAATAAGACAAAATATTCAGAAAGTCTTTCTGTCATTCCATTAATCTGAACAAGATCTCAGTATATGTTTTGGATTATATCATACAGCAGAAAACTGTACCAAAGAAGCCATTAAACTATGGATTTCATTTTAGTGAAAGATACTGCAGCTGACTTTTCTGAAAGTGAATATCATAGCCATCTTTCCTAGCAGGAAGACAAGCAAAGCATGTTTATTGGTCAATTAGCTATTTACAGTGCTATTCTCTTGAATATTAAAAGTAGGAGCAGTATTAAATACATGCTAGGCACGGTGACAACTTTTTACTAAGGTGAAGTATTAGACTTTTCTAAGCAGTCGCTGTTCTGTGTAGTTCACACTCAAGTAGTGAAGCAGCTTGGTCTTAGTTGCGCAGCAGGTGGCACAAATGAGCTCTGAACCCTCTGTGTCACCACTGTGCCGGGCTATTTCATCCAGCCCCATAGCCTCCCCCTCCGCCGTAATCTAGTGTATCCAGCTATCTCTTAACCTAGATGCCTGAGAGACGTTGCATATTTAGTAGTGAAAGTTACCACCATCCATCTAGCAGCTCAAGGGAAAATTCAGAGTCTGTTCCTGATTCTCCTGTTTCACTCAGGGAGCCGTATCTTAATTCATCAGCAAGAAGATCCTTTTAATTCTGCCTCTAACATGAACCTTCAGTCCATCAACTTTACCCTCTTGATGGCAACCAGTCAAGCATAAGTATCTTCTCCCTGCTTCTCTGTGCTTACCCCTTGTGGTTCATTCTCTACATAGTAGCTGGAGGGATATTTAAAGGCATAAATCAGATCCTCAGTGTCCTGCTTAATAGCTTCTAGTTACTTTACATTGCATGCAGATTAAAATCCAAACATGACAAGTAAAGGGCCAAGAAGGGCTTATAATATTTCCTATTATGTTAGTTATGTCTCATTTGGAATTTGAACTCTTCTGGAATAGAGTCATGTGTTAACATTTTACGACACCTATTTTAACCCTTAAGGTATAATGTAGTTAAAGTTTGAGCTTTGGAATTATACAGACTTAGGATCCCAGTTCTGGCTCTGGTTGGTATTATAGCGGTGCGACCTTGGGCAAATTATTTAACGGTATGAATGTTTGTTCAGTGGCTTTATCTCTGTTTTAAGGTATGACAAAGAGTAAATGAAATAATGTATTTAATCACATAGTATGGCTCCTTTACTGACTGGCTATATTATTGTGACAGTAGTTCAATTTATTTTGCTGAATTGAGGACCACTCTTTTATAAGTGTTTAGATTTCAGTTTGGAGATATGTAAAGTTTTGTATAATGAGCTATTATTATACATGTAAAAAGCTTGTAATTGTGTTGAGTACATACAGTATTAAAATAAGCAACATATTTGCTTTCTTTTCTTCTAGGAAAAAATGGACTTGCTTACTTGAGTTGTGGTCCACAACTCGAGGTAGTGCATTCTCTGACGGGAGAGCGCTTGTCTGCGTACAGGTTCAGTGGCGCGAACGACGAGCCCCCTGTAATCCTGGCTGTGAAAGAGTTCTCTTGGCAGAAGAGAACCGGCTTGTTAATTGGATTGGAAGATGCAGAGGGGAGTGTTCTTTGTCTGTATGACCTTGGGATATCAAGAGTGGTCAAAGCAGTTGTTCTTCCCGGAAGGGTAGGTACTGTTTAAGATGCGTGGGCATTCTGTTTTCAAAACTGAACCCCTTCTGGTTACACAGGCAGTTCCACTTTGTGAAAATTCACTGAGCTGTATATGCACTGCTAATTGGTTCACTTATATGGAAATGTGTTATTTTTCATTAAAAACTTCAAAATAAAAAAGTTTATAAAATACTTTCAAAATATTTACTACTGTGGGCATTTTTTGTGTGTGACTACAGCTGGCCCTTGAACAGTGCAAGGGTTAGAGGCGCTGATTCCTCCTCACCCTCCCTACCCCAGCACAGCTGAAATCTGCTTATAACTTTTGACCCCCCCCAAAACTTAATAGTCTGTTGTTGACTAGAAGTCTTACTGATACATTTAACATATACTTTGTATGTTACACGTGTTATGCACTGTATTCTTACAACAAAATAAGCTAGAGGAAAAAAATCTCAAAAAAAGAGAAGTGGATCCGTGTGTAGAGTTCAAGCCCATGTTGTTTTTAAGGGGCAGCTATATAGCCTTGGAGCAATATGGAAAACATGTCTCTTATTAGGATTTGAATGGTATATTCAAGTAGTGGTTTCACTTATAATTACCATTTAGTAATTCTGATATCTGTATGTCCTCCATATGCCAGGCATCTTACCCAGTAGTAATTATAGAAGTACTTTGAATTTGATTTGTCTTCAGCAGGTTTGTAGCTACTCTTCCATACGTGGTGAGAATGTGCATACACCTAAAATGCATGCCCACACACACCCATATAAAGTCATAGGAGAGTAGAATTCTTTCTACACTTAGTGTGAAAAAAGTATGTACTTTAGATGTGCATAAAAATGTACGCATGGCCCTTGCCACTGTGGCTCAGTGGGCTGGAGCATCATCCCGTGCACCAAAAGTTGGGGGTTCAATTCCTGATCAGGGCACATACTGAGGTTGCAGGTTCAGTTCCCGGTCAGGGTGTGTATGGGAGGCAACCAATGGGTGTTTCTCTCCCTCTCTCTAAAATCAATAAACATTTAAAAATTTAAAAAGTGTATGTATGTATATATATGTAATACATATAGTCAGGGGTTTTTTTTGTTTTTTTATGGGGTTTTGGGGTTTTTTTTAGATTTTTTAAAGATTTTTTTACATTTATCTTTATAGGGGAAGGGAAGGAAAGAGGGAGAGAAATATGGTTGCCTCTCATGTGTCCCCTGCTGGGAACTGGCCTGCAACTCAGGCATGTGCCCTGACTGGGAATCAAACTGCGATCCTTTGGTTTGCAGGCCCATGCTCAGTCCACTGAGCTACACCAGCCAGGGCTATAGTCAGAGTTTATAAAGTTAAAAGGGAGGTTAATGACAAAATATATGTTTACAGTTGAGGAAGAGTCTGTGGGCTAATGTGGAAGTCTGAAGTAATTTATAGCCGAGTATCTCATTTGTACTTGCTGGTGGTGGTGATTCTGAAGCAGAATTAACTTAGTAATACATATATTGAGTGCTTACTATAAAAAGCTATGCTAGATTTTGAGGATAAGTAGATGAATTGAACTTGGTTCCTGCTGTTAAAAAGCTTATGGTCCAGCAGGAGAAGACCAGTACTTGAAATCTTATCACCAGTGATAAATATAAGTACTTTCATAAATTTATCCATTTGGAACACGGAAAACACCTGAATAATTTCTACTCAAAAAGATTGGACATTTCAGGCAAAAGGACAAGAATGTAAAAAGTCACGGTGTATGGAGCATTTGGAAAACTAGGCTTATTTAGAATCACCCGGGGAGAGAAAGTAAGAAGTAGGAGCCAGAAATGGTGAAGATTGAGATTGTGAATAGCTTTGTTTGCAATTAGGGGCTTTCTCCTCAAGTCTATGGCAGAATCATTTAAAATCGAAAGCAGAACTCAAGTGTAAAGAGCTCCCGGGATTAGGGTAGTTCAGGTAAATGATGATGAACTGAGCCAAAGAAACCACAGTAGAAGCAGAAGGTGGGACAGCTTCAGTGTATGCTCTGGCGATAACACAGACAAGGCAGGACTTGATTATTTGCATTAGAGTAATTGAGAAGGAACTTATCTAAGTTTTTGCAGTTCATTTCAGTGGGTGGCTGGTATTACATGGGAAAGAGGATCTAGGAGAAGGAAAGGATATGAAGAATAGTGATAGGTAACATCCAAGGAAACTCAAGTAGCTGATTTTGGGGAGTAGGGCACGGTATTCCCTCTTAAATTTGTGTGCTTTTAACTGTCTTATTTAAAAATAAAATGCAATAGCATTATCGTTTAGTCCATATAGTATTTGTATGAGGAATGTAAGCTGTGACAGATTCCTTACCCCTCCCTGAGGAGATTAAAGAAAATATTCTTTAGTATTTAGAGACATTATTATCATAATTTAGAAAAGGAACACAATCCATGAGATTACATCTTTCAGAATTAGGAACACTATGGAATGTTTTGTTTACTAATGAAACACAGAGCCAGGCTCTAGTCTATAGTAAAAAAAATTATAGCCTGAAACAAACTCTCATTTTAAATTAACGTATATAACATTGATAACAAATTTCCTCTTTCTAGGACATTTATCAGCATTGTAGTAGAAATCACCAAATAATTATCACATAACATACCTGATTAATTTTGTAAATTAATAGGAAACAGAAGGAAATCTAAGTATAAAATAAAATATGGAATATTAGGTACAGACGTTCATGAGATGAAGGGAAAATACAACTCTAATGCAGCTACAGTATGATTTTCTTTAATTGCAGTCCTTGTTAAATGTCAGTGACTCAGTCACTGCTAACGCTTTGTGTGAAGTCCATTATAATGTAGCCCTTTTGAAGAACAGTATACCTCTATTGGCTGTAAGGCATAAACAGGACCCCCCCTTTTTTTTTAAGAGTAAACAGTAAATTTTTCTGGAATGCTTTACTCTTACTCCCCTTTAAGAGAAGAGGCTATATAATCCCAGAGTAGGCAGTTAAGAGCTTTAAAGTGAGAAAAATCCAGGTTTGAGTTTTACATGTAATGAATGTATGACTTGAATAACTAATAACTTTCCTAAGCCTCTGGGTGTTGCATCTTTAAACAGATGCAATTATAGTCCAATATCAAAGGGTTATGATGAATATTAAATAAACCAATTAGCACAGTTCCTGGCTTATATTAAATTCTCAATAACATCAATATTTCAACTGCATGACTTTTAATATACTGAAATAATGGTATAATTTTATATTGGAAGATTTCATTATGTTATTCAGATTCATAACTATCAAATGTATATTAATAATTTTACATTAGAAAATGTTTGAAAATGTCTATTATACCTACTAACCTGCTGTAACATCATCATATGTTCTACTTTCTAGGTAACAGCTGTCGAACCTATAATTAATCATGGCGGAGCCAGCGCGAGCACACAGCATCTGCACCCGAGTTTGCGATGGCTTTTTGGTGTGGCGGCTGTGGTGACTAATGTCGGACAGATCCTTCTTATTGACCTATGTCTTGATGACCTGTCGTGCAGTCAGAATGAAGTAGAGGCATCAGGTGATTGATCAGTCTGTGCTTGAAGCCAAAAATCAACCACCTCAATATTCTGATATAAGGGGCTGATTTTTTAAAAGGCAAAAATTTTTATATAGAAACTTCTTTAGGTATCTTTGTTTCTTTTATTGTTTGGACCTGTGTTTTAACGTTTTGGGCACTCGATACTTTTTACATTTTACGTGTTTTATTGATGAAGTATTCATATATCAATGCAGGTATTGAAAGAAATAGGGATATTGATTTATTTGTTTTCAGATATATACTTGCATAATATCTATTACTAAGTAAATGCCAAAAGAAGAACTAAAAGGAATAAAATCTTGAACCTTATCAAGATTTCATTATCAACTCTGACTGGTGTGGCTCAATGGGAAAGGTTGCTGGTTCGATTCCTAGTCAGGGCACCTGCCTGGGTTATAGGCCAGGTCCCTGGTGGGGGGATTTTGAGAGGCAACCAGTCGATGTTTCTCGTGCACATCAATGTTTCTCTTTTTCTTTCTCCCTACCTTCACCTCTCTCTAAAATAAACAATTAAAAAGAAATAAGATTTTATTATCCATCCACGTAGGCTGTAGCCTAGTGCTTTGACATTCTGTTTATGCTGCTGTACTAAGACAAGACAAATAGAGGAATTTACTAGGAAATAACCGTGACTGAAAATCTTCTCTCAAAAAAGAACATCCCAAACTAATGCTAATCAAATTTTTTAAAAAGTGAAAAGAGGCAGTGTTTTCTATTTAATAGGAATCCTTATATTAGCAGATTTACTCGAGCGCTTTCAGTTTTTGGTTTTTTGTTTAATTTATGGGCTCTTGACTAGTTTATGTAGGAAGAACTGTAAAGCTTTTTAAAAATGTATATTTTCAGGAAAGGACTGTTAGACCTTCAAGAAACTTTTTTTATTTTTAGAGGTTTGTTTTTTTTTTTTTTTTTTTTTTTAATAATGTTGTTTCTTTTTTTTAGAGAGGGGAAAGGAAGGAGGAGAAAGAGAAGGAGAGAAACATCAATGTATGGTTGCCTCTCACGCGTCCCCACAGGGACCTGGCCTGGAACCCAGGCAGGTGCCCTGACTGGGAATCAAACGCGTGACCCTTTGGTTTGCAAGTCAGCACTCAGTCCACTGAGCCACACAGCAAACAGGGCTGGAGGACCTTTTTAATTTTGAAAGCAATCCTGTACTATTGAAGATCTGTTCATTTACAGATCAGCTGTGAAAAAGATAAATGATCAATATTTTATCTCAATTTATAATAAGCATAATCAATGAAAACTGTTAGTATGTAATAAAACTGATTAAAACTGCAAGCTGTAAAAGTTTGACCAGAATTTGATTGAAGTACTTAGTCATTTGAACTAAATTTAAATCTTCAAAATAAAACCTGAAAAATTTGACTTTGTAAAAGTAATGGTTATATAGGCACTTAAGAAAAAAAATTTTACAATAATGAAAAATACCTTAAAAATTTTATGTGTACAAAGGCCTGGTTAATAAAACCCTGGGTAAAGTTTAAATTAATGAAAATAACTAAAAATGAATTTGTAATCTATTAGAAATGGTTTAACTGTACTTAATAGAGAATTGATAAAGGAATTAAATAGTCTTGAAGTTTTGTTCCAGAGTGTGTTTTGATACGATATCATCACAGGTGTAAGGTTAATTAAAATGCTTATATTCATAATTAAAACTTTTCAGAAAAAAATAGAGTTAAAACATCCTTTATTTCAGAAGTCAACAATGAGTAGTTGAGTTAGGACAAGGGTAATTTTATAATTAAACTCTGTATTGTGATCAGAGGTCCAGAACCATTATCTCAATTATGAAAATTAAGAAGGCATTGAATTTTTATAGCACACAAAAAATTGAGTTTTAGAGTTCAATGCAAATTTGTATGAAAAATAACTTATGATTACAACTCTTACTTTATTGAAATACACATAACAAAGAGAATGAAGTTCCTTCCCTACTTATAAAGACAGTTCTGCACTGTTTCCAAACCTAACGGTATTTCTTACACATCCTGCCACGAAAGTACATGTAGAGGCCACCTTTTTTCTTAAATAAGTCTACAGTATCTCACAGTGTGAACTGTTTATTTTGGCAAAATTTAATCACTTGCTATTTTCTGAAAAAATAATCAGAAACAGAAGGGATCAGGAGGGTAACTGTTCAAGAACAATGGGATAATGATTTTTGAGCCCCTTCATAATAGCACTGAGGGAATCTACCATTGCACAACAGTTATATCGATATACAGGCCTGAGTAGTTTTCTTAAAGAGTGCTAATATCAAGCAGATAAAAGAATTTAAGAATTCACACATACCCATTGTCTAAATTCAAGTTAGTTTATAAAATTTCTATACGTGCATGTTTCTTCTATTCCCCATTCCTTCAGCATTAATTTAAAGCAAAGATTATTTTACTACATAATCATGATGTCATTACCACTCCTAACAACACTAATACTAATTCCTCGGTATGGTCCAGTGATTTTTAACCACTATGCCATTTGAATTTATAAAACATACAATACCTGATTATTTAGTCAGGGGCAGTGGCCTCTTTTCCCTCAGATTGTTAAAACAGTGACAACAGCCAACAGGACAATAGCCATTTGGAGTGAATTAATCAAAATTATACCTACTTCTTTGCCAGATCACGAAAAGATACATATTTTGGTGTGCTACAGAATTTTAATTAGCTTACGTGTACCATGAGATGAAAAAGGTTGAAATCTTTGGTACAATCTAACAATCAGATTTCCGTGATCGTCTCTAAAGCATCTTTTGCATTTAGATAGTTTGAACCAGGATCCAGGCAAGGTCCACACATTACACTTGACATCTGTTTTCTTGAGGCAGAGCAGTCTTCTCTCTGTCCTCTTTTATTTTTAGCAACACTGACTTGCTGAAGAAGTTATCTGGAATAATGCCCCACATTTTGGAATTACCTGTGTGTTCCGTGTGTTACTTAACATTTTGTATCTGATTAGATTCATTCTTAACATTTGGGGAGGATACTTCAGAAGTACCGGATATTTCTGAATTGTCATATTGTATCACATCAGGAGACACATGGTATCTTGTTCACATTTAGTGATCGCTGGGTTCAGATGATGACAGCATGATCCTTCCTCTTCCTATTTAAAATTTCCCATCAGTCTTTGTGACTATCAGAGGGAGATGTTGCTACTGACATCTAGAGAGTAAAAGTCAGGGACACTGCCTCACATCCTACAGTGCACAAGACAGCCCCCACCACCACCACCCCGAGAAGAATTTACCTGACGTTTTTATGTCATTAGAGCTAAGTCTAACAATCTTGTTCTAAATTAATTGTTTTATTTATTGAGATTGTGGCCTAAATCTCTTCTTTCATTAGGTGATGATTTTAAACTTCTGTTAATGTAAAGAAGAATTTTCTCGTTAACTAGGGCTATTTGTTTAACCTGAAACACAGTTTTTACAGAAAATGCAGATAGATGCTTACCGTTTAAGTACTAATTTTTAGAGTAAGAAGCTGGTACCTGCTTATTCCCAGTGATTCAGTAAGGTCTTCTGTAGGTGAGCAGAGCAGAAACTCATGAGGTTTGACCTACTTAATGTGTTTCATTTATTTCCTTCATTACTATTTTAAAGTTATTTTTCACTTATAGTTTGCATTCTGTATTACTTTGTATTAGTTTCAGGTCATTTGTTGTTTTTTGATGCTTAAAATGTTCTCTTTCATGTAGCCTGACAAATTCCTCTTCGACTTTAATCATTTTCTAGGTTTCTGACACTAAAATGTACCAGGCTCACCTTCTATATTTTCTGCCCCCTCCCTGAAAACCAGACTTTTCTCCAAGAGATATGTGTGGGTTAAAATTACATAATTAAATGTATCTTGAAAATTAATGGCATTTCAGTAGATAACTGTGGCTATTTTATAGTTCAGCATATTTTATCACTAATCTTATTTTGATTGACCCCAGTGGTCTTCAGTTGCCACTTGAAAAGACTCATTTTCTTTTACGTTGTTTATAGTTTATCTCACTTTTTTTTTTTTTAAAGACCTTGAAGTTATAGCTGGTATCCCAGCTGAAGTACCACACATCAGAGAAAATGCAATAAAAGAAGGGCGCCATCTGTGTTTCCAGTTAGGAAGCCCATCAGGAACAGCCATTTCGACTCTCAGTTACCTGAACAGGACGAATCAGCTCGCTGTCGGTTTTTCTGATGGCTACCTGGCCCTCTGGAACATGAAAACTATGAAGAGGGAGTATGTACAGCTTTTTCCTGGGATGAAATTTTTGGCGGTTTCTGATATAACTTGTACTCTATAAATATTTAAAAATTAGCCTAAGGAGAACAAGGTAGGATAGATTAATGATTGAAAGAGTGAATAATTTTCATTGTATTAAATTATGACTTGATATAAAGGAATGGCGTTGATGTTTTTAGTGTATATTTAAAAGGTATGTCATTTGTTGTGTTCAGTTTGCTAGTTAAGCATGACTCTGAAGATGAACTGTGTATTTGTAGAGTGTGAGTTCTTTCACAAGTACTTTTTTTCATGACTATATGTATAAATACGTATGAAGTGGTAGTTTGCAGTTGACAAAAACAAAGGCTTTTTAAAAAACTGGAGCTCTAAAGTACTGCTTAAAAATTTTTATGCTGTGAAAAACCCCAAATACAATTATACTGATACTTTTCATTAATGTTTGTGGTGTTAAAATTACTGGGGAACTAACCCATTAATGAGGGAGGTAGCAAATAGGCAGTAATAGGTTTTTAATTTAATCATTAATAGTTAAATAAATGCCTATTTGTATCTTGTCAACTTAATATTCATTTTTATCAAGGTGTGTTAGACTGCCATCTTGAGTAATTTATCTTGCTGATCAGTCAACAAAATAGGCACCCTTGGAACTTTCTGCTCTTAGTCAGTCTTGCCAACAAATTGGTACCTACTTGCCAATTTTGAAATAAAGAAAAGAAAGGTGGAAAATAAGAGTATTCCCTCATTCCCTCATCTCAAAGAGGCCCATTTCTTACCTTTAGGTTCTTTGATAATATTAGAGTATTACAAGCCCCTTAGGTAAACACAGACTGTCTTTGTACTTCCTCAAAGTCCAAGTCTGCTACACGGTAGCAGTGAAGTGCCAATGCTGTTTACTCTGTAGCAGCTCCCGGTGGAAAGTTCATCTCAGCTCTCTTTGCTGATACCTTTTTACCAGCCCTTGTCCTTGAGTTGCTCCTGAGAGAGTACCTGGGGAATCGGGCTTCTGCAGTGTCTTCTGTAGCACTGTCATTTCTTGGCTAATTATGCTTTTTAAGGTGTTTTGGGGGACTATTTGGATTCTAACTCATTTTGTTGTAGTAATGAGGAGACTGACTGTCACACCCACACAGCTAAAATGGAGAGCTGTAGCGCTGTTTCACCCTGTATAGGGTACGTCTTAGTGTGCAGCAGTACATAGTGGCACTCACTGATACATGCTGGAAGGACTGGTTCACAGCGCGTAGGTGAACGAGCCTTGTAATTTTGATCCTTCCAGTTCTTCCTGAGGGATGGATGCCATGCCCGTTGTCTTGTCTTGTCCCCCTGTGTGTTTTTAAAGATAAGATGCTCACATGAACAGTAGTAGCTCTAGTGCAAAATCTTACATTGAGACACCTTTTTTCCACATAGCTATAATTCAAAAGCATGTACTAATTTTTGTGCCTTTTCTAGATACTACACACAATTGGAAGGTGGAAGGGTTCCTATATATGCTGTTACTTTTCAAGAACCTGAGAATGATCCTCGTAACTGCTGTTACTTGTGGGCTGTTCAGTCTACACAAGATAGGTAAGTGTGATACCGGTGGTTTTAAAAAATACTTATCAGAATGGAGCAGCAGTTAATTACTTTTGGAAATTTTGTACTTTGTACTGTGTTGTCTCTTTTTAGTGAAAGCAACATAATTCCATGAATTAGGGAATGGTAGTTGAAGTGATTTGAAAAGTTAAATGATTATTTCTGTGTGTTTGAGTAATACTTAGACATCAGTGAGAGGAAGTTGGGTTTGCGTGACTTGTTTTCAGTGTTATTTCCAAGAGTAAGCCAATTCAGATGAGCAAGCAACCTCTTATTACTTTGAGCAATTTTTATTGGTGTAGTGTGTTCTCTTGTAAGAACATTTTTCTCTCTTTTTTAAAAAAATTTTTAAACTTATTTATCTTTAGAGGGAAAGGGAAGGAGAGAGGGAGAGAAACATCAGTGTATGGTTGCCTCTCATGTGTCCCCTGCTGGGAACTGGCCTGCAACCCAGGCATGTGCCCTGACTGGGAATTGAACCTCGATCTTTGGGTTCGCAGGCCACGGCAGCCAGGGCACATTTTTCTCTTTTACTATCTCATTTCTTTTTTTTTCTCTTCATTTTACACACCTCATTATTTATCCCTAATGTTCATAGTCCTTCTACCTGCCTTTGCAGTATATTTTTAGGATTAATTTGGTGAATTCTTCTGTCATAAGCTCTGGTTTTGTCTAACTACAGCTAGAGATGAATCTTTCTTTTCAATTTAATTTCCAGTGGCTAAGCTTGTTCCAGTGCTGGATCAGTATAAGTATTGATTTTCTTTTATTTCTCTTATTTAGTTCTTTTTTGGTGAAAATGAAATTAAAATTTGTGGTATAAATGCCATGGTCTTGACCACTCACTGCTTCCGGTACTTTCTCTTCCCAAGTCCCATTAGATTTTATGTACTTGAGTTGGGGACAATACTGGTTTCTGTGTTAGATGTCTCCACTTTTGGGGTCTTGTCTACCTTGCACTGTAGTAAGTGAATGAATGAAGAAATGACTTGCCCCTTCTGAAGTCTGTCAATTCTGGAGAAAAGCTGAACATCACAGAGACAGACGCCTCTCGCTGGGTCGGGTCCGTGCTCCGTCACCTGAGTATGGTGTGGGGCAGCAGCACTGAGGACTGGGCCTGGTGACGGCTGGGCCTGGTGGGGGGGTGAGGGCCCTTGAAACGACTCTGTGGGCCGCTTACTTTCACTGCTGTTTCTTCTGATGATGGTTTCAAAAATGTATTCTTTCTGTGGGTTTTTTTTTTTTTACTTTTTCTAAATTCCCACACTAAAGTTTAGAGAGCTTTCGTCTTAAAATTGGAAGTGATGCTCACTCTGTTCTTACAACTACAAAACTATCTGAACTCTCTGCTTCTGACTTTTTTTTTTCTAAAATCCTTGTGAATTATATGCATTTCCCTTAGTCCTTTCATTCTAAGCACAAAGGAAACAGTTTAAAATACAGGCAGAATAATGTTGTTGTTTTTTTAACTGATCCTCTTATTTTTTTTCATTATCCAAAACATTGAATAATTAACAAATGAGAGTAATTCTCTAATGATTTTTAGACCACTTTCTAATACCCTAAATATTCTTTTACTAAGACAGGTTTAATTTACTTTGTAATTGAGATTTTATATTCCTAAATAATTGTTGTTGCAGTCATCAGTATTATTGATGAGATTTTTTTTGGGGGGGTGGTATTTTTGTGGACTTTTAGTCGATGATTAGGGCCCTCAAATTAGTAGGTCATGCACCTCTCTGAGAATCTGATGATTGCTTATATATGTTGGTATATGTTTCCACATAAAATTTAAAGCACGGCTCCTTACCTTTGGTCCACAGGTAGACATAGGGCAGTCTGTGAGCTCCAGTGAATTGTACACAAGGTTATTTACCTTTTTTGTATATGTATATAAACAGTACATGTGTATACATCAGGAATACTGCTCTAAATTGTTCATAATCTCTTATGTTAGAGTATGTAATGTGACAGAGTCTCTTCCATATCTCCCTCATCATTGAATTTCTTAGCACCTTGTTGTTATTTTTTATCCCCCCTCCAGCATCTTACTATATTGTTATTAATAATACATGGACAAGACCTGGCTGGTGTAGCTCAGTGGATTAAGCGCAGGCCTGTGAAGCGAAGGGTCGACGGTTCGATTCCCAGTCAGGGCACATGCCTGGGTTGCAGGCCAGGTCCCCAGCAGGGGACACATGAGAGGCAACCACACGTTGATGTTCCTCTCCCACTCTTTCTCCTTCCCTTCTCTCTAAAAGTAAATAAATAAAATACTAAAAAAGAATAATACGTGGACAAAAATAATATAAATTTAGATTATAAGTTCAAGTCAGAAAGACTAAATCAGATGTGGTCTTTTTCTCCTTTCACATCAGAGCTATTGTATGACAAATAAAGGGGGAAATCTCACTGTAAAGTGACTATAGCACTACAGAATTAACATGGGCGTCTGTCTGCCGCAGTGCTGATCAGTTACAATTAAAGCCACATTTAGTTTTGTAATAACTGACACGTGAATGAAAAACTGACTTGTGTTCTCTCTAATGTTGGTTGTATGCAGTATATCCTGTTTAATCTTTGGTCTTTTAGAGGCTGTCTTTGCATCATGATTTATTTATTTATTGGACAAAATCATCGAGCATTTATTATATGCTAATAATCGTTCTAGAGAATGTAGACAAATTTCTGTTCTAGATCTTATATTTCAGTGAGGAAGACAGACAGTAAACGTATTAGTCAGTATATTTAATATAGTTTCAGAGAGTGACACAGAAAAATAAAGCTGGGAAAGGAGACACAGTGGGGTGGAGTAGGGAACTGATAGTGCAGTTGGGAGATTTGAACGGAGCCGATGAGCGGGAGGAAGGAGAGCCCTGTGAAGACCTGGGGTAGAGAATCCGAAGGTCTTAGTAAAATGTCTCAGGGGACAGGCAGGGTCAGTTAGGGTGGGGCACAGAGCAGTCACAGGTGAAGCTAGAGTAGGAGAACTAGTTTTACTATCCGGGGCTGCGTAGGCAGCAGTGTTTCAATTTGGTCTTGTTGCCCTACACCAGTGAAGTCCATTTCTGGTGGTAGGGCCTAAACATCTGTGTTTTTTCAAGGGTCCTCTGGTGATCAAATAGTAAGCAATCAAGATTGACAACCACTGGCCTCAGAATGAGAGTAGCTAGAGAAAAAAATAGAGCTGGGAAGTGAGCCTTGCAGACCTTCCGTACTTGGAAATAGCGACTGAGAACAAGAGGGCAGAGTAACCAGCACAGGACTAAACATAGTGTAGTGTGAGGAACATGAGGCCAGCACGGTGTCCTGGAAGCCAAGAAGAAGAAATGTTTTAAGAAAGATCTTGCCCTGACTGGTGTGGCTCAGTTGGGCAATGTCCTGCAAAGTGAAGGGTCACTGGTTCAATTCCTGGTCAGGGCACATGCCTGGGTTGCAGGCCTGGTCCCCAGTTAGGGGTGTATGTGACAGGCATTAATTGATGTTTCTCTTCCTCTCTTTCTCCTTCCCTTCCCCTTGCTCTAAAAATAAAATAAAATAAATAAAATCTTTAAAAAAAAAGATCAGCTAATAAGAATAAGAATTTAAATTCAGACAGTGTGGCTTTGAAATCTGTGCTCTTAATACCTACTGCATTCTGTACTTGAGTAGTGCAGGATCGATTTGGTATATTGCTTTATGTTCTTATTGTATCATTATCATCCTCATGGCAAAAGGGCAGCATCTTTATTTTATGTAGCAGCCTTAACAATACGGAGGATGAGACCAGAAAGAAAGCGTAGAGGACATGGAACAAAGCCAAACATCTTAAGGAAGGTTTCTGTAGTTGCCATTGGATGATTATGTTTACATGCTATTGGCTAGAACTTGAGCCTGCCGTACATAGCTGCAAAGGAAGCTGGGTGATGTAGTATATTGTAGGCAGCTGTATGCCTGACTAAAGCACAGCTGTTGAAGAAGGGGAGGAGGAGTACTGGGCAAGCGGTCTCTGATATGTAAAGTGTCACCTAAAGTATACAGACACTATCGGCTTAACTTAGTTAGAATAAAAAAATTAACAGTCAGTACTTATTTCAAAGGACAGCATTTTATGAAAACAACCAAATAAAACTGAATTCTTCACAGTGACCTTAGTTCTATTACATGCTCTCAATGTCGTATGCAAACTAAATTGGTTTGGACAGCAATAGATGTTTAATATAATTAATATGGTAGTATTTCTTAGGAGAAAGGCTAATCTTTTTTTCTTTCAGTGAAGGGGATGTGCTGAGTTTTCATCTGCTTCAGCTGGCCTTTGGTGATAGAAAGTGTTTGGCATCAGGACAAATCTTATATGAGGTAAATGGTAACGGTAATACAGCTTCATATTACCATTTTAGTCATTGTTTACCTGGCTTAAGTCTTTGTGTTAAGATGCTGAACAGTTATTCTTACATTCAAGTTAGTAAAATATTCATAATATAATGGAAAACATATTTGATTAGGGATTCGGAGATCAGCTGTTTTACAGAGGTAGCACTATTAGCACTACAGGTATCATTTGCTTCTCAAGTGAGCAAATTTGACAAAAATGAAGCTTATGGCCCAAATGGTACCAGGAGAAATAACCCCACTTTGCTGCTCTAATGTACCAAGTGGTGAACCATGAGGTAACTTTATAAACAGTTTTGTCAATGACAGTTAATTGTAAAAGGATAAATGCATCTAGCCTTTCACATGACTGTTTTTCTGGCTGAATTTTTGAGATAGTGGGGCGCTGCTAATAGCCACATTGGTCCACCCTCTCATGTCATTCTCTAGAACAGGTTTTCTTAACCTAGTGCTTGAGGGCTTAGGGACAGGAGTCTATGAGTCCCTGAATTATATGTGGCATTTTTATGATTGTGCATTTTGGGGGGGAAGTTTCCTGTCTTCTATCAGATTCTTACAGGGATTGATGAGCAAAAAACCCCCCCAAACTACGAGCTAATCCCGAGCAAGAATGTCAGTGAAAACACAGGAGTGGGTTGCTAGCCTCCAGTGTGTGCATCCAATTCCAGTGGTTAGTCCAGTTTATGTGCCACCCAGAAGTGCGTGAGTTTCCTGTGTTTGCTGACAGCTTTAGAAGATTTATTGGTATTTCTGAGAGACTAAAGCTAGCCTTTTATTTAATAAGTGGTTTATGCTCTATAAATTTTAGAGCCCCTGTAAATGATATGTTCTCTTCAAGATTTGTTTTCTTTGTATTGTGTGAGAAATCTTTAAACTTAGAGGATATTTAATTTTAGAATGACTTTTTGCTTAGAATTCTGTTCGGGTACAGATTTCTGTGCATTTTTTCCAGGGGTTAGAGTACTGCGAAGAAAGGTACACACTGGACCTCACAGGTGGCATGTTCCCTCTGCGGGGACAGACCAGCAATACCAAACTGTTGGGATGCCAGAGTATAGAGAAGTTCCGGTCCCATGGTGACAGAGAGGAAGGGATGAGTGAAGGTAAGATTAGTTCAGAGTACTCCTGTATGCCATGTGAATGCTTGATTTAAGATTTGTCTTGATTTAGCCCTGATGGGTGTGTGGTTCAGTGGGTTGAGTGGTGGCCTGCAGATCAAAAGGTTGCTGGTTTGATCCCCAGTCAGGGCACATGCCAGGGTTGTGGGCCAGGTGCCCAGTAAGGGGTGTGGGAGAGATAACCAATCGATGTTTCCCTCCATTCCCCTCTCAAACAAATAAAATCTTTGAAGTTCCAGCCAAGATAGAGGCGTAGGTAGGTATACTTCACCTCACACAACCAAAAGAAGGAAACAACCAATTTAAAAATAAAAAACAAGCAGCACTGCCAGAAAATTGAACTGTATGGAAGTCTGACAACCAAGAAGTTAAGAAGGAACCTTCATCCAGACTGGTGGGAGGGGCACAGACGGGCAGGCGGGGTGCAGAGGCTGTGCCCCTCGGAGCTGGGTGGCAAACCGAGCAGCCCCACATCCACGTGGGAATAAACCGGGAGGAACAGTGGAGAGTGAGACACACTGCAACTCGGGGCTGGAATGTCGGCAGAATAAAGCCTCAGCATCTGGCTGTAAACACGTGGGGAGCTGTGGTGGCAGGAGAAACTGCCGCTGTCTTGAAAGCAGAGCAAAAGCCACACCAGTGCACTGTTCCCTGTCTGACCCCTCCCCTCAGACAGTGCCTCAAGGCAGCAACGTGGGTTGCACCGCCCTGGCAGATACCTGAGGATCTGCCCCTTTCAACATAACAGGTGCACTGAGACAAAAAAATATGGCTCAAATGAAAGAAGAGATGAAAACTCCAGAAAAAGAATTAAGCAACGAGAAGATAACCAACCTATCAGTTTAAAACATCGATAATCTGGATGCTCACAAAAAATTGATTGAGTTCAGCTTCAAAATACAAGAAGTGAAGGCTACACAAATTGAAATAAAGCAGAATATACAGGGAACCAACAGTGAAGGGAAGGAAATTGGGCCTCAATCAATGATTTGGAACAAAAGGAAGAAAAAAAATTCAGCCAGAATAGAATGAAGAAACATTTTTTTAAAAGCAGAGGAGAGGCCTAGAAACCTCCGGGACAACTTTTAAATGTACTGACATCCGAATCATAGGGGTGCCAGAAGAGGAAGAGCAAGAAATTGAAAACTTGAAAAATAATGGAAGAAAACTTACCAATCTGGTGAAGAAATAGACATACAAGTCCAAGAAGCTCAGAGTCCCAAAGAAGTTGGACCCAAAGAGGAACACACCAAGACATAAGAAAATTGCCAAAGATTAAAGATAAGGAGAGAATCTTAAAAGCAGCAGAACAGAAGAGAGTTGCCTACAAAGGAGTTCCCATAAGATTATCAGCTGATGTCTCCAAAGAAACCATGCATGCAAGAAGGGGCTGGCAAGCCCTGTCTGGTGTGGCTCAGTGGACCGAGTGCCATCCTGGGAACCAAAGGGTTGCTGGTTCTATTCCCATTCAGGGCACATGCCTGGGTTGCAGGCCAGGTCTCGTGTGGGGGGCATGTGAGAGCCACACATTGGTGCTTCTCTCCCTCTCTTTTTCCCTCCCTCCATCTCGCTCTCAAAATAAATAAATAAAAACCTTTAAAAAAAGAAGGAAGGGGCTGTCAAGAAGGATTCAAAGTCATGAAAGGCAAGGACCTACATCCAAGATTACCCAGCAAAACTATCATTTAGAATGGAAGGGCAGATACAGTGCTTCCCAGATGAGGTAAAGTTAAAGAAGTTCATCATTACCTGCCCTTTATTATATGAAATGTTAAAGAGACTTACTTTAGAAAAAGAAGATCAAAACTAGGAACAGTAATATGACAAACCCAATGACTATCAACAACGGAACCTAAAAACAAACTCAGCAAACAACTAGAATGGAACAGAAGAATCACAGAAATGGTGATCAGGTGGAGGGCTATCAATGGGGAGGAGGTAGATGGGGGAAAAGGTACAGGGAATAAGAAGCATAGTTGATAGGTACAAAATAGGGGGAGGTTAAGAACAGTAAAGGAAATAGAGAAGCTAAAGAACTTGTATGTACAGCAAATAAACATGAATTATTGTATGAACAGCAAAGTAAACATGAATAAGTGGGGAAATACTGGGGGGAATGGGGATAGAGGAGAGAAAAAGAATGGGACAACTATACTAGCATAATCAATAAAATATACTTTGATTTTGGAAATTTAATTAAAATCTTGATTTAAAATTTATGATACATACTGGTTTCTAGAGTTTACATTCCTGGTAGTTAAAAAATTGGTATAATCAATTTATCCAGGGCTACATGAGGTACTGGGTATTTATTCTCCACGTAGCTATATAGAACTCATGAATTGAACACTTGAAGGAAATGAGGGATTCTTGTATTTTAATCTAACACAAAACAAAAATGGTCTCTAGTTTTGACAACTGTGAATAATCTCTGAATAGTCTATGAATAATGTTTCTTTTTTTGAGACATGACAAACATGCCTTGGTTGTCTCTCATTTTTTTCTGTTTTTAATGTTTTTTAAGATTTTATTTATTTTTAGAGGGAGGGAGAAAGAAAGGGAGAGAAATATCAGTGTGCGAGAGAAATATTGATCAGTTGCCTCTTGCACACCCCCGAACCAGGGACCTGGCCCACAACCCAGGCATGTACCTTAATCAGGAATCAATTCAGTGACCTTCCAGTTTGCCAGCCAGGGCTTCTCTGTTTTCTTTAATATGATTCCATCTTCCTGGTAAACATTCTGACATAGTAAAAATTGCATAGACTTTAGAATCTTACATGGATTCAAACCCCAGATCTGTCACTAGTTGTAACCTTGACAGACTTGATCATTTCTCAGCCTACATGTCTCTGTCTGCGAGTGGAATGATCAAGCTACAACCTTTTGCTCTAAGGGTGGGTGTTAGGGTTAAATGTGCTGATGTGGTAGGTTCATTCAGTTCTGAAATGCTCACCAGAACCATGCTTTGGTTCTGGTTGGGATTTATTTTCATGGGTAGCTCATTCGCCCAGGAGTTGTCTCTGTTTTCGGCCCACATCTCTGTTAGTGATCCAGTTTTCACATCCAACCAACCTTGTCAAAACCAGAACTCATCAAACTCTCCGACTACCCACTTGTGTCTTTTCTGTATTTCCCATCAGTTGGGTCTCATGTTTTTACTTTCCTTTTTCCTTCTATTGATGTCTCTCATGTTCCTGTCTTTTCATTCCATGGTCACCACCCAGGTACTTGTCTTTTTTACTCCTTTACCATATGGCTCGCTCAGTCCTTCTCAGCCCCAATTCCTCTAAAGAATTAAGCTCTGAGGTCTAAAGGCATTCATTTTAGGTGTTGATATTCTGGTACTAGCTGTGTGCCACTTTGGGAGATTATTCATTCAAATCATTTTCTTTCTACCTCTAAACCTCAGAGCTGACAAGATGTTAACCAAAATGAGCCAGAATAGAACTTTTTGGAGGGGTAGTTTTTGATAAGGTGTTTTGAAATATAAAAAAATCAAGATACAAGTGAATGAATCTCTGTTTACAAAGCACGTGACAAAAATGTGTTTTCACAAATTAAATAATTTATGTACAAGTCTTGTTATAAATATTATTTGGGGTTTTTACTTTGAGTTTATTCTATCATTTAATACTAGCTTTTTCTTTTAGCACTGTCTCCTGAGACAAGTGTATCAGTCTTTACTTGGCAAGTGAATATATATGGACAAGGAAAGCCTTCTATATATTTGGGGATTTTTGACATAAATCGTTGGTATCATGCCCAAATGCCAGATTCATTAAGGTATGACTCTCTTTTTTTATTCGATATTTGTATCTGTAGCAGTTTAGTGAGTTAATAATTTTGTAAAATTTTCTTTTAGATCAGGAGAATATCTACATAATTGCTCTTACTTTGCTTTGTGGTCCTTGGACTCTGTTGTAAGTAGTACTTCTCCACATTACATCTTGGATATATTGGTACAGGAGAGAAGTTTAAGTCGAGGAGTCTGTCCTTCATATTCACCTCCAGAACAGTTTTTTAACCCAAGTTCGTATAATTTTGGTATGTATTACCCTAACCTTTTGAAAAAAATAGCATATAAATATGTATGTGTGTATTTATGTGAAATATATGTGTATATGTATATAGTATTATCCATCTCATTGTCAGCTAATATATGGATAACTTAGGAAATTAATTTGATAACATATACATGAGAAATGTCGTACATGTTTTATAAAGAAATTACTGTTTTGAATTTGCTAGAAAAGATAAAGTATTTCATATTTAGTGCATTTGTGGTAAGGTTTAGTTTCTTGTTCGGCTAGAAATACTTGTAAAAATATTTTAAAATTTATTGTAATAATTTGATACTTTGGCTAGGAATCTGTTAAGATAAATTCTGTTGTATCATTGCCATCTCAAATATAATATTAAAGTGGGTTTTTAAAAATCTTTTTTCTAGATGCCACTTGTTTGTTAAACTCTGGAGTTATTCATATAACTTGCACTGGCTTTCAGAAGGAGGTAGGTAACAGCGCGGAAGTGTCTCCTACTGAACTCAGGTCACCGCACGGGTTTAACTTGATGGCAGCTTCCACTAGGCTGGTGAGGGTTCCTGGGGTGTCTAGCAACTCCCTGTGGGTGTTAGCTACTGGAACCCAGGGAAAAGAGCAACGTAGGTCATTGCCACACCACATCCCTTTTTCTCCTCCCTCTCAATTCTCCTCAAAAGCTTACTAATAAATAAAGCCATGCAAAGAAGGTGCCTCGCACAGTGACAGTGCCCGGCACAGTGGTTGTTGATGATGTGTTGAAAAATACTTCCCCAGGAAAATATCAAATGTAAGACCTTTTAATTAATAATCAGCTAGATGTGGATGCATGCCATATTTATATATCATATCAGATCTCTTCTATATTATGCCAAGGGTTTTGTGTGTGTGTGTGTGTGTGTGTTTAGTTCACTGAGGTTTGTCACCAAGTCTGTCAGCTTTAGAGAAGGTAACGGGATTACCTTTCATAAAAACACAAGGTATGGGAAGTATCCTTAACGGTTTTATTTATAATTAGGAACCATTGATTTAGCTAAACAACCTATAAACTTTTCCTTGAAAGAAGTTATGGAAATGTAGTCTTCCACAATTTCCATTTTGGTGTTTAGTTTTATTCAAAATGTTAAGTATAAAATAGGGCAATGAGTTTATTCAGTATTCTTAAATTTGTTTACTTGATTGAGTATTGATATCTTACTGATCTGTTACAGACTTTAACTTTTTTAAAGAAATCAGGACCATTTATCAATGAAGTCATTTCTGATGGTTATAATCGATGTCTTGTGGCTGGCCTTCTCTCACCAAGACTTATTGATATTCAGCCTTCCAGTTTAAGTCAGGTGAGGTGATTTTTTAACTATGTGTTTTTGTGTATAATGTTACTGTCTCTCTTCAGGATTAAAATCTATTAGATAATTTCTGCAAAAGGAGATTAAGTAGAATAATGCTCAATCTACATGATCAGTAACTGAGGTCTTGGATTTGACTTAAAATTCGTACTCCCAGGATCCAGTTGGCCATAACTTGGCACCAGGTTCACTTAGCTATGTAGATATGATAGGAAAGCAAACATAGCATGCCTGCATCAGGCACGTCATAGGTAAAAGTCACTATAACAGCGCAGGGGCCCTTTTCCGGCCCCCAGAGAGATAGCATAGGTGCAGGAGAACAGAACCACTTGAGTAGCAACCATGTTGACTTAGGTGAAGCTCATGATCTCTAGCAACAAAGTATGGTCCCTGAATAGTCCCTGACATCAGCTTCACTGGAAACTTGTTAGGGTACATATTCGTGATTCCTGCCCTAGAGCTACTGAACCAGAAACTTCAGGAATAGAGCTCAGCAATCTATTTTAATAAAGCTTTTGATGTGATTCTGGCACAGTATTTCGATAACCACTGCTCTAAAGAAACAAGTGTCTTGTGAAAGCCTATTGGTGAAGATTCCAGTTTCCTGCAAAACAAGATAGTTATAGGACTTAGACTTAGTCATGCAAGCTAAAATCTTAACTTGCTAGTGGTCTTTAGTCCACTCCAGTTTTCCTAGACCCAGTACATTTTACCAATCAGGAGATGCCCAGTGATAGCTTGTAATACACATTTATTTTAACTAGTATTTGCTAGTAAAGTATGCTAGAAGAAAGTGACCCCAAGTCACTGCTTGGGCAGAAAGAGTTAAGTTTAAATAATTACAGGTAAGTAACATCATAAGTTGGTGGGGAAAGCCTTTTAAATATGTATTCAGTGTAAAGATTGGTGCTCATTGTTTACCACTTACAGCCAATATTTAATTTCTTTTTTGATCTCTCTCTCTTTTCCTTCTTTCCTCCTTCCTTCCTTTCTTTCTCCCTAATAATTAATTTCATGGAAATAAAAACCATCAGGAGATTTTAACTTTTGTTTTTTCTGGTATTTTCAAATGGCCTTAAAAAACAAAAACAAAACCCCTGGCCTAGGCTGTCACTCACACTACCTTAACTTTATCTTAACTGTTTTTTGTTCTTTGTGAAACTCCTTTAGGCAAATGTTTACTCTCCTGAGTTGATCTTCTACTTACCTTATCTTTATAGCTCTTTGTCTCTGTTGCCTCTGGTTCATTTTTCTGGGAGATTTTTTTTTATTATCATCTTCCCTTTTTTCCTATTTTTAAAATTTGAATCTGATTTTAAATTTCTTTGGTCATTATTCATAGTCATCTGTTCTTTTTTATGGATGAAATAATACTCTGTGTATGTTTAAGTTTTACTTAGTTCTCTGTATTATCTCTATTTTTTCTGGAGTCACTTTTTATTATTTTAGTCCTTGTGATGCTAATGGCTATCCTTAATGCTTAGTGGCCCTTAGTTGCTGTTTATATGTAGAGTGAGTCAGTGGCAGATTATGAACTGTTCAGTGTGGGGGAGTGCATCCCGAGGCGTTCCTTAGGATGATAGACTAGGCGTGTACCCTTCCGTGGGGAAATCCCAGGTGTTTTCTGGGGACATTCAGCTCTTCCAAATATCCCTGTTAGGCTGGCCTCCTCAGTTCCTTGTGCAGGGTGACAGAAGGGACTGGATTCATGCACTAGTTTTAATCTGTTGTCTGTTTTCAGTCCTGTGTTTGACCACCTTTTCCCTCCACTTTCCTCTGTTCCTGATTTTTCCCAGAATTTAGCCTAATATTCTGAGAGCCAAACTGACTCTATTCTCATTTTTTGTTCCCCTCTGTGGGGTCTTTAAAACCTGTTCCCTTCACACTTCTAAATAAGCCACATTCTCTCCATTCGTTACTGCTTTTCAGAAATCTGTTTAAGCTGTTTTATCTCATGAAGCCTTTTGTGTTTTTGTCCTTGTTGACTTAGACCATTCTTTACACGATTTTTTTTTTTTTTAAGTAACAGCTTTGTTGAGATATGATTCATCTACTTAAGGTGTACACCTCAGGGGCTTTTGGTATGTTCAGGGAGACGTCAAGCTCTTGGCCCATTAAATTTTAGAACATTTTCATCACTTCCCCCCAAATCTCATACCTATTAGTAGTCACCCATTTCACTCCACTCTTTTCCCCAACCTCTTGTACCACTGACCTATTTTCTGTCTTTATAGATGTGACTGGTTCTTTAACTCAACGTAATGTTTTCAAGTTTCATTTATGTTGTCGTATATATTAGTACTTCATTCCATTTTATAGCCATCTAACATTCCACTGGATGAGTATACCACATTTTATTTCTCCATTTTCAGCTGATGGACACTTGTTTGGCAATTAGGAATAATTCTGCTTCGTGTAGACTTCTCGTGTGGTCATCTGTTTTCATTTCTCTTATGTGTTTGTACCCAGGTGTGGAATTGCTGGTTAAATGGTACTTTTGATTTTGAGGAACTATTAGACTATTTTTCCAAAGTGGAATTTACCATTTTATATTCCAGCCAGCAGCTTATCGGGATTCCATTTTTTCCACATCACCAATGCTCATTACTGTCTTTTTTATTTTTTTACGTTTTATTTATCATTAGGAGGGTAGGGAAGGAGAGAGGGAGAGAAATATCAATGTATGGTTGCTTCTCGTGCATCCCCCGCTGGGAACTGGCCTGCAACCCAGGCATGTGCCCTGACTGGAAATTGAACTGCATTCCTTTGGTTTGCAGGTCTGTGTGCTCAATCCACTGAGCTACACCAGCCAGGGCTCATTATTGTCTTTCTGATATAGCTATCCTACTAAGTCATAATACTTTTTTTTTCATAATGCTTTTTAAGCCTTTAAATTTTTGTATTCTGACCTACATAGAACATGCTACTTGTGAGTCTGTGATCATACATCTTCCTTATTAAATTTCCTCTGCTGTAGGAAGAACAGTTAAAAGCTGTATTGTCAGCAGCAGTCCACACAAGTTCCCTGGGGCTTTTGACTGGATATATCAGGAGGTGGATAACAGAGGGTAAGATGACACTTAATGAAAACTTACTTTTCTGTTTTGAAAATTATCGACTCACTGTCTGTGCGGGATGGTTAGTTACACTTCACTTGGAGCTGTTCATTTGCACGTTCACATTCAGGTGCACGGTAAGAGGGCAACAGAGAAACGTTGTGTACTCTTTCCTGCCAGTCCGCTGCCGGCCCGCAGCGCAGTCTGCAGGCCTCTGACACAGCATCGAGTCAGCGTCCCCAGGGTCCCCTCCTGCAGCTGAGCCCCTGACCCCCGGCGACAGTTGGTCTCCTTTTCTGAAATTTTGTCATTTGAGATATGTTCATAAGTGGAATCATACAGTATGTAAACTTTTGGGACTGGCTCTTTTTCACTCAGCAAAATTCTCTGGGGACTTATCCAAGCTGCATGCATTACTCTCCTTCCTTACAAACACATACACATTATTTTCGTTCGGAATCATTTGAGAATATGTTGAAAACATCATGCTTCTTTTCAGTATAATTTTCTTCTAAGAACAAGGACATTCACTTACAAAAACCATATTGTAACTATAAAAATCATGAAACTTAACACTGCTGACATGTAGATTAGATAATCTACAGAATTTACTGGAATCTCACTAATGACCCAGTGATGTCCTTTACAGCATTTTTGGACAAGGGGAATCCAGAGTTCAATCCAGAATATATGTTGTATTTAATTTTCATATCTTTTTAATTTCTCAAGTTGGTATAATTGCTAAGCCTTTGTCTTTCAAAAAATTGACATTTTTTTGAGAAAGAATATAACCTTGTTATTTTGTAGACTGCCTTTCAACTTTGTTGATTTTTTTCTCATGATTAGATTCAGATTTTAGACTTCTCACTAAAGGGATGTACTGTACTGAAAGAGATACGTGATACTAGTTTGTCTCCATTAATGATTATTTTTTCCTTGCTCACTTGGTTAGGCTGATTTTCTGTCAGGATTCTCTGCTGAAAGTTACTCTTTTTTTTGTTTGTAATTGGTAATCTTTTTTTTTTTTTTATGTTTACGAATAAGAACAACCAAATTCTGCTGCTAATTTGCGCTTTGTTCTTGAATGGACATGGAATAAAGTGATTCTCACAAAAGAGGAATTTGACAGACTATGTAAGTTTTATATTAAGAAACCAATAGTGATATATTTTTAAGTACATAATAATAATTCTAATCATTTTGAAGTTATAAACTGTATAAAGAAAGCCCAGAAGAAAACTTTGTTTTAATATTAGAATGACAAAGTTATTTGTTGATGAAGATTTTGCAACAGATGTTAAACTAGCAACATGTTGTGTCCACAGTAGCAAGTTTCAGAATTATACCTTACGTGTATCATACGTCATATACCTTATATGACAGCCACCAGTATATGGATGTCTTAGTTTAATTTATAAAACGTGCTTATGATTAAGAAGAATATGCCACTAACCTCAGAAGCTCTTCTTCTCACTCATTTTTTATTTAAAATATGTGTATAAAGAAGCTTAATAGTAGGGTAAAGCTCATCTCTGTTTTCTAAAAGATGTTATCAATGTGCCAAGCAAGTCATTTTCCTTCTTGATAGTCTTGTGTGTTAGTCTGTTGTACACTTTTTTTGAGGTATCTTGAGAGTATAAAAAACTCATTATGCCCAGTTTGTGCAAAACTAATATTAAAGGGTAATATATGATTGCCCTGTACATGATAGTAAAATTTATTTAGAAATATTTTTTTAAATCTTCATTGTATTTTTTCCATTACCATTAGTCCCCTTATACAAATGGATTTAAAAAATTGTATTTACAAAGATTTTATTTATTTATCTTTAGAGGGGAAGGGTAGGAGAGAGGAAGAGAAACATCAATGTGTGGTTGCCTTTTGTGCGTCCCCTGCTGGGAATTGGCCTGCAACCCAGGCATGTGCCCTGACTGGGAATTGAACTGCGAATGTCTGGTTCGCAGGCCCGCGCTCAATCCACTGAGCTACACCAGCCAACGCAAAAAAATTGTATTCTTAACAGGATTTTAAAAAAGAACTTTTTAGAGAGAGAGAAACGTCTTTTTGTTGTTCCACTTCTTTGTGCGTTATGTATTTCTTGGGTGATTCCTGTATGTGCCCTGACTGGGGGATTGAACTTGTACCCTTGGCTTACTGGGATGATATTCTAACCAGCTGTGAGCTACCCAGCCAGGGCATAAATCAGATGATTTGATTCAAGGAAGGAAGGCTTTAGAATTAAGATACTTGTTTTCAATTACATATTACATATTACACATATATTATTGCAGTTACATGTTGCAATATCAATGCAATTAATATTAATGCAATTAAATCTTCAAAAGATGTAACCAATAGCAACTAAAATGCCCTCCCAAAGGATATGTAAATTGAGCCTTGAATTTGAAAGGACAACTGAGTCTATAGTGAATTATAGCATCCTACAGTTCTACTGTAATAAGTCTATACATGAGTCTTCATTTTAATGTCTCACGTTTGAAGACTGGAGGTGGACAAAAGTTCTTATAAAATATTAATTGCAAAACAGGGTATATAAAAGTAATGGTATAAAAGACTTATTTGACGGAGAAGCACTTAATGAGGACAACTGATTTTTAGTGAATCTGAAGTTGAATCTGTATCACTGTGCTAACATACTGCTTGCTTCACACTACATTAAAAAAATAATAATTTGTATCCCTTCTAGTTTCCTTGAGGGTGTTTGCCACTTTTGTTAATATCATAATACATAGAATGATTCTGTTGTCAGTATGAATTTGAGGAAGTGTGCAGTTGTGAGTTGAATGCAGATTTACTGTGTCGAAACTAAGTATGTATTTTATCCTTGAAAGGTACCCCGTTGTTTGATGGTTCGTGCCGTTTCATCGACCCACAGACCATACAGTCTGTTCAGCAGTGCCATTTGCTTCTTAGCAATCTTAACACAGTCCTGAGCTGCTTCGTAACAGAGGCCCAAGAGATCACTGAAAGAGGTGTGCTGTTTGTCTTACATAATGAACGTTTTATTAAATTCTACTTCTTGACTTCAAGAAAGAATTCCTGTCTTAGATGGATCATTGTGCAGAAGGCTGTTTTTTTTTCTCAAATGCTGGTATTTTTTTAATGAAAAGCTACAGAATATTATTAAATGTAGCATGAGCCAATATTTAAATAGTCCGTGAGAGATTTGGGAATTAAATTTAATGCTATCAAGGTGGTGTATTCATAGTAGAACTTAAAGTTTTTTGAACTATTTTAAAAATAATTAAGTTTTTATTCAGAGGTCACTGTAAATTTTTTCTCTGATTTGCCATTTAAACAAAACAGTTCATTTTATTCAAAGGCCTGGTATGAACAACCTGTATGAATGTTACTGTATAGTTTGCATTAATGTATAAATTTGACTTCTGAAATTAACTAAGTGGAGATAAGAGTAGCTAAGATGGAAGCATATTTACCTAAAACATCTGCTTTAGTTGAGTTAGCGTTTTGTAAAATTTTTGTTCAAGCTAAGTTTGTTAAAAAATCTACATACGTTGTTAAAAATCATCAAGGAACTAATTAGTTCTTTGAAAACTCTTGAGTATCTGGATATCTTATTTGGGGTTGAAAGTTAACTGATATTTCCCGTCTTTTACAGGTCGTATGAACTTAACCAATAAGTGTATGGTTTCCCAGCTCATCTGTCAGTATGCACAAATGGTTCTTTGGTTCTCTCATTCTGGTCTTTTACCAGAGGGCTTAGGTAAAATATTTATTTAATCTATAAATATTAACTGAAAGCTTCTTTTTTGTCCCTTTTTTTATTGATGTTCAAAAGAAAGTTTCTTAAGTCTTTATAATTTTGTTGCTGTGTTTTAGTATCTTGGGTTTTCTTGCTTCCACCTCCTCACTTATGTTTTCTTCTATCCGTCACTTCTTACCTCCTTTGTGTCTTCAGTACCTCACCCCGTGCCTGATACACAGGTTTCCATCCATATTCATTGGATTGAATGACATTTTGAAGGAAAGAATATTTGACAAAGCGTAGCTTCAGAGAGTTGGTTTAGTGCTACCACCAGCTATATTTAGTTCCATTCCATAGAACTATGCATTTTATAATCTAGTTTGTCAGTCTTTTCTCTTAAGGGATTTTTAATGTGGCTATTACCTAATATGATTTGCCATCATTTAAATAATCTCCTTTTATCTGATGATTACTGCCAATATCAAGCACTAGAGAATTTTGACTTACTATATTTGTTTAGAATGTACGTACTTCTAAGGTCTCTAACTTCCTGCATTTCCAGGATTTGCGTTAGATTTCATGTGAACGTGCTTCTCCCACTGTTCATAATTGCTGTCAGTCCTCTTCTTTCCTAATTCTCTTAGCATCCTTGTTGTTACAGATGTTTATGAGAGACTAGGTTTCTCATCTATGCATATATTAATAAAGGGATGGGTAGTCTTAAATTTAGGGAGCCTACAAATTAAACAATATAAAATTGTAGTAAAAATATCAGTGTGTGTAACCTAAGTATTATTGGGAATTTTGGAAATATTACTAGCTTTTTTTCCAACTCTTAAAAAAAAATCTAGATGATGCTGTGCAGTTGTCAAGGTTATACTACAACTACCCTGTAATTCAGAACTACTACACCAGTCGCCGACAGAAGTGTGAGCTTTTATCAAGGTATAGTACATCCAGAACCTTCAAGCAACATTTTAGAAATTTCTTCTCTAAGAAGTTGAGCCTTTGGAGGTAGAACAGAATTCATCACGTTATAAGATGATTAAATGGGTGGAATTCTCAGCAAAGTATCAGAATTGTTACCAACATTACTGTTTTATTTGTAATGTTTGTGTTGACCTAATAATGGTCACACTTTTATTTTAGAACTTGAGTAAATAGCTATTATTTCCTAAGTAAGACTGTTTACCATGATTCATTCTTAGAAAATCTATAACTTAAGCATGTATTTTTTCTGAGAATTCTTACTCAGAAAAAGACTGGAAGCTGATATTCATTTTTTTAAAAAGCATAAAATATATCACCAATTAGTTATTTTACATTTTTTCCATTAACAGTTACATTTCAGCACTTGGAGGACTCTTTTCCCCCCCCCCCCCTTATTTCCCCCTCAACTCTTTTCCCTTTGATAGTTGGGGTCATTACTTTTGAGTTTAATGCTATTGTTTTGATGATAATAATAATGACCACCGGCATTAAATAATCCAAAATGTTGCCCTTATTGCAGAGGGAAGTGGAACCCTGATTATTTGATGATCGATGGAATGGTTTCTCAGTTAGGAGATGGAGTTGAGAAGCTGTGGAAACGGGATGAAGGCGGAACAGGAAAATACCCTCCTCCGAGTCTACATGTAGGTTTGCAGTAATACGATGCCACTTATGGCGTCTGCAGAGCTGTGGGGTGGGAGATGTGCTTAGTTGTGTTTTCACACTTGGCACAGGCTCGGGAAGAGCAAAGAGCTTGAATGAATGAGAATATAAAATGCACTGAATTTTTTCTCTTTTATAGGCACTACTTGACATATACCTACTAGACAATGTTACTGAAGCAAGCAAACATTCTATTGTATCCTTTAAAATTTTTAGTCAAATAATTCATGTATTACTAAAATCATAAAATTTGATTTTTTTTAAAGGAAGGGTTCTAAAACCAAGATCTGTAGGTTGGATTCAAGTGGTCTATGATTAACCTAAAACTACACAAAATTTTATGTTCATTTTTGTAGGGATGGAGTCCATATCTTTCATCAGATTCTTAAATGTGGCTGAAACACTACCTAAGTTAAAAAGAGCTGTTCTAAAACATTACTGGCCAAGTAGTCGTTCTCAAATAGGTTAACTTATGTACTGAATAAACTACATTTACGTTAGCTTAACATTACCTTAACATTACCTTAGACATTGTGTTGAGCCCTGTGGTCTTTGCAATAAAGGTTTTATACTAATATCAGTTATTAGTTTAAAATGTGTTTATAATTTATAAATAAGTTTATAATTTATAAGATATGATATGCTTGCTTAAGCTTCCAGGTTTTGCTGGGTAACTGGAATTTTGCCTATAGCTTTTGATTCTTGAATTTGCTAAGCTACTGGTTTCATAAAGAAGGTATGCTTTAATTCATCTCCTTTGTAATTAACTAAATACAACTGATATTGGTACTTAAAAAATTGAGAATGAAGTTGGTTGCGGGATTAGCTGTTCCCACACTTGATAAAACTATACTTCCGGTAGCTGGATATCCATAAATGCTTTTTGAGCACTGCAGTCTTTAAAGAATCTCTCCTGCTATGTTCTGTTGCTGCCAATTACAAATATGTACATAGTTTTTCTTTTTGTTTATTGTCCTTAATCATCTTTTTAAAAGACCATTTATTTGCTACTTGATATTATATATTCCTTCCCAAACAAAACAGATACTGCCATTGAATCATTTCCAACTGCCTTTGCCATTTCTTGGGACCAGGTTAAACTTATTCAAGGGTTTTGGCTGATAGATCATAATGACTATGAGGTAAGTCTGTTAGTTCACATAGAATGAAAGCTTCTGTAAACTATAAAAGTACATAATGATTAGCCCTGGCCTGGTGGCTCAGTTGTTTAGAGCATCGTGCCGTACACCAAGGGGTTGTGGGTTCTATCCCCGGTCCTACAGGAGGCAGCCAATCGATGTCTCCCTCCCTCCCTCCCTCCGTCTTCCTTGCTCACCTTTCCTCTCTTTAAATCCTCAGGTGAGGGTTAAAAAATACATAAACAAATAAAAATATGTAACAATTAAATTTGATATTAAAGATAGGATACAATCTACTTCTAGAGGTAATGTAAAGAGTCAGTTTAACCAGTACCGTCACTGACATAAGCAGTAAGAATACAAAGATAAAACAGTTAAGAACCGCAGGTTTCTCACTGCCTAAAGAAGAAAACAAACAGGTAAACAATTACTAATAGTGCCAGTATGGTGATTATGTTAGAAAAATGTTTAATGTTTTGAGGGAACCACAAAAATCAGGATTTGGCTTTGATGTAAGAAGTTGGTGATGAAAAGATTTTATATAATAGCCTAAGGAGGTCTCAAAGTATAAGGCTTTTGATAAGGCTTCTATTGAAAGTATATCCTAGATTAAAATAGATCTTCTGTTTATATTTACGCTGGTTTTATCTTGATTTTTGTGGCTTTAGCAGTGCCCCTCTTTTTAAAGATACGCTACTTTGCTAAATGCAGAGCATCATATTTGTATTTACCAGTTTTCCTGTTTATGTTGCAGAATGGTTTGGATCTTCTGTTTCATCCAGCTACTGCAAAGCCTGTGTCATGGCAGCATGCAAAGCTCATTCAAGCCTTCATGAGTCAGGGCGAGCACAGACAGGCCCTCAGATACATTCAGACGATGAAGCCGACAGTGTCCAGTGATACTGATATTATCCTTCACATCGATGTGTTGCTGCTTAATAGGTAAGTGCATATTTTGAAAGTACCATGGAACTCCTGATTGTGTCTGTTAATACGATGGAATTGATGAAATGGGTAGTAATATGTTTTGCTTTTGCTGTATTACGTTATAATCAGTGTGATATGTTTGCCACCATTTATACTATAGCAGTATTGCTGTTATCGTTGTGTTTGTCATTCATTATATTAATGGTGACAAGTTAAATGGCGTGACTGATAATGTAGTAGTCTGGTAATTGCATTTTCTTGTTAGCTGATTAGTTGGGGGGATTGCTTAGAATTGATATTTCTTCCCAAATTGTAACGATATACAAATCATATTGTTTTCTTTTGTTTTTGGTCGTTTTCCTTGGTTATTTTTATATTTTTGGAAATTGGTCGTTTTACTCACCCCAAGTTGTCATTGGTAAATGAAACAGCAAGTTAGTGTCTTTACTATGAAAGTTAAGTTTTCTTTGTTCTCTTTGGTTAAATAGAATGTATTTCTGAGGGGAGAGGGTTAAATCAGGAGAAGAGTTCTGTAGTTTAATAGTAGGTTGGCTAAACATGTAGAAACTTAAGATGTCCTTAAAAGTAATGGATTAGGCAGTATTTGAGGAAAGAATTTGGGTGAACAAAAGGGATTGGCTAGGCCCTGGCTGGGTAGCAGAGTTGGTTAGAGCGTCACCCCAAAATGCCAAGGTTGAGGATTCAATCCCTAGTCAGGGCACATATAAGAAATAACCAATGAATGCATAAATAAGTGGAACAAAAAAAGTGTTATTTCTTCTCTCTTTATCTCTCTCTCAAGATCAGTTTTTAAAAAGTGTTTGGCTAGCTTTAAAAAAATGTCTAGAATGAATGTAAGAAGGTAGAAGTGACAAAGAGCTTTAATACTGGGTTGGCAAGTAGCATGTAAATTTTTCTCAGTCCCATGTAAGCTTCTTCAGTGACTTTACAGAAGTGGTAATTGATCACTAATGCTTACATCAAAGTGCAGGTGTTGGAACCTTAGGAAAAAAACACCTTTAAAGATTTCATTCATTTTTTAGAGAGAGAGGAAGGGGAGGAGAAAGCGAGGGAGAGGTTTGCCTCTCAACCGTCTGCCTCTAGTGGACCCCCAGCCCCGGGGGCCTGGCCCACAGTCCCCGGTCCACACCAGCGCATAAGACTGCTGTGTTGTCTTCAATTTGATTCCGTGGTCCTTTGATTCGTCCTGCCTGTTTCTCTGATTTGCCGGATTCTCATTTCCTCTTCCTTTACCATAGCAAACATTATATAATGTAATTTCTAAACTTTGTTTCTCTTAAGTACAGTGAAGCTTCAGGTATCCACTCTCCAGAAATCTAGCAACATTGTGTCCTATATACTACATTCAGAAATAAAAATAAGGGACCACTCATTTTCCTAACACTTATTTCATTATGAATACTAATGGCTATCACTTGGTTTATATACTCCATTTCTTATATAGGTCATGAATTTACCAGTCTTTATTTTAGTATTTGTTATTACTTCAGTAAAAACTATAGCTAAAGCTTCCCACTATAGTCAGAATTACTGACTGACTTAGAATTGGGAATGATTTTGTAAGAAAATTATTTCCTTTATGTTCCTATTTGCTATTTTTTTATTCTGTCTACTTCTGCCTTGAAAGTTACCAGTCCCTCAGAAATTCTAAGTGCCAGGTTAAATGTCATCTAATAAATACATAAACATTTATGGGCCTTGTTTATTGGTAAATTTCTAAAATAATAATCACTCTACTGGTTTAGATTGTCTTTAACTAAACAGTACACCATGAGGAACACGGCTTTGTTCAGTGACCTGTTGCCCGCAGAAGGGTATTTCAGTGACCACACATGGCACCTCGTACTGTCTAATTTGATAAAGTTCTGCAGCCAGATCCTGCTATAGATCAGCTAAAATCTTCTGTTACTAAGCTTAAATTCTCTTCCTCCTCATAAACAGTATGGTTGTTTCCATCTTGATTCATTTTCTTTCTTACTCTTCTTCCTCATGCTGTCACTTTTTTAAGAGCCTGCCTTTCTCTGTCACACCATTTAATCTTTCCGTTTTATCCACACCACGTTAGTTTTCTATCTTGACCTTTTTTGTTTTCCTATCATTTCACACTCCAATGGTACAGAACAGCATAAAATTAAGTCTGTAGCATGCCTTGTTTACATTAGCAAACTTGGTTATGCGGTGATCAGTATTCTATGAAAGTGCCCTTAAATTACATGTACAAAGTATCTTTGAGACTCTTCAGGTGGACTAATCGTTTTGAGCATTTTAAATAGCTTCTGTGAAAGTAAACTTTGGTGAACACTGATTCCAGGTGCATGATTGAGGCCTGGACTGTGCTGCGGCACCACTCCAACAGACTGAACGCAGAGGGGTTGTTGAAGCACACGTACAAGGTCTGTCAGGAGATGGGCCTGATGGAGGACTTGCTGAAGTTGCCGTTTACAGACACTGAGCAGGTAATGACTCGCCAGTGGAAACTTGTCAGCAATTCTGCATATATTAGTAGCTTACAGAAATCTATTATGTTCTTCCTAGGAGTGTTTGGTGAGATTTTTGCAGTCCAGCACCAGTGTCCAGAATCATGAATTCCTTTTAGTTCACCATTTACAGCGTGCCAATTACATCCCTGCCTTGAAACTGAACCAGACTCTGAAGAGCAATGCCATGGTATATAGTTCACTTGTTTTATTACGGGAGACGAGAGAATAAGGAAGACCAGCAACTTGGTTAGACAAGAGCTTGTAGTTGTGGAACTAACTACTGGGCTTTATATCAATCTGAGCTTGGAGAATCAGTCCTCCTCTTAACCTTCTATAGCAGAATTAGGAACAGGGATTTATTATTTACTTAAACAGAAATGGCATATGTAAAAGAATTAAGTGTCTGTCGATCATCTTGCCAGACTAACCACTTTCCTCAGGGACGAGAGAGTGAGGTGGAGCACAGCAGTAGAAAGTACCCAGCGTAGAGAGCATGTGTTTTGGGGGGCAGGCTGATCTTAGTTTGCTGCGTCCTTGGAACATCTCTCTCTGTCTTGGGCTCCTCACATGTAAGATAGTAACTCCTCTTTCTGAGGATGTACAGAGGTGAGTGGGTGTGAAGTAACAGGTCCATATTACTGACACATGGAGAAGCTTAGTAAATGACAACTGGTGTTTTTATGAGTTAAGAAGAATCGAGGCTGGATAGGAAAGACTTGGAATGTATTGATGGATAAGGTTTGGTAAAGTAATTGTGTGTATTGAAGAGCACACACAATTACTTGATTTAGAAGAATGCATAAGTAGGGAGGAAGGAGTTATTCTTGGATATTCATAATTATATTTTAAACATAAACATATCACCTAACATGTTTGAAGATTAAATTTTTACCAGTTATGATATCTTCAATAGAATGATCGAGATCCTCACTTGCGGGAGAGATCAGTGGCTCGAAATTCTATATTAGACCAATATGGGAAAGTTCTTCCTAGAATCCATCGAAAATTAGCCATTGAGCAAGCTAAGCCTTACCGTGTATCAGCACTGTCAATTATTCGAAAAGGTAAGGTTTCATTGAAAAATGTCTACGTATTAAATTAGAAGACAATGATTTACCTTCTGCCACCATCACTATCTTATATTTCAGCTCATTTTTGCTTTGAATTGTCACAGTGGTGCTTTTTTTTCCTATTGGCCATTCTACCCCCTAAATGTAAGGCTTTCTTGGAAGCTTTTACAGTTTATTTAGTAATGTAATAAAGAATGAAAGAACTTTATTTCTTTTCAGACTCCTGTCCAACATTTAGAGAGCATGTAGAATAATTTTTCATTGTTTCCTAGAAGCCCAAATTGTTAAATTTCTGCATAGATGTTGTTAAACCAAATACAGTTTTAACTGGACTCTTATGTTGTAATCTGTTTTCCAGTTACTTATATATTAATTTACTATCAATAAAATCCTGGTGTTAGAGATGACATTAAATCCTACATTCTTCATTTTACAGTTTCTCGGCCCAGACCATTATCAGCTGTTCCAAAACCACCTGTAATAGGGAGTGTGTTAACAAGATCTACTTTCATCCATAACGTGCTATCTAAAGTTGGAGAGGTTTGGAAAAGTGAAGAACCTAAAAATAGCATCTTAGCCTGCAACAGGTGTGTTTCTCTTACACTTTTTATGGTCATCTTACTTGTTAATCTTTCCTGGGTAGCAGCAGCATTCATAAACATACCAGCCTTAGAGTTTATTAGTGTATGTAAAAAGGAAAAACTCTCTATGCTGGCTACTTTCTTACAGAAGAATGTTTTTTGTCTTTAAAAGCAAGTATTTTTGTTGGAAAAAGCAAATATTTTCATTGGTATTTGTAAATCATCAGAACTGTTCAGAGTTAAAAAAAAAAAACCAAGCCTTTCTCTACCATCTGGTTTTACTTTCTTAATATTAGTTTTAATTTAATGTTCCTTGTGATACCTAATCAAAAGTTACATTTCATTTTCTTCGTAGTCCTAACATAGAAGGACCATCTCCTGTAGTGTGTTCTCTCCCAGATTACGAGCTGCCTGGGGCATTCATCGGAACACCAATCTTAAAAGCATCACAGAAAGTTTCGAGGTAAGAATTTATTAAGTCGTTTTTAAAGACACAATGTTTGGCAGTAATTACACTAGTTTTTCATTATTTTTAAAATTTTACAAATTGTTTTAATTTCTTCAGTGAGTTTTTAGTGCTTGCTTTTTAAAATAATTTGGGCAGTAATACAGTAATTGTAATAAATTTTACATCAGCTGGTGGACTACTTAGAATTTTTGCTTAATGATTTCAGACTGCTTAGAGCAGGGCTGTCGGATTCATTTTCACCAGGGGCCACATCAGCCTCACAGTGCCTTTGAAGGACCCAATGTAATTTCAACTTGTTAACAGTTAAGGAGTAGTTACATTTATACAGTCCTAAAATTAAAGAGAAGCAAACCTCTATTAAAATTACAAGCAAAATGAAGACAGGCATTGTGGGTAATAAAAATGTAGACTGTTTATTGAGAAATCAGAAAAGGAGTGACCTATATGATCCACCAAAAATTGTAACCTGAAAATTTTACTTTCCGGTTTCAATTATTTATTTATAATTTGAGTTTTTAAGCTCTTTGGGACTATGCCTGCTTAATACAAGTCATCAGTGAGGTTGGTCTTATCATTTGATATGAACTGGGACCACAGCATTAGAGAAAACAGTTACGATTCCATTTTTCTCACTGACCTCATTAATTTGAAAAAATTGACCTTTTTTTGTTGGTGGTCAGTCTAGTCTTTATTGTGATAAGAACTGTAAAGGTAGACTAAACTGGTATTTGTTATGTACATCACATGGAAGTGAAAGGCATTTTGATGTGTAGATGAAAGTGAATTGTAGCAAGTGGATTGCTGGGGAAGTGTTGCTGTATTGTCTTTAGTATTTTAAATCATTAGCAGTTCATCTTCATTTGAAAATAAATGCCTGACATATAATATAGTAGGGGCTCATTAAACATTGGTAAAAAAGGGAGGAAGGAAGACTAGAATTTCCCCTGACCTCCACTTTTTAAAAACCAATTGTTATCTACAGTTCTTTTCTACTTTTGCTGCTGAATTACTTTCTGACTTTTTAAAGATGTATTTATTTTTAGAGAGAGGGGAAGGGAGGGAGAAAGAGAGGAAGAGAAACACCAGTGTGTGGCTGCCTCTCACATGGCCCCTACCGGGGACCTGGCGCACAACTCAGGCTTGTTCCCTGACTGGGAATCCAACCAGCGACTCTTTGGTTTGCAGGCCCATCTGCTGAGCCACACCAGGGCTGATTTTCTTGCATTTTCGAACATGCATTTAATTAATGCACTTGACTGAATTTATATTTATATTCATGTAGTTATCATATTTATCAGTGATTGTAGAAGCCTGAGTAATTAAATGGAATACTAAATTCTCTTGTTTTATTTGTATAACTTAGGAAAGGAAAACTTCTGGTAACTTTTTTACTATGTGTACTCTCATTACAGACTCTTGGATTTAGTCGTTCATCCTGTTCCACAGCTTTCTCGATGTTTGGGGTTTATTCAGCAAACCCCGCCAAGATTTTCTTTGGACCTAACATCCAGTCCACAATTAAAAGGATCCTATCAAAATACCTCCAGAGCTTCAGAGTTACATTTACTTGAAACTCCTGCTGTAGTTAAGGTGAGTGTTACTAAACAGACTTTACAGAATTTATCCTTTGTGCTTAACTGGCATTATACTCTCAGTTAACAAATGTATTGTTCTGAAAGTAATGCATGGCTCTGTGTGGTCATTGTAAATTGGCCCGCATCCTTTGAAAAAACGCTTTCACGTTCTTTGGTTTGCTTTATTTTTTTAAATTCTACTACTGATAGCATTTTGCTGTTGTTCTGTCTAATGCTTTTTAGTTCTCAGGCTTATTTAATTCTCTGACTCCTTTGATGCAAGTATAAACTGTTAGTCTTTCCCACTAACAGATACTTGTCTGTAAATTGTTTCCACTTCACTCTCTCTGATAAATTACTATCTGAGAAAACACAAAACTAAACTTAGGATGACAAGAGTGGTTTTTTCACCTTCATATTGTCATAATGTTTTTACATATGTTATCCCCTAGCTCCTTGTCCATTTTTTTAGATCCAAATTCAGAATCTTTTTTTATTGTTTTAAAAATTATTTCTTGATATCTAGCATTGGTAGTGAGCCAGGGAATTTTCTTATTTTTCAGATTGACTAAAAGGTACTTCAGTAAATGCTCATCCTAAAATAAGTTGAAAAGAAGGTTACTAAGACTATTAACTTCCTGACACTTAATATCCAATACAGAATCTCTCTCTCTTTTAATCAAGAAAAACAATCAAGCCCCGGTTGGTATGGCTCAGTGGATTGAGTGCTGGCCCATGAACTGAAAGTTTGCCAGTTGAATTCCTAGTCAAGACATGTCTGGGTTGCAGGCCAGGTCCCCAGTTGGGAGCGTGAGAGAGGCAACCTATTGTTGTGTCTCTCACATATCAGTCGTTCTCTCTTTCTCTCTCCCTTCTCTGCTCTCTAAAAATAAATCAATAAAACCTTTTAAAAAGAGGGAGGGAAACAATAATTTTATAGTGTCTACGGCTAGGTTTAAATGAAATTAAATCAGGATAATTTTGTACCTGCCGCCAAAATAATCTGGGGGGGGGGGATCAGTACAATGTTGTAACAGATTCAGTAATCTAATGGGGGTTTTACTACCTAGTTTCTGTGCTAATTATTTTTATTCACTATAATAAATCTTAAGAGGCTTTTTATTAGTAATTTAGGTACTGTTGTAGTCTAAAACATTCTTAAAGTCATTCTCATTGATTTAGATCATATTGCTATAAATAAGCTAGACTGTTCATCACACAGTCTCATCTCTTTAACCTATATAAAGTTCTCTAACCAATAGTTAAATAATTTATCTTACCTGTGCACTTTTTAAAAGTTGACTTTAAACTGGAAGTAACCAAAGGCTTTAGAATAATTACAAATGGACTTTTATATTTTGTAGTCTTCAATATAGAATGTTGTAAATAGTTTATTTTCGTTCCAGTGGTCTGTAATAAAACCTGTTATTGATGTGTTTATTGGAGATGAGAATATAGCCATCTCTGTGACTCAGGTGACCCTGTCTGTCCTTATGTGTGTGACTGTTACAAACACTAATGGACTCTTTCACTCTTTTTCCACTTGCTCTCTGTCATAGAAAGCTAAAACTCTGGCCATGTCAGTTACTTCCTCTGGATTTGCTGAGTTCACGCCTCAGTCCATCCTAAGGTCTGGTCTTCTTCGATCAACACCTTTAGCATCTCCCTCTCAGTCACCTGGAAGGTCTCTTACTCCTCCTTTACGACTTAAAGAAACTAGAATTTCATTCATGGAAGAAGGCATGACCACAAAATGGATTGCTAAAGTAAGTTTGACATTTGGAACAAAAAGAGTTAAGAATATATTTGTTCCAATAAGTAAAAAGTTAGATAAATCAATTTAAATGGTATCATTATCACTGTAGGTTTTTATATGCAATTCTGTAGATAGTCATGAAATCAGAAAGTATTCAGAAAATAACTAGGATATTGACTGAGCCGAACCCATCATTTACAGGTGGAGAAAGAAAGGGCTGAGAAGCACCACATAAATTGCCTACAAGTAGCTCTTTGTTGGCAGAAATGGGACTGGAATCAAGACCTAACTTTTAGTCCATGTTTTTTTTTTTTTTTAATGTTTTTAATCTATATTGTTTTTGCTTCTTTTATTAAGTGCCTAACTGGTTTATTTCAGGGGGTCTATCTTTAGAGCCCCACTGTAGGTTAATAGGAACCCATCTTGCCTATAAAAGTCCTAGAAATACTGATTTATGAATCAGGGAAACATTAACAGTTACTCAGTTTAATCATGTCTCTGAAGAGAACAGATTTTGACTACATGAAATTCAGTTGAGAATTTGGAGAAATATTGCACCTGGAAAGGGTGGGTATGATTGGGATGGATAGCTTAGACTTGACTGTGATTTTTACTAGTAAAAAATTTTTTCAAAACCTTTTATTTAACAGACTGCAGATGATAGCAAAACAAAAGGATTTGTTACCATGCCTTTTTATAAATCTGGAATTCCAGGAGAAACTGAATGGCGGAAGAACAAAGATAAGACATGTTTTTCCCTGATTAACCCTGAAGTGGACCATGGAGAAATGGATGTGAGGTCACAGAATACACCGTCACGGAGTTTGGAAACACTGGATGTGAGCAAGGAAAATAGCAATGTTTCAACTGAATCACTGGAGTATCAAGATGCTCCATCACCAGGAGAATTTGAGTACATTTTCATGGCCTCTAAGCCAGCGAGCTGTTCCACTGAATTAATTAATAACTTAACTGAAAAAACTGAGAAGGATGGTGATAAAGATGTATTTGAATCAGAAGTAACTCCTCTATACCTAGAGAAACAAATGGGTAAGAACTCATTTCCAAATATTCAAAATGGCCATCGATGTCCCTCATTTTGACAGAATTTTTTCAGCATAAGAAAAGTGTCTGGGTTAAGTAATTACATGACCCAATACACACATCTTATTCTTCACACAAGTAAATTGGAGGAGAGAACTTATTATGTGTGTTTTTTTTTTTAATTTGGAAATGAAATTTAGAAAAGAATGGTGATGTTTAAGGAAGACTGTCAGCTCTCACTCTGACTTAAAAGCCTTCTTACAGCTGAGAAATAATACTAACTTTAGACAAGGCTGCTATTTCAGTTTTGAACGTATCCGGCTTATCTAAAACGCTACTCTGAAACCAAGAAATTCATTTTACTCTCCATCCCTACCTTCAGAATCATCACTGGACAGTCAAAATGAATGTACAAAGGCCCATGAATTTATAGTCTTATATGTTTGTCTCAAAAAATTTTAAGCCCCTAATATATGTGCAGCAGCAGGTGGGCTTTCCCATGTGTGGGCCACTCGTTGCTGAGATGAGTGAAGTAGACATGGCACCCGCTCACCTGTAAGTTAGAGCCCCGCAGATTATGTAAACAAACAGGCACCTTTAAGGTAACTTGATAGTGCTGTGCTAGGGAACGAAGAAGGGATCAGGGGAACACTGGGAAGAAGGGGGAAGAGTAGCCTTGGTGGACTGGAAAACTAATTTCCTTTTTGTTTCTTATCCTGGCATAGTTTTAACAAACTTACTTAAAGGTAACTCCTAACTTTAAATCTGTAAAACCAAATGCTTTTATGAAAATCTGGGTCATAGTGGCTTCTTTTGGGAAATACTTTCTGCCTGAGCTGAACTAAGGTTTCTCAAGATGTTAGTTCAGTGAAGTTTGGGCTATGATATCTTTAATAAATGTAAGCTTTTCTTCTCTGAGAATTGAGGACTTTTCAAAAGCAGCATGTGTTTGGAAAGTTTACATCATTCTCCTATGCTACATTCCACTGAAATACTGAAATGGTAAATAAATAGTAGGTGAGGATCTTCATGGGAGTATCTTAATTGATATCGCTAAAATGATAAGGCAGTCTCAAATAGAAAGTTTTATTGTTTTTGTGGGGGAATTATGTAGCATAGAGTGAAACAGACTAGTTTGAATCTTTATTAGCTCAGCTACTTACCCAGGTTTGTGACCTGGGATAAGCACTGTAACTATATACTTGTTTTTTATTATCTTTAAAGTGGGGAAATAGTACTGCTGATTGGAATGCTGTAGGTTAAGTGAATTGATACATGTATGATTTACAGGCCCCTCTGAAGATGGGGAGACAAAGGGTCTCTTGGTTGCAGAGGAGGCGGTACTTTCAGGATTAAATCACTTAAGCCCTATTCAGGGGGTTGAAGCTCCTCTTTCTTTACCATCAACGCACGAGCGGTAAGTTTTAGAGAAAACTTCAAATATGAATAATGCCTAATGAAACTAAACCAGTAAGAAAATAGTCTGTGCTTGGTGGCTCTTAGTTAGATCTCTGACACATCCATATTTGTTCATATTTTCTGTTAAGAAGTTCATATAGTTGTGTGTTATTCAGTGTGTAGTGTTATGAAATCTTAGAACAATACTAAATATTTCCTGAAATGAGATGGTGATGGATTGAGGTGGAACTCACGTCGCCTGGTGGCCCTGTTTTGGTTGAAGACCAAAAGTTTCCCGCACAGTTGTGCCTGCCTTTGTGCCCTTCCATCTCCACCTCCAGTGCTTTGGGGGTGATCCGGTGCAAGTTTCCTGTGGCACCTAGGTGGGGCCCAGGGGAGGTGGCTCAGAGACAGTCTTGTCCTGCCATTTGACTGACACAAGTTTTAATTGCGGTCTCATGACTACGTGAGCTGTTAATGCTCCGAATTAGTTTCGTTTTGTACTTGCACATTTAGAAGGTGCACCCGATGACGTAGGGCTGAAGTGTGGTCTAATGGATGGGCGCCAGGTTCCAGCAGCCTGTGGTCCACAGCGGGAGGAGCAGCTTCCTCTGCTGGGTGTTACCCGGACCAGTCGGTGACCCAGCTGCTTCTCTTCCTGACACAAGCTCCCGATGGCGGTGCAACACTGCACTCACTGCACATCAGTACTGACAGTGATGCAGTGACACCACTGTCGAGGACACCCCAAAAGTTGTAATTTTTCATTATTAAGAAGTAATAAGAAGGCCTGGCCAAGGAGTTCAGTCGGTTAGAACATTGTCCCAGTACACCAAGGTTGCAGGTTCAATCCCTGGTCAGGGCACATACGAGAATCAACCACTGAATGTGTGAATAAGTGGAACACAAATCCATCTCTTTCCCTCTTTTTCTTCCTTTCTCTGAAAAGAGTAAAAAAAAATTTTTAAATAGAATAATATACTAAATTGAACACACATAAAACAAATACATTGTAAATGGTTTATTAATAATAAGTCCTGAGAGTGACTTCATAAACCACTCGCAGAAATCAGTATCATAATAGTCACCTCTCCTAGACTGCACTTATTCAAATGTTTCTCTGAGAAGAGAAATCCTGAGTAGCTGAAGTCTTTGCTAGGCCTTCATGGAAAAGGTGGGTGAAAACAACAAGAAGAGATTGTTCAGACTGTTTTATTTCTCATGTTTTAAATCCGATGAAGGCTCACACTTCTTGCATTGGGTTTGATGGATAATTATAACAATCACAAGGCAAAGGGCAACCACGTGACAGGAAACTTTGTGATCATCAGTGGTAATCTCAGTGAATGTCCTCCGTCTGGGCAAGCTAGTTTCTTTTTTTAATACAAACCAGTTTAGTTCATACTCTTCCTATAAACATTATGGTTGAGATAATCTTTCAGATGTCTCTGTAAACATATGTGTATATAGGCCATGCACATGCTTTTTCTTGAATTTGTGTTATAATTGTGTTTTTCCTGTTTTTAAAAATTAGCATGCTTTAGTTGGGTTTTGGGGAAAGGCTAGCTAGGAATAGGAGGGATCATTGTCAACATATTTCCAGAACTTAGTTTCATAAAGTACATTAATACAGGTGCCATTGGTCTCCCATTCTGAGTTATTTATCATACTCTTTACAGTTAGCATTAACGTACTGAACCTGCTTCTACTAAGTATATAGGAAATATCCCATATTCGGTGACTTATTTGGAAATTGTGGCCACAGTTTAAAAGTTGGCATAAGAGCCCTGGCTGGTGTGGCTCAGTGGATTGAGTGCCAGCCTGTGAACCAAAGGGTCACCAGTTCGATTCCCAGTCTGGGCTCATGCCTGGGTTGTGGTTCAGGTCACCAGCAGGGGGCATGTGAGAGGCAACCACACATTGATGTTTCTCTTCCTCTTCCTCCCTCCTTCCCCCTCTCTAAAAATAAATAAAACATTTTAAAATCATTTTACTTGTAATTTAAGGCCATGCCATTATTGCCAACAAAGTAAAATATTAGAAAATAGGAAAAACAAATACAGCATTACTTGTTTCTGAATTCACTTGTAACTTGAAGTTCACAGTGAACTTGCATCATGTTAATTTCCCTGGACCGTTGGGTTTTTTCAGCAGTGTGACAGGTAGGTGCCCTAGGGAGTACGGTGTAAAGCCTGTTAGAGCAGACAGCATCTTCTCACACTGTAAAGTCTGTATTTCTGTTTCTGTAGGAAAGTCCTTACGCAGAAGCCCAAAGTACCAGCTTCAGATGAAGTAACAGTTGAAACCTGCACCTCTACAATTCAAACAGGTAACAGTCAGTGTATTATTTTTACTTTACTCAAACACTAAAATGAAGTAATTCTAAAGAATTCTGCTCTTAGAACAAAGCAGTCTGTTCTCGATTTTTTCCCCTCTGTTGTGTATGGTGTCGGAGGTGTGTCAGCTGTCAAAACAGTGGGTTACTTGTAAGGCACTCCATGAGTCTAAAGGTGCAAATCTTAGAATGGTTTTTGTGGACATATTTTCCTTCAGAACATCAACGAAGAGCAAAGTAAATCACCAGTCCCCGGTCAGACTGCATAACTGCTTCTTGATCTTCTGGGCCTCGTATCTCTGCACAGGGCAACTTCCTTCTTATTGTGTTTGTGATCATCTCAGACCAAGACTGACTTTATCATTAGAAAATAAACACAGATGACTGAGTTTACTTTAAGGAAATTAACAAATACATGGATTCCTCCCCTGCCCCCCCTCCCATGCTGCCTCTTAGCCCCTGGCTGTACAGAGATCAGGAAGATACATTTTCCTCACTGAGGTCACCATTAGATTTGGGGGGAAGATATCTTGAATGCCTGGGCCCAGAACCTGCCTGCACATTTTCCTTGAGGACACACAGCTATGATGTGATGTAGGTGCACTGACCCCAGAGCACATGCTCCCTGTTACACCCTCCTGCTCATCGCATACAAATGGGATTTAGGACAGGCTTGAGTAGACCTGATACCTCCCCTCCAATTAAGAATGTAATACATGTTTATTGTAAAATAATCAGGAGGAAAAAGTCCAACATGTAAAAAAAAACCCTATAACCTGGTTACCCATTTCAGGAATCCACTGTTTACCATTTAAAGTGCCTTTTTCCTGAATTATTTTTTTCTGTGTATATTTTCCCTCATACATTGAAAGAGTAGGTAAGTATGGTAGCTAAAGAGTACAAGGGCTTGAACCGGACTGCTTGGGTTCATAACTCAGTTCTGCACTTACTATGTATAAGTTTAAGACATTTTCCCTTGTTACTAGTTTAGATTAATCCTGTCCTCTTTAATGGTTTTAATAGTATTCCGTAATAGGGATGTCCTTTGGTGTGTTCATCCTAATTATTGTTGAACACTTGGGCTGATCACCATTTTTGTTTCACTGTTTCGTTTCTGCAGTGAATATTCTTGTGTGTGTGTGTGTGTGTGTGTGAGAGAGAGAGAGAGTGTCAGTGTGAGTATTTCTGTTTGGTAGATTCCTGAACTTGGACTTGCCAGGGTAGCAAGTAGGCACAGGTTTTTAATATTTTGTTTTTCCTATTAATAAAGGTTGTTTCTGCTTTCATACACTGATGATTGGAAGGTAAAGTGCATGTTTTCTCGTTCCTCTTTGCCAAACTGACAGCTGAAAAAACGTTTGATTTTTTTTTTTTATGCAGGCTTTGTCTAGTAGGCCTGTTATCAATTAAATGTGTAAAAATGCTTTTCCCTAGTTGGTCTTTTTACTTCAAATCTGTTTATTGACTTTTATTAAACACTAGAGATTTTTAATTTAGTTACAGTTTTGTGTCATTCACGAACTCTACATCCAGATACGGCCTGCAAGTGCTAATGACATAAAATTTTGGCAAAGAGGAAGGTAAAAGGAGGAGCTGATTTTTCACGAGCCACCCGCACCCCCCAGGCTGGGGTTTGTTGATGTTGTTTTTAGTGGTAGACTATTTTTGTGGCCAAATATTTGGGTGCTTTCTGCCAAAAGAAAGATTCCTATCAGTCCTTTGCACAGCCAGATCAAGGCCCAGATCGCACAGTCCTCGTGTAATTGGTCTGCAGTGACCAGATAGGACAGCAGGTTACCTGACCTGACCCGCACAGTCCAGATTCACTTAACCAGGAACAAACACCTGGGCTCCTCAGAGCTTTCGTCAGATTGATGTTTCATGATAAGTGCAAAAATTATATGCCAGTTGAGAAAAACAGTGTTACTGTCTTTAAATGTAAATTTTATCTAATATGTTTTATCTTTGGAGGAAGCTCATGCATTGTTAAACTGAATAACTAGAGGCTGAAGAAACGGGATTATCGTGTAAATCCTCAGGGGCTTTCCCATCAAAGGGGAAAAGAAATATTCTTCAAGGAAATGTTCTCACAAGTGCATTGTAGCCTTTACCCTTCTGTTTGCTTCCCAAATAGTGTGTGTATATATCGTTTTTGTCAACTTAATGAGTGGAAGAGTGACTCCTGTTTTTCCTTTCAGCTGTGGCCGGTGTCCGTGGTGACAGTGGAAGCCCTGGGCTCATTATCCCTGAGGGTCCTGTTATCTCTGAGCACAGGCTCGAGCGGGACACAGCAGTGAATTTAAGAGAAGATCATGAAATAGAAGTTGATGTGCTAAAAGAAGGTGCTGACTTACCAGAAGAAAAGCCTCCAATTTCTGACGATTCTCCTGATACTCAAGAAGTTCATGTAAAAAAAATTAATTTTTTAATTCTTTGTCAGTCTTTGTTTTAATTTAGTTAGGTTTTAAACCATAGTTTGAGCCTAATGTATTTATTTGATTACTATATAAAAACCTCCTTTAAAAATCTGCGTTTAAAAAAGTGTGTAAGTAGCTTGTGAAATATAAAGGAACACAGCCTTTAAGTAAGAAATTTTCCTTAACCAAGACTAAAAGGCTGTGTTAAATTAAGTCACAATTATAACAATTTTGCTTATTAGTATTGGTTCAAATGAAAGTTATTTCAGTCACAAGAAAATGGATACTTCAGAGACAAGTGTGAAATTATTCAAAGCATATATATTTGAAAATAATTTAATATGGTTAAATTTTTTCCCCCATGAATTCTTGTGAGGTAATGATGTTCACTTGGCTGGGGTTGAACTTCACTCCAGAAAGGATTTTTTTCCCTTGGTACTTAATATGACCTGCAGTATCTAAAAATTCTACCAATTCTTTTTTACTATCAGCAGGCAACGTTTTATGTGACAAATGAATTTAAGATGAGGAAAAAACAACTGTTAATTATTTATAGAAATTTAGTTGTAAGGTATTGGGAAGGTTTCTTAACTCATAAAAGTATTGTGGTTGTCCATATTCATTTTTATGACTGTTCTCACTGTGAAATAGATGGATACAGTCCCTGTTGCTTTAGCTGGAAAGCTTAAAAGCTTGTGGGCGTGGTGTAAATGGTAATCCTTATTTCTGTGTGTTTCCAGTCTCTCATCTCATTGAATGTTTGGGGTGTGGGAAAATGTCATTGTCTAGGTGGGTGGTGATGTTCTACCTTCTCGGTCAGGAGATCTCTCTGTTACTTTCTACCTCCTCCTTTTTCTCCCCTTCCCTTACCAAAAGGTAAATGCAAGGACCATTCCTTCTTCCACCAAACCCTTGCAGGAGAGGTACTGAACTTGAAAGCCTTAGGAATTTCATGGTTTATGCAGCCCCAGCAAAGGGAAGAGGATTGAGTCTAGCCCAAGGGAGCTTATGTAGGTGAATTCTTCTTCAACCTTATGGGGATCATGCTGTTTAGAAAAGTGTGGATAGTTAGGTAGTTTGGGGATTATCATTAAAACACAGTTTGGGGGTTATTTCTTTTTCTCCAGTTAATTTTTTTTTCTTGGGTGAGAATAAAGTAAGTCCTTAATTCTTTTCACAACTGTTAGCATCATAATAATTTCCAAGGTTTTGTTAATTAAGATTGGCTTTTTATAGTCAGAGAAATGTGGATGTCTACTTTAATTCCATACAGAATCTCAAAATCTTTTTCTGTCTAGTTATTTTAACTGAGAAAGTCTCATTGCTTAAGTGGATATTTTGTTAAGTAAACCCATAAGTATATACCTTGTCAAATGTAGTTTATGTTTAAAATTCATACACCAAGAGTGAAATGGTCATTTAAAAACATTATAAGTTAAAATACATATATTAAAATTCTTTAACCAGTGTCTTGTCTTTAATTCATTTTAGGTGATTGAAAACGAAAAGCTTGAAGTTCAAGATTCAGGACAAGAGGCTAGGAATCTTTCATTTGATGAGTATCCCTCAGGAACTCTGAAGCTTCAATATCATTTTGAGACCATAGAGCAACAGTTTCATGACTTACCTGATAATAAAGACTCTGCTGAGTGTGGAGACATTGCTGAAGTAGACGGGGAACTTTTTGTGGCTCAGAGCAACTTTACCTTGATATTGGAAGGTGAAGAAGAAGTTGAGACAGGTGATTCTGCAGCATCTAATGTGTTAGCTAAAGCAGCTAACACAGTCACTGAGTCAAAACATGTTTACACTGGGGAAAATGATAACCACGGACATGATACAAATGTGCCATCTATCATAACTAGTGATCAAGAGTCCCAAAAGGTAGAAACATTACCATATGTGCCTGAACCAATTAAAGTAGCAATTGCAGAAAATTTACTGGATGTAATTAAAGACACAAGAAGTAAAGAAACTACTTCAGATGCAATGGAACAGTCCATGCATGAAAACATACCTTTAATAAGCCAAAAGGTAATGGGTTCCACCAAGTTAGTCAAATCCACATTTAAGACTGTTCAAGAAACAAGTACAGTGACCATAGATGTTAACCAGGTTAATGACGTGATTGCATCCAGAACTCGAACAAGAAGACAACGTGTCCAAAGCCTGGATGTCAAATCAGTGCAGCAGGAAGAGTCAGCAGATGTCGCTACTCCTGAGATGCTGGCGGTTTCAGTTACAAAGAAAACTAGGAAAACAAAAGACATTTCCGAGGCTTCTGAAAGTGCCTTTTCTAATGTCAAACAAATATCTCAGAACCAGCAAATACCTCAAAATTCTATTACTCCTAAAAGAGGAAGGAGAAAGAAAGAAATTAATCAAGACACATTAGAAAGTATTAATTCTGTGAAACAAGAATTACAGGTTACTCCAGGCAGGGAATTAAGAAGATTAAGATCATCTCAAATGTTGAAATCAGCAACCACAGAAACTTCTTACAGAAAAGAGGCTAAGCTTTCATCTGCTACCAAAAAGACTCCCAAAAGAAAGCAAAAATCTGTAGAAAATCAAGAAAGTGTTGAAATTGTTAATGACCTAAAAGTGAGTAAAGTAGCAAGTCCTAGCGTAAGTACCAAAAGATTGAGACATACTAATTTAGAAACCTCTGAAGATAAAGGAAGTGAACAAGACAGAAAGTTCAGTGAACAGCAGCTGCCTGTTCATCGTAGTAATAGTAAAAGGGTTAAGAAGAGAGATGTTAACACATCAGATGCTAGAGAAGACTCCATACTCAATCCACCCCAGTTGACCCTACTACAAGCAGAATTTGATATGCCTGCTACACCTAGGAAACGTGGTAGACCGAGAAAAATTAATCCATCACAAGATGTAGGGTCTGAGGCTGGTAAGGAAGAGAGAAGTCCCAAGAACAGGAAAGCTCTCAGCATCCAAAAGAGGTCTACGAGGAACACCCCAGCTAAAAGTGAAAACACTGATGTCGGAAAACCAACTGTAGAAAAATCTGTTTTAGTGCCAAATGAGGAACTTGTTACAGTGACGAGCTCTAAAAAAAAGATTACAAAAAGGATTGGAAGTCAAAGCCAAAAACGTTCATTACGCTCAATATCAGAAAAACACGTAGAGGAAGATACAATTCTCAAAGAACCAAATGACCAAGAAGAAAAATTACTTGCCAAAACCGCTTTGACTCCATTATCCCACAGCACAAGAACGCGATCTAGCAAGACTGTCTTACCACTGGACTTTTCTGAACCAGAAAATGAGTCTGTATTTTCTCCTCCTGTGTCAAAAGTTCCAAGGAAAGAGAGAGGTACTTTTTTTTTTCTATTCAAAGCACAATTTTCATTTTATTTAGTCTTCAGCTTCGAAATTGTTTTAAACATGATTTGATTTGATTAGCCTCTAATTGGTTATTTCTTCTAAAGGTGATTTATAGTTACAAGGAATTTCTTCCTCTTCCAAAGCAAAACAGTGTTGATCTTTTCATAGTAAAATTTACAGGTCTTACAAAGTTTACTTTGAGATTCAGGAATTTTCTGGTTGAATATGATCTTTTGAAATCCTATAAGATACCAGTGAGGGAAGCAATTAAGAAAAAAGGTGAGAGATGATAATGAAGAAAAGGTTCAGGCAGTGGCGTAGCTGACTAGATCCCATTAGGATAGCTCAGGACTCTAAGGTTAGGTGACTTTGCTGTTTTATTTATTTAAACTTTAAAACATTTGCGTGCGTTTTTAAACGTATCAGTGAACATCCTATGTAGTTTCCTCCTGACTTGAGAAAGGACAAGAGAAAGGAGCCATTTAAAAAATTTGCAAACTGATACTTTTCGTCATCATTCATTATGCAGAAACTTTAAATATTTGAATTTCTGAGAAATGATACTGTTTGAAGAAATTGTATTTATGCATTCATTTGTTATATTTGTATAGCCTGAGCCCAGGAAAGGACCTTTTGCCACAGAATTATTTCCCCTAAGATGATGTACAGTTGTAGGAGGTCCCCCTAATTTTTTATTGAGTCTTTGATTTTGGTAGTACTGTATATAATGCAGTTTCTTTCATGATGTTACGAAAATGGCCATGCCTTTACTTTGCACAGAGAATGAAATGACAAAATGTGAGATTTTTAGCTAACTACCAAGCCTATGTTAAAATTAAAAAAAAAAAAAAAAAAAAGACAGCAATGAGAGCGACAGAAGAATGTTATTAACAGAATTATTTTTTACTTTCCTCCTGGCTTAGAGACATACAGTAAACACAAAAACAGCAAGTTATTTTGGTGTAGTTTAGCAAACATATCAATAACTGTGAGCTTTTATCATTACATAATCACCATCTACTGTAACTTTTTTCTGTTAAATACATGCGTACCATAGAAAATTAGAATTTAGAAGTAGATGCTCCCCCTGCCTTTAGTTCATGAGCATTTTCTGACAGTCTTATTGTCAGAACCCTGAGTGTGCATGGTTTTGGGGGGTTGTGTGTGTTTTTACACATCGATAGTGTCCATATGTGGCATTTCGTCTCATTAACACACCACAGACTGCTTACACACTCAATTGTGTTAAGTACTTGAGTTGTTGCAGATTTTCTAGTATCGTAAATAGGCACCTTAGAGCACAAGATGACAAAATTTCAAATGAGAAATCTGAGGTTGGGATCTCTCATTTCTGCTTATTTAACCTTTCTGATTCTTTTCTCTTTTTTTAAATTTTAATTGTTGTTCAAGTACAGTTTTCTTTTACTCCCATCCCACCGTCTTTTCTCATCTTTACAATGAAGGTACTAATGCCCACCCTACAGGGTCCTTATAAGTCTCTTTAATGAAACAGTTAACACCATGCGATAGTTAGTTTCCTTTCTTCTTTTGCCCTGAAATTATAGTTTTTACACTCTCAAGAACATCCCTCTCCCCTTTGCCCGTCTAAATTGTATTTTTAAAGCTCCTTTAGGGAGGGGCAGGAGGTGCAGAGAAGAATGGATACAGAAGCATTAGATCAGAAATTAATTTAGATTACATTGGAAAGCTGTAGGCTGTCCTGTTACTCAAACCTGTCAAAGAAATAGGTTCCTTAGAGTTTTCTTTAGATGTGTTTTATAGCCTAACGAATGTAGAGCTTGACGTTTCAATAGATTTTTTCCGGTTTCCATTACTCATCAGCAGATGTTTAAGGAGAACCTGTTCATATGCTTGAGGCCATGCTAGGGTATACATTTATGATTTCGATTCTCACTAAAACCCAGTTGAGTATAGGTACTATTTTTTTCTTTACACTTGGAGGAAATTAAAGTTCAGTGAGACTGGTGGTGGTGTCCTGGAGCCAACTCCTCCTGGCTGCTGAGAGCCAGTTGTGAAAATGCTCAGGAACTTTCTGAGCCAGCCATTATGGGAACATTCATACCACAGAAACCAGCAAGTACTATAAGTCAGAGCTGTCCACCACCCCCCACACACACCCCGAAAGGTGTGTACCAGCACACCACCAGGTCTGCTTACAGCGCTGGGTGAGGAGACATGCCCAAGTCTGGTCTGGCTAATAGAAGCTTATGGAAGGTGCTGAACACTTTACACACGCTTTGTACATCCTTTGGCTAAAGCTTATGTGAAGAATATGAATCAGTCTTTGAAAAGCCCAAGAAGCTGTTGATAAGCTTCTCTGGTTACCAGCAGAAAACCCAGCCATTTATCAGCTGGGAGCAGAGATACTTTTATTTCTGACTTCATGCCTATTATTTTGTTAAGAATTGTCTGCTTTAGAAGCAGAATTTGACATCTCATAAAACATTATCCCAGTAAGTGAAGTTAACATTGAGTTATAATTTGTTAATTTCTATTTCAAAGATTTGTTAATGATATTCTTCAGTTACCATTAAACATCCATAAAGCACTTAACCATAAGCCACACATTGTTCTTAATCCTCTCACCTGCACAATAACTTCATAATGTTATTGTTGGTCCCTTTTTTATAGAAACTGAGTCACAAAGAAGTCTTGCTTTTGGTCCCACAGCTGGCAAGTCCAGAAACTGGGACATAATCACTGGTGGATTGGCATGACTGCACTGGACCACTTCCAGAATCACATTGCCAAATGCCATTAAACTCGATGGTAGAAACAAAAAGCAAAAATCTGAGGTTAAGTCTACGATAGAGTTCTCAATATATATTCTAAACCAATTCTTAATCCATGTTTATTGAATAGCTTCCTTTCAGCTTGTTTTTGAGTATTGTGTCTGCTTGCTTTTTCCTTTTATGATACGTACTTTTCTGTCATTCCCCTTGACTAGAACAGTTAGAATGAGCTGGAAGGAAAAGTTTTAGTTTCTTCTTTGTAAATAACATCACTTGTGTAAATAAGAACCCTGTCCCTGGAACAGTAGGCATTAATGAAGCAAACTAGTTCAGGTTGTCTGTGCGAGAGATGCTTTCCTCCTCAGAGTGTTTGAGGGACCGTGAACACTGAAATTAATATATAGTACTGTCTTTTATCTGCGTTTAAAAAGCTCTGTTTTTATATTATGGCATTAATTAGTTGCAATATTAACTATCCTGAACACTTAATTACATACCCAAATGAGGTTGGGGTTTTCCTGTAATTTCTCTTAAGGTTACCACGTTAGGACACTCGTGTTTTCTCTGTCTGGAGAGGTTTCTGTCTTCCTAATGCACATCGTTTATTTCAGACTTTTTAAAAATGTGTATGCTTATATAAAGTGATATGCAGTAATTTTTTTGTCTTTTTTTAGCTAGAAAAATAGAAGCTCCTGAACAGCTGAAGGAATTGGTTTCAGATTTATCTTCTCCGTTTGTCTTCTCACCTCCTGCTATAAGAAGCAGGCGGAAGAACACAGCTAACACACCCAAACGTGTGCGAGAACTGGTAAGAAATGCACAGTTTTATTCGTATGCTTGTTTAAACATGCTTCTTCTGTTTTGAAGCAGTGTTCCTAAAGGAACTTTTTCTTTTTAAGAAAAGAGCAGACATTCACATTAATAGCCTGAAGTTGCCTTGTCTGCACTTCTGAGACCCTGTGTTTACAGCAGATCTGTGTCATGTTACTGATGGTAAATTACTGGCAGCTGCTGTTTAAATCCCATTTAGGGGAAAGGTTTTAAACTTTAGTGTCTCATTAGAATTATCTGGCTGTGTTTACTTAAAATGTGGGTCCCTGAACTCCAGGAATGTTATCCACAGACCATGCTTGAAGAGAGAGTGTTTTGTAGTTGATCCCATCACCTAACTGCATGGAGCACTTAAGTAAACGTAGTTCAGGGACCGAGTGTGAGACCCTTACAGTCACCAGTGTAAGCGCATAAGCAGTTTTTTAACGTCTGCCATGAGCCAGCTGTCGTGCCAGGACAGAGACACAAAAACAGTGCAGGCAGATTACATGTCTTTCGGGGGATCAGTGTAATTGAAGAGGCCAGAAACACAATTTTAGAGCGTGATAGGAATTGTTTCTACCCCGATGCCCCTACAGACAGAAAGAAAAGGAGATAAGTGTTCTTGGCAGAGAAAACCCTCGGATGCAAAGGCACAGAAGTGTTAACGGTGTGGGGGCCCGTGAGGGAAGGCCCTGGACACTGAGCAAATAGCCCTGTGCATATTCTGAGTGGTTCCCAGGAAAAATGGTTTCTGATGAGGAAGAAAACAGTCTCTGGAGGCCCGGTTCTTACCAGGCGATGGGAGCCTGGGTTTGGGAACAGGCAGGAGGAACGGAGGGCAGCAGGCAGTGCGGCCTCACGCACCAGGATCCTGTGTGGTCACGGGGAGGAATCCAGAGCCGTCTCTGGCGGCTGAGTTTTCTGCTCAAAAATTTGAGTCCATTTGGGATTTCTTGGGTTTGAAATCATTAGGACTGTTTGGCTATATTCTGAACTTTACATTTAAAATGTTTAGTTACTTAAGATTTACCTTTTTGAAAAATTTTTTAACTCTTAGGAAGATGATGCTGTGGGACAACAGAAAGTAACAAGAATCAGGACTGAGAAAACAAAACAAGCAAGCAAGTACGGCTGTTTCTATGCTGTTCTCTTTATGTTCCATTTCTTACAATTGGATTTGAGAAGAGTTATTTAAGAGAGAAACTCAGCTCATTTAGAAAAGTGTTATCCTTAGGGGCATTTCTAAGCACTGGCTCCTTGTAACTGTTCCATTTCAGCATGGAAGCTGGATTCCTTTATAGCGTGAAAGCCCATTTGTCCTCTTCCACAAAGGAGCTGTTAACTACCCAGTGATTCTTTGCTTTTACATGGCTGGGGATGAGGGCGAGATGTTCCTCCTTAGTGAAGATAGACGACTGTCTGTCTTTATTGGTAAAAAGTAGTTGTAAACTTAGAAATTCTTTGATTATTTCACTAATAGGACTAGTAAAACTTTAACCATGGGGAAATTACTCCATGTCAGATATATTTGTTACATGGTATTTTATTTATGCTAAGCTTAGGCATCATTGAATTTCATAAAAATACAGTAGTCCATTTTATCTTACTTTAAAAACATTTAATGAGCAGTTTGACTATCACTAATAATACTGTTTACATATAAATTGGCTTTATATGTATGTAGAAAACTACTTGCAGGGCAGGGCACGAGTAGGTCTATAGTGGTTCATATGGAAAATATGTAACAACAGGAATGAACTGTGTTGCATGTGCTCCCACCTGTCAGCCCACTTCTCCCCCGCCCTGTATTATGAGAACACACACACACGGTCATCGGTAGTCGCTGCTGCCTGAGAGCTGCCTTCTCACACACCGCACAGGCCTGCCGGGCCCTCGCTCCGTGGACTGGCTACTGATGCCCAGCCACGCCCTGGATCCCAGCCAGCAGTCTATTAGTGCATATGGAACAGGAAAGAACATTCTTCAGTGATTGTTCTGAATATGCAGATTAAAGGGGGAAACACCTGTCATGTGGAACTTGAACTCTGCCTCTGATTAGCTTATATGACTTAAAGCTTCACTTCCGTCCTCTTTCATAAAATGAAAGCACTAGGAAAGGGTTATTCCTGCAGTTTCTTTGTATATATTGAGAAGCCAGTTATATTTTGCATTATGATGGGTTTGTTTTCTTGAATTATATTTTTTTCAGAATCACAGAAAAAGAAAGTTCTTGGTCACCTCCTCCAGTAGAAATTAAGCTGATTTCTCCTTTGGCAACCCCAGTTGACAGAGCGAAGGGCAAGCCAAGGAGAACTGTAGACACGACAGGGAAAACCCTTGGAAGAAACCGGAAGAAACCATCCTCCTTCCCAAAACAGATTGTCCGCAGAAAAATGCTGTAATTATTTTCAAGTTTCAATGTACACCTGTTTGTAAAGTCACAGAATTGTGAATTATTAAAAATCCTCTAATTTGGAAGACAGTAATTTATATAAATTGTAAATTTTTGTAAACAGGAAGTCTTCCACAAGTAAATGACTCCCTGTGGGGTGTGATTCTTTTAGAGGCATTTTCCCTTTTTATATTAAGACTTCATACATTTATATAATATGTAAATATGGCTTATTATTAGAATGTTAAATAAAGTATATCCTTCACAGTAGTTTGTGTCAGTTAGATTTTTGAGAGGGATTTCATTGATAGTTTTATATAATAGTAGCCATTGATCCTATTGTCTTTATCTACAAAGTAGTAGGCCAATCTTAATATGAGGACAATTGAACCGTTCATTTTTTTAAGTTGCTATTTTATAATTTATGCACTTTGCTTCTATGATTAAGATTTCTAATCATAAAATGTTTTGGGGGGAGTCAGTGGTTGCTACGTTCAAACTGAATTATGGACATGTAATTTTGCCACTTTTTTGTAGTCTTAATGAATTTTGTGTATTCTACCTCAAATGAGTAATTTTCTGAGTAATGCGTTGGTTAAATGTATGTTGGCATTTCTTGTTCAGCAGGCTTAACGGCACCTTTCTGTGAAGTCTCTGAATTACTCAGAGATGAACTGCCCAGGTTAGACTGACCGGTTCACTGCTCACTGGCAACTTCTTACAAGGGTGTGAGAAGGAGAATGTTCTAGAAAAAACAAACCCTCTTTCATGGATATACGTTGTACCTTGTGTGGACCTAGTATTGATGGAATGAAAAGTCAGAAGAAATTTTATTATTGCTCTGAAGGAGCTTGCTACTGAATCACAGAAATCCCTTAATATTCAGGTTTTAAAACTGATAAATTCTCGTAGGACCTCAGGCACAGACGATTGAGGAATGTGTGGGAGCAGATGTGGAAAAGGGAAGGAGAGAAACCACTGTTCTCAGCCGCGTGACTGTGTACTTACGTGGTGATGCTTGGTGTAGGCCATAGTTCATCAATAAATAAGTGTTGTCAAATAATTTATAACAGGTAACTGATAGTGTGTAATGATGGACCATCAATAATTGATCATCTGGAAAACAGACTGCTTTTGCTGGCTGAACGTTCAGTGTTTTAGTGTGAAGCATAAGCAGAGTGTTTTCTACGTTATTTTTCTACCAACAAACAACGGGAAGATGACGGCAGCGCCTGCGCCGGGGGCCGACCGAGTACGCGTGGCGGTGCGGGTGCGGCCCTTCAGCCAGGTCAGTGGGGCTGCCGCCTCGCCTTGTGAGGCGTGGGCTGTGACCTTCACTCGGATGTTTTTAGTTATCAAACTTGTATTGAAACTGCTTGTCATTCATGGAGTATTAAACTTATTTAAATGAACTTGTTAAATGAGTAATCTAAAGATCTAAATAGTTCAATAAACAATTTCATTCTTCGTGCAAGTAGCACAATAAAAACACTGACGAGAGAAATGTACTGTCAAGTTGATAATTTTTAAAGCCACTGCAATTTGGTGGATGTGGACATGCACTGTCTGTTTTTAATGTAATTCTTTCCCTCAACAGTAGATCATAAGCAAAAAAAAAAAAAGCCAATTTTGAATGGTTTTAAATGCATTTATGTATAAATGTATTTATATAAATTTTTACAAAAACTGGTTATTAAATTATTACTGCAACATTTACGACAAAATATGGATTGGACTCCTTCTGGGACTTTATAGCAATTCTCTACCTGTGATTACCAACACAGTAGTTAGATTTTGAGAAAATTCTGATCAGTCAGCCCATTTGGCAGACTTCTGCCTGCCTGCTATGGACGAAACGCTGTACTAGAAACTGAGGGTTCAAAGGCAAATCCCTTGTTCTCCACTAGCTTAGTTTTATGTAATTTCTTTGTAGCGGTGTGGACCACAGCAGTAATTCATTTATAGTGGTGTGGACCACAGTAGGAAGGTAGACAATCTTGGAGCCCAGAGAAAGATCAGATTTTGAAAGATCTGGATACAAGTGTGCTAGACAAAACACCACTCAGAGCTTATCTGACAGCAGACCCTACTGGACCCTGGATGGGGGTGCAAGGTAATCTGCTTTCCACTTCCACACCTGCACTTTCTCACCCAGCAGTATTTGGTACCACCCTGCACATTTTGTATCGGTTTTGTCCCTTAACATTCAGTTATACTACAGAAAATATTTCAGCAGCCAGGCGGATAGATAATTAGGTCACTTTATGGATGTCAAAGAATTTGTGGTCAGTAAATTAAATGTTTTGCGGCCCCTACCCCCAAAGGAATGGAAACTATTTTATATCCTCCAATCAGCACACTGAAAGTAGCTATTTTCTCTTATCGCTAATTATCACTAGAGTAACTCACTGCAAGTTTTAAATCCATGGATGTAGAAGTAGACAGTTACGTATTTACACAGCCTTTAGGTTCCCCCTTCAAAAAGACTGCATCTGATTCGAGTCCACTGCCCATGTCGTCAGTGAGCTTAGACTAGAATAGTAAGTGGCAATCAGGAAAGGATGGATTCGAGAGATGATTTGGAGGTAGTTCCAGGTCACACCTGGACGGCCTCCTAAGACCTGGACTCTGCCTGCTTTCTAACTCCACATGCAGCCTCCTCTTCCTTGTGGGGTCAGAGGACCAACTCTGACGCTGGCTTTGTTACAAGATTCTCAGGAGCTTTTGAAGTCAGATGAACATGAGTTCAAAACCTGACTTTTTCACTCGCCCACTGTGGAGCCTTAAGCAAGGTTTTAAGCTTTCTGAGCCTTGGATTCCTTAAGCCTAAAATGGAGATACCAGTACCTTATCTTTGTAAATATCCAAGGATGCTTGTTAGAAAGATAACATAAATCAGCAAGTAAGCACCTGACAACTACTCTGTAGCTGTGAAGGGTTCTTTTCACCACAACCTCTTCAACAGTTGAGATACGATTCGCATTTTCCACAAGTCCCTCACTTAGCGTGTTTGGTGCATGGTGATGATTACAGCCCTGGATGTACGTGACTGCAGTGGGTTGTGGAGCTTTTTTATCGCCCAGAAGAGAGTCGTGCCCTTCACTACCCTCATTCGCCCAGCCCTGAGCAACCGTTCATCTCATATGCCGTCTCCACTTGGTTCCTGAATGTTTCGTTCTTTTTGATGCTATTCGAAATGGAATTGTTTTCTGAATTTTGGTTTTTGAATAGAATTAAAATTGATTTCTGTATATCAAGCTTGCATCCTGCAACTTTACCGAACTCATTTAGTTCTAACAGTGTTTTAGTGGCTCCCTTAGCACTTTGTGTTCAAGACAATGTCATCTGCAAGCAGAGGCCCTTTTACTTCGTCCTTTCCTGAGGGTGACTTTTTGTCTTTTTCCTGCCTGACTGTCCTAGCTGGAGCCTCCAGTACAGTACTGAATAGAAGTGTCAGGAGTAGACACCTGTGTTGTCCGTCTTCTGAGTATGATACTAGTTATGGATTTTTCTGTAGACTTATCAGGCTATGTTTAATTCTAGTCCTAATTTGTTAACTTTTTATCATGAAAAGGTGTGGGGTTTTGTCATGTGGTTTCCCTACCTGTTGAACAGTGGCTTTTGGTTTTCAGTCTTGATGTGATGTATTAATCACATGAAGTCATTTTAAGGATCCCCAAGTTCTGTTTTTTTTTTTTTTTTTAGGATTTTATTTATTTTAGAGAGATGGGGAAGGGAGGGAGAATGAGAGAAACACCAATGTATGGTTGCCTCTGGTACACCCCCTACTGGGGACCTGGCCTGCAGCCCAGGCACGTGTCTTGACTGGGAATCAAACCAGCAATGCTTTGGTTTGCAAGCCCGTGCTCAATCCACTGAGCCACACCAGCTGGGGCTCCCCAAGTTCTGTTTTAGTCCGGCGAAGTAAGGCGACAAAGAGGCGAGTACCTTAGAGTTCCCACGAGAAGGCAGCTTGCCACGCGGAGCCACGTGAGGAAGCGTCAGGGTCCGTCAGAGGTACGAGGAGCAGAGTGCCTGGCCCACGGGCTGACTTTGGGATCTGCGGGAAGGAGTGGGCAGGCGTGGTGGGCACTTTTGACCAATGTTAGTTTGGACAGTTTGAGTAATTTCGGGGGGCTCTGGGCTACAGGGTGGCCTCTGGTTGTCAGATACCTGGCCTTGGAGTGATGCAGGGCGCAGGAGGTACTGGCTCGGTGTCTGTGAGAGTTGGCAAAGGAGGTGTTCGAACGTGGGCTTTGCTTGGTTTGCATGGAAGGCAAGTTTTCTTTCTCTAGGAATTCGTTAGCCCTTCAGGGGCAGCCTCTGTGGGCCCAGGGTGTCAGAACCCCGTACAATGCTCTACAAATAAAATTCTGGTTCCTTACGGGAAAGGTGTGTTTCCAGACCCAGGCTTGACATGTCTTCTGGCCCCAGGTAGTTGTCCCCGTGCCCTGCAAACTTGAAGGCTTGTAACTGAACCTCTACCTTGAGTCTCTTCCCACTTTTTATCACAGCCTTCTTGGTTCTTTGGGATATGCTCGGGATTGCTTTACTCTTCAGGGGGCAAAGGAAGTCAGTTCCTTTGGGGAGAGATGTAGGTGCTATTCCCTCAGGCAAAACCGCTAAACCAGGGTGCTGGGCTCATGGGTGGGGACAAAGGTCAACTGCCCTCTGAGTGACACCCCGCTCCAGGTGCCCAGTGGCTGGTGGGTATGGAACAGCAGCAGCCTGAGATCCTCTCCGCTGGCCTCAGGAGCAGGGGTAATCAGCACCCCCAGTTTCTCCCGGTGCTGCAACCAAAGCAGAGCCTCAGTTCCGTGTCTGCGGCCTGTGTAGATGAGGAAACCCCCCGCCTCCCCTACACTCCCTCCCGGGACTTGGCCACAGCCACAGGTAGGCGCGGGCGGACGGAAGAGGCTGTTATCCCGGCCCTCCCAGGAAGAAAGCCCTCCGATCAGGACCTGGGCAGCGAGGGAGCTCTTGTCCTTGGCTGGCAGGGGAGAGGAGGAGAAGGAAGGGCTTGCTTCAAACACCACAGACGGACTGCTTTCTTACCGAATTTTGATAGATGTTGAACACGGTTTCTCAGTGGCTGTTTGCTCTTAGGACGATGTCCAGAGATTTTCAATAGGTGTGTTTTCTCTAATTTTCACTGGGACGTGGGACAGTGGAAGCTCCTCGCATTGTGATGCTGGGAGTGGATGTTCGGCAGCTCTAGTTACTGCTGTGAGCACAGCTGGGGGTTAGGTGAGCAGCTCTCAGAAAAGAACAGTGGCTAGGTTCAAGGCTTTCAAAAACCGAGGGAACACAAGAGAGCTGCTGGTCCTCACCGCTACTGGAATAACACCATTGGAGAACAACATGAGTGAATGGTACTCCCTGGCTCAGCTGCTCACGAGGTTTAAGGATTTGCAAAGCAACGTGGGTGCCAAGAAAAGGTACAATGATTGACTCTGGACTTGTAATTTGACTATAGAGAGAGAAGGATGCGGGGAGCAAGTGTGTGGTCTCCATGCACTCCAGGAACACCACCACCATCCGCGACCCCAGGAACCCGGAACACAGGAAGACGTTCACTTTTGACCTGGCATACTGGTCTCACAGTGGATTCCAGGTGGGAGAAGATGGTGTGTTCACTTCAGCTGATCCGAGCAGTGAGTTTGCAGGCCAGGTAAATTGCTTTAAAACACAGCTTCAATGGAAGCTGTGTGTGTGTGTGTTTAATGAAGTGTTAACAGTGTAACGGTCATTTTTTATGCAAGCATGTTACAATACACGCTTTCATTTGAGAGTCTGCTTTTCGGTATATTCCCTTCTCATGCTAATCAACAGGCCCAGAAAGCACAGCCGCTGCCCAAATCCTTCTCAGGCCCTGTCAGCTGGTATCGCAATGCATTGATGAGATCAGAGGAAAAAAGCAAAGCCTGTGAGAACTTTTGTTTCATCAGGTGTTCATCGTACCATGCACCGTAACTTGCTCCCAATTCCAGTTATGGAGACAGGCAAATCAAGGCATTGCAATACTGGAATTCAGCGATCCAAGTACAGACGAGGTACAAAGGGATGCAAAGGAGAGGTGGCCGCTTCAGTCTGGACGGAGCTCATTAAGCTGCTTGGATATGTGGCATTATAGTTCCCATTAAATCCAGGAAACTCCATCTATCGTTTCGGCCTCATTCCTTCTGTGATGCTGTCCAGGCACCTGTACGTGTGACACTGTCCCACAGGTCCTCGAGCCTCTGCTTATTCCCCCCACCACATTTCTTCGTCTCTGTCCTTGTCTGCCTGTCTTTTAAAACGTAGGCCAGAGATTGCAGCCTCTGAGACCACCCCTAAAAACTCTCCTGTCGAGTAGTTCTGACTCCACAAGCACCCCAAAAAAACCTCACGGACCTTGGGATGCAGTTAGAGAACCACCCCCTGCCCCCAACCAATTTAAAAAAGTCAAACAGAAGCATAACTAATGAGTATATTGTGGGGAAACAGAATTACGAAACAGTCCAAACCACAGCAGGAAAAGAGGGGTGGGGGGAGGCAGATGGAATAAAAATATAAGTAACAAGATAATAGATTTAATGCCAGCCATATCAATTATCTCAAACAAACATGGCAACTAAAAGGCAGAGATGATCAGACTTGATAGGAAAAGCAGGGCCCTAGTGTATCTGTACAGAAACCAACTTCAACTTAACTAAGAAAACACGTATCATGTAGACACTGAGAGTCACAGAGTCTCCATTTCCACACAAAGGAGACCTCAGAACAAGGAATATGTCATGATGATAATCAACTCATTAAGAAGACATACTACAAGGGGCGGGGGAGGCTGGGATGGGAAAAATAGACAAAAAACTGTACTTGAAAAATAACTAAATAAAATTAAAAAAAAAAAAAAAAAAGAAGACATACCGTCCCAAACAGGCATGTACCCAGTAACAGAACTTGGAAGTCCATGAGTCAAAAACTGACAGAAATCGAAGGAGAAATAGAGCAGTTTACAGTTGTGTTGATGACTTCATGGCTCCTGCCCGAGTGCCGGAGAGAACAGGTAACAACAATAAAAACACCCGGAGTATCACGGAAGACCAGAGCGACAGCAGCCAACCTACCTGGCAGGCACCTCAGAAAACCCGGCGACCCCCACCGAGCACAGCACTGCACGTGCCTTCCAGTGAACGGGAACTTTGTGACAGACTATACTCCAGATCACAGGACTCATCTCAATAAATGTAACATAACTGAAATCACACAAAGGAGGTTTTCTGGCCATAAGGGAATTAAACTAGAAAGAAAGGAAAGATATTAGGAAAATCCACAGATATTTAGAAAATAACAGACCCTTAAATTATCCTTAGGTCGAGGAATTAACCACAAGGGGAATTGGTAAATATTTTGCACTGAATAAAAATCAAAATGTCTATCAGAATGCATGCAGTTTAATAAAGGATGGCCAGGCCTTTGTGTTCTCTCTCCCTCTACCAACGTGGCAGCCACAGAAGTAAAAAAAAAAAGGCTGAGAAGGGGAGGCCTCTCTGCCTAACAGACCTGCTGGCTGAGGGTGGAGGGACCAGTTGAGGGCGCACCTGTGTCCCCAAACCAGGCAGCCGGGAAGGAGATGTTTCAACCACCCGGCACAGTGACAACAATGTGTACAGGGCGCCTCCAGTCGGCCGTCCCATCCTGTCCCCTGTTCCACAAGCAGCGAGGGCATCAGCAGGACCCATCTCCCAAATCCTACACCAACTTTCAGGGGCACCTGCCCATGACATGCCCCAGTCTGCGTGAAGGAATTACTTGGGGCGGTGCATTTACCACGGGAGCCCAGCCATGCGGTGGAGGCTGACGGGCTGGGGTGAGGCTGCGTCCGAGGACTGGGATTGGCTGTTCTGTGCCCTGAGCCTCAATGAAGAAGAGTCTCTAGGCAAAGGAACTCCAGTGGGCATGGCTGATCAAGCACAGGATGATGAAAGGCAGCAAGGATCGTCCTTCCGACCAAGGTGGAAACTGGGATCCTGCCAGATCGGACACGGTCCGGAGGCCCAGCACGCCCCAGGCAGCTTTGATGACTGCCCACTTACAAGAGGTGAGGGCACCTCAGAGACAAGAGTGGAGAGTGTCGCCCCTCAGACCAGCCCTGTGCTGGGCACGGGGACAGTCGTGATGGGCTACAGGGGGATATGGACGGGGGCCAGGATCGCTGGGACGGTGGGGGCAGCAGAGCCTGGGACAGAGCCCTCAGTCCAGGCCACTGAAGAAGAGGACTGCTTGGTGACCAAAGTCAGTGGGAACGTCACAGTTTGCAAGGAAGCTGTGGGAGGTGATGGGTTATTGTGCACCAGTAACAGGGGAAATGGTACAACCTCCAACAAATACGTGAATGGCTACTTCCTGGAGCAGGGCAAACTCAACACCCATCATGATTAAAACTCTCAGCAAACTTGAAATAGGAGGGACCTTTCTAGAAACAGAACTGACTTCCCTGAATTGCACAGGTAACATCACATTTGATGATGGAATACTGACTGTTCCTCCTAAGATTGGGGAATCAGGCAAGGAGGTCCGATCTCATCATCTCTATACAACATTTACTGTGGGTTCTAACCAGGGCAGTAAGGCAACTAATAGGAAATAAGTGGTGTGCAGATTAAAAAGACAGGAATGAAACAATTTCATGTGACATGCAGAATAGCATCTGACAAGATTCAGCATCTATTTATGATAAAAACTCTCGACAAGATGGTCTAGGAAAGTACCTCAGTGTAATAAAGGCCACACATACATGACAGACCCTTGGCTAGATCATGGTCAATGGTGCAAGCTGAAAGCGTTTCCTCTAAGATCAGAAGCAAGACAAGGATGCCCACTCTCACTCAACATGATAATTGAAGTCCTAGTCAGAGCAATCAGGCCAGAAAAATAAATAAAAGGCATCTAAATGGGAAAGGAAGAAGTAAAGCTGTCACTATTTGTGGATGACCTAATTTTATACGTAGAAAATCCTAAAGACTCCACCAAGAACTATCAGAAATAACAAGCACAGTAAAGTTAATAGAGTACAAAATCAATACCCATGTATGAAAAATCAGGAAGAGAAATTAAGAAAACAATCCTTTTCACAACTGCAAGAACAAAAAGAAATACCTAGGATTAAATTTAACTGAGGAGATAAAGGACCTGCACCCTGAAAACTATAAGGCTTTGTTGAGAGACACTAAGGAAGACACGACGAAATGGAAAGATATTCATTGCTTATGGGTTGGAAGAGTGAGCATTGCTGAAATTCTCATATTACCTAAAGCAATCTACAGACTCAGTGCAATCCCTACCAAAATCTCAACTGCACTTTTCACTGAAATAGAACAAAAGAAATCCGCAAATTTCTATGGAACCACAAAAGACCCTGAATGGCTAAAGCATCCTGAGGAAAAAATAACAAAGCCAGAGGCATCACATTCTCTGAAATCAAAATATACTACAAAGGTACAGTAACCAAAACAGTGTGGTCCTGGCAGAAATCAAGAGCCCAGGAATAAAACCATTCATAGGGACAACTAATTTACGACAACAAGCCAAGAACATATAACGGAGAAAGGAAAGTCCCTTCAATAAACAGTACCGGGAAAACTGGACAGCCACGTGCAAAAGAATGAAACTCAACCCCAATCTTACACCACACACAAAAATAAATTCAAAATGGACTACACACTTAAATGTAAGACCTGGACCCAAAAATACATAGAAGAAAATATAGGTGGTAAGCTCCCTGACATCATTCTTAGTGATGTTTTTATGAATTCAACTCCACTTGCAAGGGAAACAGAAGAAAAAATAGACAAATGGGACCACATCAAACTAAAAAGCTTCTGCACAGCAAAGGCAACTACCAACCAAGGGAAAAGGCAACCTAGTGAATGGGACGAGATCTACGTGAGTGATTCACTGGGTAAGGGGCTAATATCCAAAATATATAAAGAATGCATATACATCAACAACGACAACAAAAACACTTTTAAAAAATGGGCGGAGGATATGAATAGACATTTTCCAAAGACATCCAGGTGGCCGCCAGGCCCACGGACAGGTCCTCAAGGCCACCAACCATCAGCGAATGCAGATCACAACCACAACGAGACCTCCACTCACACCTGTTAGAATGGCATTCATCAACAAGACAAGAAGCGACAAGTGTCGGAGCAGATGCAAAGAAAAAGGGTGAAAGCACTGTCGGTGGGAATGTAAATCAGTGTGGCTATTATGGGAAACAGCATGGGGGTTCCTCAGAAATATTAAGAATAAAACTACCATATATATAATCTAGCTGTAACATTTATAGATTTTATCTGAATAATACGAGAACACTAATTCAGAATTATGTTCACTGCATCATTACTTACAATATCCAAGAAATGGAAACAACCTAAGTGTCATCGACAGAAGAATACATAAGAAAAGATGTGATACCTATACCATGGAATACCACTTGGTCATAGAAAGAAGAAATTCTGCCATTTGTGACGTCGTGGATGGACCAGGAGGGTATTATGCTACGTAAAATAAGTCCGATGGAAAAAGACAAATACTGTAAGGTACCACGCTTTGTGGCACATAAAAAACTCAAATGTCCATCAAACTTGTGACACAATCTGGGTGATGCGTTGGTAAGTGTCCGTAATACAGATAAAATTCAGCAGTGGCAGGACCTGTGCAACGACACGCGTGAACCTCAGAGCATGGTGCCAGGTGAGAGAAGCCGCACACAGAAGACACACGCTGTGCAGTGCACTGGAATGATGACTCCAGGCCAGACAGAACCAGGGCGCTCGAAGGGGGTCGCTGGTCTGCAGGGGCTGACGGCCGAGAAGGGTCTGAGCGCGAAAAGGCTCGAGGGAACTTGTCTGGGATTATTAAAAAGATTTTAAGAATATTCACTGTCGGGGTCACCACATGGCCAAATGCACATGTCAAAACCCATGAAACTATGTAGTAAACAAATAAATTTAACGTATATTAATTTTACTTCAATAAAGACAGAATTTTCCAAAAGAATAAAGTACCAAGGAGGTGACAGACTCACGCGCCGTTAACTCTGACACGGACGACAGGAAGTGAAGATGACAGGAAGGGGAAGACGACAGGAAGTGAAGATGACAGGAAGGGGAAGATATTCTGTGTTCGTGTTTTAGAAGAATGAGTGCTGTTAAAATGTCCCTACTGTCCAAAGCTACATAGTAAGTGGTGCTTACAGGTTCTCAGAAGTTGCAACTTCTTAAAAAAAGGGATGTATAAGAAAATCCATTCTGCCCTGGCTGGTGTGGCTCAGTGGATTGAACGCGCGCCTGCGAACCTAGAGGATTGCAGTTCGATTCCCAGTCAGGGCACATGCCTGGGTTGTGGGCCAGGTCCTCAGTAGTGGACATGTGACACTAATATTTCTCTCTCTTTCTTTTTCCTTCCACTTTTCCTAAAAATAAATAAGTAAAATCTTAAAAAAAAAAAAAGGAACGGAAAACCCATCTTACCCCAGGCTAATGGGTATAAACAAGAGAGAAGTTCCTACGGCTTATTTCTGGTCACAAAAACATCGCCACACTTTTAAATGAAGAGTCAAAAACATTTGATAGTAAACATTAAAATAAATGTGATCTATACAAACATTTAAGAAACGTTAACAAAACCAAGTCAGATAATCCCTTTCCAACACGCGGACTCCAGTTCAGGGCCACCTGGGGCTGGAGCCTCCCTGGCAGCTGAGGGAGCAGGGCAGGACCAACCCTGGACAGGACGCCCTTGTGCTGCAGGCCACTCACTCAGATGCCCGCACTCACTGGGACTGAGACCATGGGGACACGCCAGTTCACCTCACATGCACAGCTTCGGGGCGTGGGGGGAAACCAGGGTACCCGGAGAAAACCCATGCAGATGTGGGGAGGACATGCAAACCCCAGGTGGACGGTGGCCAAAAGGCACAGACTTCCAGTTGTAAGATAAGTCACTCCTGGGGGCATAATGTACGCTATGGCGACCATAGTTCATAATACCGCCGTGCGTATCTGAAAGGTGTTAAGGAAGTAGATCTTAAAAGTTCGCACAAGATTTTACCTATGAAGTGACAGACACTAACAGAACTTATTCTGATAATCACTTGTCAACACATACAAATATAAAGTCATTGTGTTGTGCACCTGAAACCAGCATAATGTTGTGTGTCAATCATCTCAGTCATCTTAAACACAGTTTAAAGACAAGAACTGTGCTGTAAAGAAACCTGATTAACATTGTCAATAGCTTTTCCTGGCACGCCCCCAAACGTGATGACCACCTATTTTTTGTTAACACGGTGTTAAGATACAGCAGAATTGCGGTTTCATGCACCATACTGAAGGCGAATGTTCCATATAGTTGATTATGGGGCGGTGAGTAGGAAGAAATGAGAAAGGTAGTTCTAAGATTTCTTGTCTTATATTAATATAAGCCAAGCATACACATAGAGTTGATGTCCAAAAGATTATTTCAAGGGAAAACTGTATAGAAAAACTGTAGACTAACAAAATTTATTAAATGACTCTATTTTATAAGATTTTATTTAATAAAGTCCTGTATCACTTGTTTGAATCTTTCAGTCTATAAAAATTGATAATCAACGTTTCCCCAAACTTACAAATAGCACCGAGGAGACAGCAAACTAGTCACTTTACTAAGTTTGGTAACCGCTCCTTAGTTTTAGCTACTAGCCCCCAAGGGGGAGCAGATATCCATTTTAGAACCACATGTTTTCCTGCTGAGAATGTGGTCACAATGTCCACTGGAAAGCCACCAGTCCGGTGCCACATTTCAGGCCTGGGGCGTCCCTGATCCTTTAGTGGTGTGATCATCTTCACGCCCACCGCACGTGAAATGAGTACTGTGACAATCCTGGTGATTACTGCGTATTGTCCTTGGAGATATTACACTGTGTTGGTGTTTGCTTCTTTCCCAGAAACAAAATTATATAAATTATACAAAGGTATACATTGTAACACATGGAGCAAGTAATGCTTATTATTTTATTGACATTAGAAAGTAAAGAATACTGTGCTCTTTGAAACAGCCTCAGATAAGAGAATTTTTACTGGCTAGGGCCACGGCCAAGGTAATAACAGAGTCAAACCACATCCTGTCTTTCAGGCAACTGTGGGCACAGGCAGGTGTCCCGGCCCCTCAGAAAATGGTGTGTGTGGGGGGCTAGAGAACCACTTTAGAACCAGCAGGTCTTGTGAAAAAAGAGCAGAGTTCAGCGGCAGAGGAATTCATGTAGAAATCCGGGGATGCTATTGTTTGGACTGAAGAATAGAGAGAAGGTAGAAAACTCTCTGACTAGTCTCTCTCCCTCGATGCCGTGAAATTTTTGTAGGCATGCTGAATTTGAAAGAACTAGCTCACCTCTGGAAAGGCTGTAAAATCCACAAATTCATTACTTATAATAATAAAAATAATCAGAGACTCATGGTGACCCCTCGTGATCGGTGTTTTCCAAATTGACAAAACCCTTTAGGTTTCTGGCTTTCTTCTACTGGCTCTAGGACAGCAACTCAAGTCATATTTTAAGTAGCGTGTGTGATGCTAATTAAGGTCGAATTCATCAAAACCAGAAAATGTGGGAGGTTTTCAGGGTCCTGGGAAAGCCTGTGCTGAACCTGCTGCCTGTGACCTTCTTCGCAGAGAGAAGTTTTCCGAGACCTGGGCAGGGGGATTCTGGACAGTGCCTGGCAGGGCTACAACGCCACCCTCCTGGCCTACGGCCAGACCGGCTCTGGGAAGAGCTACTCCATGGTCGGGTTTGGCGCAAACAAGGGCATCATTCCCAGTGTGTGTGAAGAGCTCTTTCAAGCAATTGAGAGCCGGGAGAGAAATCAAGAATACCAGGTATGTGTTATTCCAAGAGACCTTCTTTAAGGAATTTTCCCCCGTTTTGGAAATCCCCCACCCCAAATGGAAGTTAGTGGCATCTCTATTTTAGGATAATGATAGCTTTTCACACACAAATCCTCACTGTGTAGTTACAAAATCAAACTGCAGCTAATAAAATGTTGAATTGTCTGATTCTATGGAGACAAGCCCAAGGAAATATTTATAAAAGGCATTTTGAGTATCAGAGAAGTGGACATCTTTAACACTGACTCGACTCTATGATTTCCTAGACTGCCCTCTTCTGCTAAGGTTGTGGGTGTGTTCCCATCATAATGTATCGACTTTTATTTCTAAATAAAGAATGTTACTTTGTTTCTTAATTGTCCCATCAAAGCTTCTTTCTTGTCCTCACACAGAGGCCCAAGACTGATTTTTAGGGTCATTTGAAGATTGGTGACATTATCAAGAGGAAGAGTAACGGTTAATGTGATTAGCTTTAAATGTGACAGTTAAATGTCAGCGAGTATCTGCAACCATAGTCCACATTTCTGCTTCCTCCAAGTGGCAAATGAGATGAAATTTGTGTTGTGAAAATTCAATGAGGCATCAACTTTTTTATCTTAATCCTTCCCTGATTTTAAAAATAATGTATCCAAGTTAGAGAACAGAAATTACCCATAATCTTATCACCCAAATACTACTAACGTTTCAGTATCTTTCTGATTTTTAAATTTTTTCCAAGTAATGCATGTATAGTTTACAGACTCCAATGTCCAAAAGAAAGAAGAGCCTGTGTGCACACCAAGACTTACACACGAGTACCTCACAGCAACATATTCACAAACCAACAGCAACATCACACTCAATGCACAAAAACTAAAAGTGTTTCCATTAACACTGGAAACAAGACAGGGATGTCTGCTTTCACTACTCTTACTCAACACAGTACTGGAGGTCTAACCACAGCAGTCAGACAAGAAAAAGAAATAAAAGGCATCCACATCGGAGAGGAGGGAGTAAAACTGTCACTATTTGCAGATGACATGATACTATATAGAGAGAACCCTAGAGATTCCACCAAAAACCTACTAGAACTGATAAATGAATTCAGTAAAGTAGCAGGGTACAAAATAAATATCCAGAAATCAGCTGCATTTATATATACCAATAATGAATTATTAGAAAGGGAAACTAAGAAAACAATTTCACAATTGCATTAAAAAAATTAAAAAAGAAAAAATCCTAGCAATAAATTTAACCAAGGAGATAAATGATTTGTACGTGGAAAGTTATAAGAAACTGAAAAAGATATAAATAACTGGAAGCATATGCCATGCTCATGAATAGGAAGAATTAACATCATTAAAATACCCATATCACCAAAGCAATTTACACATTCAACACAATTCCTGTCAAAATACCAATAATGTTTTTCACAGAACTACAACAAACAATCCATTAATTTGTATGGAACCATAAAAGACCCCAAATAGCCACAGCAATCTTGAGAAAGAAGAACAAAATTGGAGGTATCATGCTACCTGATATCAAACTATACTATAAGGCTATAGTAATCAAAACAGCATGTTTTTATGGTATTAACACAAAAACAGACACATAGATAAATGGAACAGAATAGAGAGACCAGAAATAAACCCACACCTATGTGGTCAATTAATATATGACAAAAGAGGCAAAAACATACAGTGGGGTAAAGACAATGTATTCAATAAGTATTGTTGGGAAAATTGGAGTGATATGTGCAGAAAAATGAAATGAGACCACATTTTTATACCATGTACAAGAACAAACTCAAAATGGATTGAAGACTTAAATGTTATACTCAAAACCATAAAACTTCTAGAAGAAAACACAGGCAGTAAAATCTCGGATATTTCTCTTAGCAATATTTCTTCTGATATATCTCCTCGGGCAAGGGAAACAGAAAAAAAAACAGGACTACAACAATTTAAAAGTTTTGTACCATCAACAAAATGAAAAGACAACCTACTGAATGAGCCCTGGCTGGTGTAGCTCAGTGGACTGAGCGCGGGCCTGCTAACCAAACAACCATGGTTCGATTCCCAGTCAGGGCACATGCCTGGGTTGCAGGCCAGTTCCCAGCAGGGGACGCATGAGAGGCAACCACACATTGATATTTCTCTCCCTCTCTCCTTCCCTTCCCCTCTAAGGATAAATAAATAAAATCTTTTTAAAAAAGAATGTAAATGGAAGGTTATTTTTCCAGAAGCAACCATACATTGATATTTCTCTACCTCTCTCCTTCCCTTCCTGTCTACAGATAAATAAATAAATCCTTAAATTTTTTTTTAAAAAGAAAAGACCACCTACTGAATGGGAGAAGGTACTCTTCATTGGTACATCCAATATGGTTTAATATCCAAAATTTCTAAAGCACTCATACAACTCAACACCAAAATAACAATACAATTAAAAAACGGGCAGAGGACCTCAACAGACACGTCTCCAAAGAGGACATACAGATGGCCAAAAGACATATAAAAAGATGCTCAATGTCACTAATCATCAGAGAAATACAGATTATAACCACAATGAGATATCACCTCATAGCTATCAGAATGGCCATCATCAATAAATCAACAAACAAGTGTTGGCGAGGGTGTGGAGAAAGGGAACCCTGGTGCACTGCTGGTGGGAATGCAGACGGGTGCAGCCACTGTGGAAAACAGTATAGAGAAACCTCAAATAATTAAAAATGAAATTGCCTATTATCCAGTAATTGCACTTCTGGGAATATATCTGGGGAAGACCCCAAAATGCTAATTCAAAAGATCATCTGCACCCAGTGTTCAGCGCAGCGTTATTTACGGTAGCCGAGACACGGAAGCAGCCAAGTGCCCTTCAGTGACTGAGAGGGTAAAAGAGTTGGGGTGCACGTCGTAGGGTGGAATGCTCGTCGGCAATGAAGAGTGAAATCTCACCACTGGCAACAGTGTGGATGGACTTAGAGGGTGTTACGCTCAGTGCAGTTAGTCAGTCAGAGAAAGACAAATACCACATGGCTTCACTTATATGCGGAATCTAAAGAACAAAATAAACAAAATAGAAACACACTCAGATACAGAGAGTGGACTGGCAGCTGGCAGAGGGGAGGGGCCGGAGGACTGGGGGGGAAGGTGAAGGGATTAAGAAGCACCAGTTGGCAGTTACGGAGCAGTAACAGGGTTGGCACAGCACAGGGGACAGGTCGACAGTGGTGTAATAATCCGCACGGTGCCGGGCGGGGACTGGAAATATTGAGGGGTCACTTTGTAAAGCACCCCGTTATCTAACCACTGTGCTGTGCACCTGAAACTAATACAAAATAATACGGAACGGAAACTGTAATCGAAAAATAAAATTAGAATTAAGAAAGAATTTCAGGGCCTTTTCTCTAGATTAGAGCCATTGCGATCCCTCCAACCTGTTAAGAGTGTGAGCTCGGCCAGCACTGTCCCAAAGCACGGCAGGGAAAAGACCGGTTTTCTTTGTGTTTGTTCAGATGGGAGGGCAGCCTTAAAGAACCACCTTTTTCTGTTCCCGACTGACACTGAGACTGAAACACACACACGCTTTTGTATTTTTTAAAACTGTGTATTAAGAGTTTCCTCCGTATCATTAAAATTACTGGAGGACCTCACGTTACACGTGAGATAGAGTTCCACCACATTTAATGCCGGTTTTCCCCTTTGTTGGGCATTTATACTGTTCCTATATTGCTTCTGTCTTTCAAAGATGACAGTTTCAAGAGAATGTTCATTTACTTTAGGCTCTTTTCCCTGCAGGTGACATTCAGTATGCTGGAAATTTACAACGAACAGGTAACAGTGATTCTGCTTTCCGACCCACACACCTGAGAAACCCCGCAGCTTCGTCAGCATCGGGGGTGGGGGGCGGCCCTTACCTGCCCCACAGACGGCATCTGAACTCCCTGGTCTGGCTCTGACCAGCCCCACCCTCCCTCTCCAGCCTCATTTCATGGCCACACACTCTGTGCTTCAGCCACGCGGCACCTGCTCCTTCTTAGAGCAGGTCACTTTCCTGTTCCTGCCCTCTCCCTGACCTCATAGGGACCATCCAACTTCAAGATCCAGCTCAGATGTCAGCCCTCTAGCAACCCGAGGCAGCTGACCTCGGTCAGCATGGTGTGTGGTGCAGGGGTTGGCAAACTTAACCTTCAAAGGGCCAGAGGCTTAGTATTGGGTTGTCGAAAAAGTTGATCTCGTTTTTTCTGTAGGATGGGTCTATTAGCACTTAGTTATCTTTAACTTCAGTCGAAACAAATTTGTTCAATTGTATTGTGACAGCTGTCATATCAGCATGCTTTAAAAAAACTTACCAAAATTGATGAATTTTTATGTACCCATTTTAATATTGAAGATGGAAGAAAACACGCAACATTTTCAGCATATTATGCTTTATTATTTCAAAAAAGGTAAAAATGCAACTGAAATGCAAAACAAGATTTGTGCAGGGGATGGAGAAGGTGCTGTGACTGATCCAATGTGTCAAAAGTGGTTTGCGAAGTTTTGTGCTGAGGATTTCTCACTGGACGATGCTCCACAGTGGGCTGGACCAGTTGAAGGTGACAGCGATCAATCGAGAGTAACTGAGAACAATCAACATTACACCATGTGGGAGATGACATACTCAGGATATCCAAATCAATAAATGTCATTGGCGAAAATGAAAACTCTTTTATTCTATGGAAAAAAACCACACGGACTTTTTGGCTAACCCAATGTTTTAGGCTTTGAGGGCCACACAACCTCTCGGGCAGCCGTTCGGCTCTTCCCTTGGGACCCAAAAGCAACCACAAACGATGTGTAAGTGAACGGACTTGGCTTGTTTATGGGCATTGGCGTGCTCTCAGTACTCGACAGTAATAAAGCCAAGTTTCTAAAAAATAAAAACTTATGCCTCTTATTTCTCTAGTTACAAGTCCCCTATTTCCTTGTTTGCATTTTCTTATTTTTTACTTAAATTATGAGGTTGTCTGGTACCTATAGAAATGTAACATATGTTTATTCAGCCAATAAATATTTGTTGAGCACCTAATACGTTCTAGCAGAGCTCTAAAGGCAAACGGCAATCCCTGCCTTCCTGCAGGGGACATGCTTTAACCCTTCTCCCCCCACAGGTGAGAGACTTGCTGTCTGGAGCCAAGAGGCCTGGAGGACTCAGGGTCAGGGAGGACGCGGAGCTGGGCTTCTATGTGGACGGTCTGAAGTCAGTGCCTTGCGAGAACTACGCACAGATCGAAAGGCTGATGGAACAAGGAACGAAAATGAGGACCACAGCTTCCACCAACCTCAACGCCAGCAGCAGCAGGTCTCACATGGTCATCACCCTTCGGTTCAAGCAGGTGAGGGCCGAGCGGGTGCCCTGTCCCCACCTCTCACCAGGGACGTCCCAGGGAGCGGTTCCCAGCGGCACAGTGAGCTGGTGAACACAGTAGAGTCCTGTTGAGTTTGACTGATAGGTTGCGGGGGCTACTTCCTGTTAGGAGGTGGTAAGTCATAAGCAGGAGAAAGCGGGGTGCTTAGGATTTCCCTGCCTCCCCGCACATCCACGCCCAGCCCGGCTCCCTGGCAAACGCAGGCCAGCTCTCAGGTCCCTGAGCCGAGGGGCTCACCAGGTAGAATGGTGCTGAAAGGACCATGAACAAAGTCTTGGAAACCAGGGAGTCCGTGTCACTGTGGACTAACCAGAGTCTGTGATAAATGAGATCCTCCCTGGTGTGGATGTGAGATCGACCTCTATGAGGTCGCCAGTGTGATTCAAAAGTGGTTCCAGTCACCCCTCCGTATCCGCAGGGTCCACAGTTGTGGATTCAACCAACTGTGGACCAAAAACACTGGGAAAGCAGGTTACGCTGTTGCTGACATGCACTTGGAAGTCAGGGCTGCCGCGGCTGTGTCTGCACTGAACTGCAGACTTTTTTCCTTGGTGTTACTCCTTCAACGGGACAGCGTAACAGTATGTACAAAGCATCCACACTGGGTCAGGGCCTAAGTACCTGTGGCTGACTTAAAGTATACGGGAGGATGTGTGCACGCTGTGTGCAAATGCTATGCTATTTGTACGAGGGACTTCAGCATCCTCAGATTTGGGTACCTGAGAAGGGTCCTTGAACAAACCCCACCCCTCCTATCGAGGAATGGCTGTTCGCAGAGCCTGGGTCAATGCTACAGTCAGCTATGATTTTACTGCGTCCCCAGGCCACAGCACCAGCAGTGAAGGTGTCCCGCTCCGACCAGGAACGGTGGGCAAACACTGGCCGTGTGTGACTTCATTTCCCAGCGCCTGAGCCTCAGTTTCCTGTTCTGAAATAACACAAAGAGCCCTCCTCACAGAAGTGAAGCGAGGTTTAAATAACACATGGCATGCTAAAGAGCTTTGGGAACTTTTAAGTACTATTCCCTTAGTTTCCCACATTAGGAAAATTCATAAACTTTGTAAGTGGTCTGCCCTATTTTTTTTTTTTACCTTGATATTTGAGAGGAGAAGAAAATGAGCTGGGAAGAAATGAGCCTAGAGACCCGCAGGGCCCTGGCATCACACGGCACTGGTGTCGGTAATGACAACGCCAGGCATGCTGAGGGCCACGACAGCGATTATCTCATACTCGCGGAACACCCCAGCGACGTTTACTGTCCCGTCTCACCGCTGAGCAAGGGGCGGCTCCGAAAAGTCGTCCCTCGCTCACTGCCACGCAGCCGGCAGGGGACTCTGTAGCGTTCTAAAACCCACGCTCTCTCCACTACACAACCACTCCGTACTGAACAGTTACTGCTTTTGCGGACTTCACGGTATTTTATATTTGAAATATTTATTAGCCACAGAAATGCTAGAGCAATCATTGGAATCTAATACATCCCTGGAAACAGCTTTGCAGAATTGGGAAGGGGCAATTGAGGCCCTCGGGCCTGGTGATATGTTACTGTAAACTGTCACCGTCCCAAGGACGGCCTGGGGACTTGTCAACTGTATTGTATCCTTTTTGAGTGTGAAACAGAACTGAGACACCTATTGTCCAATGTAGACTAGACCGGCCCCGGGGCTGCCTGCCAGCCCCCCCGAGCATGGCCTGTGCTGCTCTCCTGCAGGTGTTCCCGGACAGGGGCCTCACCAAACTATCCAGCATTAACCTGGTGGACCTGGCGGGAAGCGAAAGGCAGAAATCTTCGGGGGCCGAAGGAGACAGACTCAGGGAAGGATCACGAGTTAACTTAAGTTTAACCAATTTAGGAAATGTCATCAGGTAAACAACCAGTGGGTAGGTATTTATTTGGACCATAAGAATGACGACCTCAGGTATCAAAAATTAGACTAATCAGAAGTCCTGGTCGATGAGTCACTGTAATCATTGGCTGGTCCTACTATATATTTCATTTTAAACGAGTTAATTGCTTTTTCATGAAATGGACACTACCAAAATCACCACCCAACCCAATGAACAGCTGGCATCTCTTTCCTGTGCTTTCCTTGGAGGTAACCACCACCGTGAATTTTATATGCTCTCTCTTCCCCTGCCCTTTTACCCGGCCTTGTTTCAGTACACATGAATATCATCATTTAGTAGCATCCATATTGGAACTTTATTAAAAGGATAAAAATATGATCTTCTGGGTCTTGCTTTTTTAAGTTAAGGTACAAGTGACATAAAGTGCCCAAATTTCAATGTTCATTTTAAAGAATCTACATGTGTACATCTATGTAATTAGCACCCATATTAAGGTACAAAATATTTCTTTTAAAGATTTTATTTATTTATTTTTAGAGAGAGGGGAAGGGAGGGAGAAAGAGACGGAGAGAAACATCAATGTGGGGTTGCCTCTTGCCCACCCCCCACACTGGGGACCTGGCCCGCAACCCAGGCATGTGCCCTGACTGGGAATCAAACTGGCGACCCTATGGTTCAAAGGCCAGCGCTCAATCCACTGAGCCACACCAGCCAGGGCAAGATACAGAATATTTCTTAAATCAGCAAACAACAAATGATGGTGAGACTGTGGGCAAAAGAGAACCCTTGTGCACTGCTGATGGGAATGCAGACTGGTGCAGCCACTATTGAAAACAGTGTAAAGGTTCCTCGAGAAAATAAAAACAGAACTGCCTTATGACTTAGGGATTCCACTTCTGGGGATTTATCTGAAGAAATCCAAACCACGAATTTGAAAGAACATATGCACCCTCATGTTCACTGCAGCGTTATTTACAATAGCCAAGCTATGGAAGCAGCCCAAGTGCCCATCTGAAAAAGCGGTGGTACCTTTACACAATGAAATAGTACTCAGCTATGAAAAGAGTGGAATCCCATCATTCATCACAGCACGGAGGGACCTAGAGGGTGGTATGCTTCAGTGAAAAGGCAGACAGAGAAAGACAAACACCTCATGACTTCACTTATATGTGGAGTCTACAGGACAACAGGAATAGACAGAAGTGAAACATTCTCTTGGCTACAGACCGGCGGTCGCCAGAGGGAGGGACGCTGGGGGCTGGGTGAGACAGGTGAAGGAACGGAATGCAGACTGGTAGTTAGAAAACAGTCACGGGGACGCAGAGCGGAGCATAGGGGACGGAGTCAATAGCGTGTGACCACAATGTGTGGTGCCAGGTGGGAACTGGAAATACCGAGTGGGTCACTTTGCAGTCAGACCACTGTGCCATGCACTCGAAACTAATAAAAAATAATGCTGACTATAACCTGTACCTTAAAGATAAAAAACAATGGGAAGACAGAATTAAAAACTAGATAAAATAAAACTGTCCTTCCCGGTGAGGGAGGGGCTGAACGAGGTACAGGAGACAGGGATACAATTTCTACTTCTCTGGACACGTCCTGCTTTGAGATTTCACTTTGGAACCAGGTCCGTACTTTAAATAGTCACAGAGCAAGAACACATTTAAACGGGAATTTTTGTAAATAAAAGCCAAGTGAAAGAAAGAGGTTTACAATCCCACTCCTGGCTCTTATTCCCACCAAGAGAAACTGACCTTTGTCACCAAGGATTAGTTTTGCCTAACTGATTAGGATATTGGCTTAAGTTCTACAACTCTTTGTTTTATTTAAGAAGATTAGAATCAGGAAGGTATCTAACTCGATTACACCTGAGCTTCCATGACCTGGAGTTGATTTCAGTGTGTAAGGTAGATATTCTTTTTCATCGTTTTTTCCCTTACGGATGACTGGTTTCCCTCCGTCCCCTGCTATCGTTCCTCTGTCATATACCAAACTTGCGCACACTTAGCCATTTCTTAGCTCTTTGATCAAAAGTCTAAATACAGTAAACACTTTATTCTCTTTCTGAATAATACACAGACCCTCGTCCTACATAAGTAATTGCTGATATGTATTTTAATTCTCTTCTCCTTTAACCCCAAAGGACATTACCATTTTATAGTGTTCATTTCCATTAGCCACACCTCTTTTTTAAATTATTCACTTCTTAAATCTCAGAACTGCTATCTAAGATCGATTTCCTTCTGGTCGAGTACATGCTTTAGAATTTCCGGGGTGATACTCTGCTGATGGCAAACCCCCGTTGTGTTCCTTTCCCCAATCTGCTGGATTAATTGTGTACATTCCTTTTCTCTGTGCCATTTCTCACATAGACACTGTCTCCACCTCCTCCCCACTATCTTCAGTGCCAGCGCTGCTTTCTTTGTGGTCCCCGGGAGCGGGGTGGGGCCTGGGACCTTTGCTTCCCAGTCATCATACTCTGGTGCAGGAGTCCTAGGGAGTCCCAAGTTCATGGGCTGGTCTCAAGGCTGTGTGAGGAAGGCAGCAACGGGTGTCAACCCATGCTGCTCCACTCGCTCACTGCTAGCCCGCCACCCTCTGTAGCAGGGCACGACCCTTCTCTGTACACAGACTCAGAGCAGCCTGCAGGCTCACCGGGACTCTCCTCACAGGTTTCAGGAGTCAGCCCCTCGGGTCTGGGCTTCCCTCTGGGCCCTGGTTTCTCCGGGGTTCATCAGGAGAGGAAGCCAGGTGGCCTGGTTACCCAGCTTCCGCGTCTTCTCGGAAGGCGTCTCAACGACTGGCTGTTATCTGGAGTCCCGTCTCAGATCTTCAGGGTCCAGGGGGGAAGCAAGACCCCTCTCTGACCGATCCCCAGGGAGGTAGTTCTTCTTGAGGCACGTTTTGAATGTACTGTCTTGTGTCTTCTGTTCCTTTCAGTGCCCTGGCGGACGCGGCCGTGGGGAAGAGAGTCTTGCACGTTCCCTACAGAGACTCGGTTCTCACCAAGCTGCTCCAGCCGGCGCTGGGCGGGAACAGCCGGACCACCCTGGTGAATGACTTCCCTGCCCTTTTAGATGCTCCCGCTACTGCTGTCGTCATTAAGGTCGCTCCCCACACACCGCCCCCCCGGGCAACCGCACTTGCACAGCACATGCTTACATCCCACCTCCCGCGCTCTTTCCACTACGGTGTTCAGACAATCTTTCGAAACGCGCGTTCCAATTTTTTATTCTTTTGTGTAGTGTTCAGGTTCCCTACACATGACTCTTATTACCAGGAAAAAAATAATCGATTTTAAAAACAACAATGTCATGTTATTCTAAGTCAGCGGTCATTGCGTGGTGAGACAGGAAGTTAACTGGCCTGTGAGACACACGGGGCAGATGGGCCCTCTGGAGAGTGGCTAAAGCGTGTCCTCTCGGCAAAGACCGCATAGCCTTATCGGTGAAGGTTAGCTAGGCAGGGGCCAGGCGGGGGCCAGGCGGGATGCACTGAAATGCAGGTGCAGGGAGAGCCAAAGCGGGGCAAGCTCTGCCACCAGCCTTGTCCTGGCCTCCGGCTGCTTCCTGGTTGGGAGAGAAATGCTCCCGCTGGCACCTGTTACCAGGCTTCTCTCTCCAAAATTTGCAGGAAAACATATCTCTGCTCTGTCATTTAATCTTGCCTAACGACTTTAGCATGCTTCATTTTAAAGTTTTTCAGGTTATCAGCCCCCCTGGAATAGCCCCCAAGAACCTGGAGTAAAAGGTGGTCCATCAGATGACCTCTGAATGGTAGGCTCCAAGAATGAGCCGACAGGTGTGAGCAGGTGTGCATAGTCACGTGCAGAGGGGATGGCTTCCAGTCCTTCAAGGCGAGGCCCTCACTGAAGCGTGACGAGCCACCAAAACCCCTGGTGGGCAGAAGGTCACGGGACATCTCAGGAGGCGAAAGAAAAAGAGCAACTGTCCAGCCAATGTCCCAGCTCTAGAATCTCTAGGGCTCCAGTCCATTTTACAAACTCATCTTAAAAGTCCCTTTTTCATTCTGAGATAACAGTATCTGCTTGAAAATACAGTCAGTCTGTGACTCACAATTGCTCAGCTTATGATGTTTCGACTTGTACACAGGCAGTAGAAGCCACACTCCAAGTTACAGACTTTTATCTCCCGGGCTGGGGACAAGCATGCAGCACCCTCTCTGGGTGCCCAGCCACGAGGCTGGGCATGGGCCACAGCGTCCCACCAGCCACGTGGTCACCAGGGTGCACAGCCAGCGCACTGAGTGGCTGGCATGTTTCTGCAGGTTGTTTCTCGCCCCATCACATTTACAAAATGCCTGCCTGTGTTTCTTGCTTCCGGAGAGAGGAGGAGGAGAAAGGCAATGACTCTTGAGATGAAAGTCAAGAGACCTGCCGAACTCCAGGCTCACGGGAGTGTTGTGAGCACGCGGAAGCCAGGCTGGGCTTCACTGTGATGTTCGGTAGGCAAGGTGTGTTAGACGTGTCTCCGACCTACAACGGGCTTACCAGGCCGTACCCCTACCGCACATGGAGCAGCATCTGTACTGCTCAGTGATTAAATGAGGTGGGTAAATGCACAAGCTTTCAAGGCTGCAGAGCTGAACAAGGGAGTATGTGCCTGGCTCGAGGTGCTCTGGATTGGGGCCTCCAGGCCTCAGAGGCCAGGTCACCGCATGGACAGTCACATCCCTCCTGTTCACCCTCAGGGGCACTGCTCACCTCCAGTTTGGCCAAAAGTGTTTTCTCGTTTGAACTCTAGAGCAGTGAACCCAAAGTCAGTAGGCAGACTTGAAACCCTACGTGTGGCTACCCAGTCACAGGCAATGTTTATTGACCTCTACAATGGGAACGGTCAACTGTCATTTAAACCCAAGTGGGTCTGCTGGGGACTCAGTGCCCAGGGCGGTGGGGTGAGAGGCCGGCAGCACAGGATGCAAGTTAATTGGGCTGGTTCAAGTCCCAGCTCTGCAGGTTATCATCTGGGTGACCCTGGGCACGCTGCTTTTCCCTAAGCCTGTTTTCTGAGTTGTAAAGTTTGAACAATACTGTAAATTACAAGATGTCCTATGGACGTTACTATGTAAGGTCATTAATAATAAAAAATAAAAGGGTTTTTTTTTTTTTTACAGATAGCAGCCATAAGTCCAGCTGACATCTGCTATGAGGAAACTTTATCGACATTAAGATATGCTGAAAGGTACGCTTATGAATATTCATCACCCATATGGTTATAAGTTCTAAGCCAGGCAAAGTCTTCTGGTAACCTGGGGGGGTGGGGGCAGGGGTTGGCATTTTGGGAAGGGATCCAGGAGAAGGCAGAAGGAAATGATTCATGAAAGAGGATAGAAAACGAGAGGAATTAGAGTTGGGGACACAGGGCCCTCCAGGGCCTGTCATTCTGTTGCTGTGGTTCTGGATGGGGGAGGAACCCTGGGCTCACATCCACTGGAAGAAGCGTGGATGACATTCCCGGAGCAGTTAGTTCTCTGTCTCCCTGTCACATACCCTGGAATCTGGATTCATGGGGGGGGGGGAGGCTCGCCCTGGACCCTTTGAGGTCAGAGCATGCGCAGTGCACAGGGGCGGGGCCTGAGAGCATGTACCCGCTTGCACCTGAAAGGGCTAAAAAGGTCCGGAACAAAGCTGTGGTCAACACCGCGGCCCTGACGGCAGAGTCCAGGACGGGGAACAGCAAACTGCTGCTCGGAGATGACAACTCCAGCATGGCAGGTAAACTGAGTCAGGGGTCAACGCTGAGTCCAAGCCAGCAGCCAGAGGGAGCCCTGGGGGTCTTGTCCAGGGCATTTTGGCCTTCACTTTGAAACACAAAAACAAAACCCAACCATCTCATTTTGAGATAAGTGTAGATTCACATGTAGTTGTAAGATATTGTGTTCCTGCTCTTTAAAATGATCATTTCAGGCTATTTCATTGCCATTTTTTAAAACCTATGGTTACTTTTTTAAAAAAGATTTTATTTTTAGAGAGAGGGAAAGGGAGGGAGAGAAACATCAATATGAGGTTGACTCTCACATGGCCTCCGCTGGGGACCTGGCCTGCAACCCAGGCACATGCCTTGACTGGGAATCCAACTGGCGACCCCTTGCTTCGCAGCCCATGGTCAATCCACTGAGCCACACCAGCCGGGGCTCATTCCCATTTTTGAGTCCATCGTTTCTACTAGGACCGCTTTGCCCTCAGCACAGGTGCACCGAGGTCATGTGATGATCGTTCTGTCCCTGGCCTCATGTTATCTGATGTGCCACGTGATGTTTGAAGCTCAGTAAGAATTAGCAGCAGGGCCCTCCCCCCGCTGCGCATTAGAGCCACCTGGTGACTGGTCACCAGCCAGCCTTCAAGTGCCCCAGGTGACTCCACTGTGCAATCAGCGCGAACCCCGGCTGCGTATTAAGGCCCCAGCTGTCTCCGTTTGGAAGCACGGAGGTACATATAACCCTATGCCCTTTAATGACTTAGAAAAGGCAAGATATAACACAAAGTAAAGGTGGCAGAAGCGTTCAGCATTACACAAGTGTTCCCGAAAGTCCGAAACCTCGCGTGCCCAGTGCTCAGGCCCACGGCCACCACCCTGCCCTCGGGACCGCGCCCGCTCCCCCTGCGGGGCTCCCTCGCCCCACGGGACTCTCTGGTAGTGACAGCGCCACCGACCAACCAACCCAACACGGTCCTGCACACGCGGGTGCGCCCCCGTCCCCACACCCGGGCGGCTTCCACACTCAGCTCCCGGGGGCAGGTCGCCACCCTCGCCGCCCGCCCGGGCACACACCCGTGGGCCCCCGACTCTCTACGACTTCGGCCCCTACGAGGCTCCTACTAAATTCGAGTCGGTGCCCAGCCCGGCCCAGACCCAGCTGCGCCTAGTCACAGAGCTTTGTACCCTCGGAACCTCCACGTGCTTGACCTAAGCACGGCATCTAATTCGTGGTTCATAAGCACCGAGAACGTAGGACCAATGCCCGAATCCCCGGCCCCTGAGAAACTCCCGTAACCACGGGGCCGAGAGAAACACTCACACGTCGACGGGGACGAAAGCAGAACAGGGAGCTTCACGCCTCCTCCTACGAGGCTTCCGGGCTCTAGCTTCCTCCGCACCAGAGGGTGCGCGCGCTTTCTCACCCGGCGGCGCCATCCTCACGCGTTGGCGCAGCTCGGCCGACTCCCGCCGAGAATCTCGCGCTCCGCCCGAGAACGAGAACGAGACTTGCTGCAACCTTGCCTTCCCCAACCTGCGGCTAAGCACCTCCCTCCCCGCAGCGCTGGCCGCCCGTCCGTCCGCAGAACCCTGGCTGGGGCCCCGCGCACCGCAGTTTTCCTGGGCGCACCAGCTGGCGCAGGCGCGGGAGGAGTGGCGGCAGCACCACGTGGCCCTCGCCCAGGTGAGCCTCACCGCCTGCACCTTCGGAGGCCACGGCCGGATGCGCACTTCTGAATGCGCGGCCTAATAGGGTGATTTTCAGTGAATGAGCGATGTGACATGTGACGTGAGACATGTGACTAAGAGATACTCTCGATGGAGTTAGGGGTGAAGCGGTCAGGGCCTGAAAGGGAATGAAGCAGAGAGGCCTTGCTGCGTAGGGACTAGTGAGGCTGGGGATAGAGTTCAAGGTTGTTGACGGCGTTTGGGGAGAATTTGAAGAAACCGAGTTGCCTCCTGAGACCGTACTGTGTGCCCCTGAACCACGCTGCCTCTCCTGGCAGCACTCTCAGAACAGAAGTGGGCTGCGATGTGAATCTCGTACCTGGGTCAGGGACAGGCCCTCTAGGCCTCATGTCAGCACCGCATCCTCACCAGGACCTCACTCTGCAATACCACAGGCTCTGAACAAATCCCAAAGTCATGGCCCGACCTTGGAACACTTCAGGAGGGAGCGGGCAGGTCTGGCTTCTGAAAATCTCCCAGAGCCCGGATCAGATGTGAGCCTCTGGCGGTGGCAGTGAGCGGGGGAAGGCATATGGCATCACGAGGCAGGGTCCAGTTAGGGTCCAAGGATTCTAGGGGGCGGGCATAACATGGGGTCTCACAGCAGCCAGATGCACTATTCCAGTGAGAGGCCACATAAGGGGTAGCTGGATTTTCAACTCCTAGCTGCAGCGGTCAGGAGTCATCAGAGGCAAGAACGCAGGATTTTGTGTTCTGTGTGGACATAAAATGGGGAGGATTTTTATCCTCTTTACTCTTTATCAGAACTCCAAGATTTAGAAGCCCTCCTTGTGCCTGGCTGGTTTATTCGTTAGGTCGATCAATCGTCCTTGCACACAACACCCAGTCATTCGATGCTGCACTAAAGAATGACGTGCACCCAGGTCGCCAGGAGGGGGCAGGGCCACCACCACATGGCCAGCAGCGTCTGCCTATCTGAGCTGGCCAGCAGGACCAGGGGGAAGAGGCGTGGGTAGCAGGTTAAGGGGTGACCCAGGGAAGGATTACCCAAGTTGGGTACCAGAGGGAGGACACCTGGGGACACCAGGAGCCTGAAAGAAATGGTGGAGGTCAAGTCAAAGCGGAGGGGGCAGTGTGAGGGCAGCTGGGAAGGAGAAGAGTCAGGAACTGGCAGCGCTTTGGAACAGCCCTGTCCAGAGGACTCAGGCCACCACCTGCTGAGGGTCTCACCCCTGTGATCAGGGAAGCCCCAGCCCCACTTGGCTTCCCTCCCCTCCGTTTGCTTCACCAGTTGACAGGATGCATGGACAGATGGCTTTGATGACAAGTGGACGGGAAAGAAACATTGCTCTCTTGAGCATGCTGGCCCTGCCTGGTGATGGGACCCTCCGCATTTCTCTTCCAGGAGCAGCAGATGCTGAAGACACTCCCTCACCTCCTCAATGTCAACGAGGACCCGCAGCTCACCGGCGTCCTCAAGTACTTCATTCAGGCCGGTACTCACCCGGACTCCCTGGTCCCACTCCCCCGCCCTGCCCCAGGAGCATGCGTCTTTCCTTTTTTATTTTGGTGAAACATACATAACATCAGATTCACCGTGTTCACCATTTTTAAGGACGTAGTTCAGGGCGTTGTGCACACTCACCCGGTTGTGCAACTGTCACCCCCCGCCCTCTCCAGAACTTCCTCATCCTCCTGAACCGAAACTCGGGGCCCACTGAACACTAACTCTTGTTTTTCCGCCCCAGCCCTGGCGGCCACCACCCTTCTTTCTGTCTCCGTGAACCTGACTGCTCTGGTCCCTCCTGTAGGTGGAGTATTACAGTGTCTGTCCTTTTGTGTCTGGCTTACTTCACTTAGCAGAACATCCTCCAGGTCCAATCAGGTTATAGCACGTGCCAGAATTTCCTTCCTTTTTAAGGCTGAGTAATAATACTTCATTGTATGAGTGTACCGCATTTTATCCATTCAGCCATTGGAAATGGCAATAGAAGTATAACAACATCTAGCTTTCCCTGCCCTGTGAGCACACAAGACAGGAGGGGCTCAGGTGAGATGGGAGGGTGGTGGGAGAGGGGCCAGCCCCCAGGTGGTCCAGGCAGTGCCTTCAGCACTGGGCGGAGACAGCGCCCCACAGACCAGGGCCCGCCCTGGGCTGGACTTCAGTGCATCGCCTAAGGCCGGGGCTCAACTACTTCTTCCTCCAGAATTCCTATGAAGAAGGTGGAACTTAAAAAGTTAGGAATCTCACACACACGCAAAAGGCAGAAAAGACAATAATCCCAAAGGCAAGGCGATGTCCAAGTACCATTCTGATAAAAAAAATCTCAGTGGGAAAATCCCTTCATGTGATCCTATTGGAGTTGAAATGGCACTGCCCATACATTAGACATGTCACCTAAAGGTCAAGCCCTGAAAAAAATCTGAAAGTAAGTTACACTAACTCTTCGTAGGTTCGTGTGATGCTGGTCGAGCTGCTTCCAATGCCATCACTCTTCAAGGTCTGGGGTAAGTTTACACGAGCCATCTCCATTCAGCCTTAGAGAATTGTGACCACTCAGACCCAACACATTCTCAAACTCCGCCTGGTGTCCAGCAGGCCAGGCCACAAAGCCTGCCGGACCACCGAGAACAAGCACTCCCCAGCCCTTCCTCGCCCACCCTGTCCAGTGCTTGCAGCAGTGAGCAAGCAAACGAACGCTTTCTCACTCCATCCCTGAAACCCCTCCCACTGCACTTTGTTTCCTTGGCTCTGATCTTGGGACAAAAGGGAAAGTCAGTTGCTAGACTCTGTGACAATTCTTCAGGACAAGACAATAGTAGATCCGGCCAGGAAATGAAGAGTTAAAAGGATGGGGCCCACTGCAAAAACAAAAGCATCCTCGGGACCAGTGGGCCCTGACTTGCAGGTGACCTCTTTCCAAGGTCGCCTTCAAGGGTCCCCTATGGAGCCCTGTGGCTGGTTTCTGAAGCTCAGAGCTGCCTCTCACCTCTGTGTCTTCTCTTCTGGTGGGGGCCTCTGCTCTGGGACCCCCTCTCCTTCTGGGACCACTGTGTCCTGGACCGCCCCCACACTTCTAGCCACTAGGCTTGATCCGCTCTTCAGAGAGAGGCCTTACTGACCACCCCCCCACACACCTAAGCCCCCAGCCCCCACTGTCAACGACTTTCCCAGGCGTCTCTTCTGAAACATCTGTGTGCATTTCCCCTCCACTCAGGCCCTCCAGCCTGTGAGTTTCTGAGGACTCCAGCCATGACCCTGCGCCTGCCCCCAGCTCCTTGCATCCGTCAGCACGCAGCTGGTACTGGTCCCACTGGTACAAGCATTGCTTGGCTGTGTCCCAGCTCCGTGTGCAGGGTCCCTCAGTACCCACTCCTCCGTCCCCACCCACAGGAACCCCCCAAATGCCCCTAGCCACTCTTCAGCAGCGGGGGAATCTTTCTTACATGTGCAAAGGAGAAGAAACCCCCTAAACGTTTAACTAAAACCATCACTCTTTTCATCAGTTAGACAAACTCCTGTCTTTTTAGAATTTCAGATAAACACGCTTCCTTCACGAATTTGGATGGTAAAGTGACAGTTGCTCCGCACGGCAAATGCAAGGTTGTCGTTAATGGGGTGACCATCACAGCCAAGACGAAGCTGCAGCATTTGGTAAACTTCCCTGCCAGGCCGCAAGACTCCCCAAGTCTGACCAGAAAGAGTGGGAGGTGGGGGCTGGCCAGAGTGAGGGGCTGCCGCCTCGGGCACTGTGATGCCGCAGTCCCAGTCGGGCCATTGGGAGATCCGATGTTTAGTTTACTTGTTGTGTATTCTTGGGAATCCACTTCACTTCACTGGGTCTCACCTATGAAACAGAGAGGGGTGAACTAAATTAAATGATCACCAAGACCCCACCCAACTCCAACATTACATAACATTTTAGGTTTTTTTAAAGCCTGCCCTTGAGAGGGACTGCACAGCAATTTGCAAACATCAGCTCTTTCCACCTCCTGCCCACCCCTGCCACCTGGTCCAGTCCCCCGCCCCACAGGGGACTTCCCCACAGCCCAGCCCCTTTCCCATGCCTTCTCCAGGCTGCAGCTGAGGGTCTTTTAGACAAGCAAATTGGATTGGGCCCTCCCTTCTGGATGCCCTAGGTCTCAGCCCTTTTATGACACCTGGGTGAGCTGCCCCTTCTCCCCCCCCGCCTCCCCGCACTGCCCGGTTTCCCTGGTCGCACTTGCGGCTGCTCAAAACACCCCAGGCCCTGAGCTGCAGCAGTCTTCTCTGCCTCCCCCAAACTTCCACCTCCAACAGTGCACCTTCCCTAGTCCTCAGTGGGAACCAGGCCCCCTCGCTTGCTCTGCAGAAGCACCACCCTTCTCCTTCAGGCACCTCTCAGGTTACTGTGTTATCAGCCTACAAGGTCCCGGAGGGGAGAGGCTGGGTCTGTCCGGGTGCCCACTGATTCCCCGTGTCCGGCGGAGAGCGAGCGCTCCCTGTGGAATACATGTAGGAAGAAATAACCGGAAGCAGGCTGCCACCCCTTCCCTCCTCCTAGATGGGGCTCTTCCCGCAGCTGGGGGCCCTCCCAGAGCTGGCTGACCTCACCCCTCTGGCCTCCGGAGCGAGGGTCGAGTGAGGTCAGCGTCCTCCCCCTGCGCTGACCCTCTCCTCTGCAGGACCGCGTTATTTTGGGATCCAACAGTGCCTACCTCTACATCGGGCTCCCTTCGGAGCGAGGTGGCCAGGACTTGCGCCGGTTTGATTATGACTTTTTCCAGCTGGAGCGAGCGGCCGCGGAGGGAGTCAGTGTGGACAAGCTCGGTGAGCAGCCCTGGGCCCGGCGCTGGCTGCTCTCAAAGTGACGGCTTTCCCTGTCCTGTCACTGCTCTTCTTGATGTGATCTTTTGTGCCAAACCACAATGTTTAGAAAGTTAGGTACAATTTCCATACAACTATAGAGTGATCGCGTGTCCAGACTTAATCCATTAAATTGTTTCTCTTGCGTGGGGCGGGGGGTGGTAAGGATGGTTCAGAGGAGTGAGACCGGGGTGTATACCCCCGGGGGGAAGAATGCTGAGGTGAGACTGCTGAATGCGACAAAGCCGATCAACCGTGTCCTGTAACGTTCCCCTGGACAAAGGTCACTGTAACTCGCCAGTCTTCTGTAAAGTGACATCTAACGCTCAGGGTCCAGGCCCTAGTCAACAGTGAGCACCGGCCACACGATGCTACGCTCCCTGGGGCAGGTAGAGGCTCCGGACACCAGGCTCTGCTGTGGCATTTAAGAGACAGTCATTCTTGTGCCTGACTTCCCTGTTTTGGATGATTTTTCCTGACGTCTCTCTGCGTGTGACACCTTTCTTCTGTGGCAGTCACACGACTCACTCAGGGCACCATTCCCACTGTGACTTGGCCAGAAGTCCTCACGCACCTCCTGGCCCCACCCAGGGGCCTGAGGGCCTGCAGAGGCTGTGGCCAGACAGCTAGAGATGCTGACTGGGAGCCTGCTCTGGCCCAGAGAGCTGGCGATGGACCACATCCGGGCCCCAGCCTACCAGAAATGATAGCCCTTGGTTTTCTAATCAAATATGCCCCCTTCTCCTCCCCTCCCCCCACCCCCACCAATTATCTGGGATTCCTCACACACAAGAGCATTCAGGAGCTCTGCCGGCTCTGCCCTCAGTTCTGATGGAGGCCTCCCCTCACCCCCTCCCGTGCTGCGCCAGCAGGGCGCTTGCTTCAGGCACAGCGGCCAGGCCTGAACTTGCCGGTGGGTGGGGTGCAGCGGGATGCACCCACACTGGTGCAAAACAGTTTCTCTCTTTCCCCTACAGGGTTTTTTTCCCCTGAGAATTTTAACAAAATTAATTGATTTGAAATGCATCTTCTTGCTCATCTTCTATTGAAGTTCCTGACCAAAGACAAAATCAGACTGAGCAGTTCCAAGCCTGGGTACTCCACCCATTCATTTATTCATTCACAGGCTTCACTGCACACCTGCCTCCCAGCCCAGGGTGGGGGAGCTAAACGGGCCCCAGACCCTGGGCTAAAGGCGTTGAGCACATAACAAGGTCATCAACAAGGCAGCCGGTGGGCAGTGCTGGGGAGGCAGACCTCAGGGCCAAGGGCACGCGGCGTGAAGCCATGGGCAGGGAGTCCCTGAAGAGCTGAGAGTTGCTGACAGAGGCAGCACCAAGCTGGGTGTATTGCTTCTCCATGCTCTCCCCTCCATGCCTCCCCACGTGGAGTAGAAGTAAGAACAGGCAGCTTCAGGGTAAATCCCCAGACCTCCCTTCTAATCAACCTCCTGCACCCTCGGGGGCCACCCTGGGTCAGGACCCTGCAACCAAGAACGGGAGGGGAGGCAGAGGGCCTCCTATCACCGTGCCACCCACAGGCACGGTCGGGATGAGCGACTGCTTAGGTGAGAGCCAGGTGGTGTCTCTTCCCATACTTTAGGGTTTTTTTTTGTAATCACATGCTTGTAGTTAAAAAATGCAAATATTGATGAACAATGAAATGAATGGTCTCCTCATGGCCGAAAAGTATCTCAGAGCAAGAGACTGGCTCTGACTTCCGCTTCGCTTGGTTCCCAGGCACCAGGAACGGGGGTGCCGGGCCCACGGACCCCAGTGTCCTGGCTGTGTTCCAGGACTACATCGAACTGATGCCGCTGGTCGCAGAAGCAAATCAAATGAGTGAAGAGCTGAAGAAGGTAAGCACTAGGAAAGGGAATGATGTCAGCTCCAGAGAGGACCTCGGAGGGCAGGTTCCACCCCTCACTCCCTGCTGCCCCTAACTGGCTTCATGGGACAGATGAGGACACGGAGGCCCAGAGAGGCGAGGAGCTGTGGCCAAGACCCCACAGTGAGCTAGGGACAGGATCTAGTTCAGCGCCCAGGCCGCCCCAGTCCCAGCCCGAGCATCCTTTCTTCCATGGCTGGCCCAGCACAGCCGCTGCAGCCAGCAGGACACCAGACGAACACGAGCCATAACCACCCACCCCAGACGGTCCTCCAGCGGAGCCTCCGCACTGGGGTCCTGACAGCCCCTACGCTGCAGAGGAGACCTGGGCTGGGGTGGCTCCCGGGGACACAGGACCCCAGTCCTCAGGAGACCCACCGGGAAGGTACCCACCCTCGGAGGGCCCACAGTGTCGGTTCCAGGATACTGCTGAGGAATTCTAGTGCTTTGTCGTGGATCTTGGTGGGAATTCCAAGAAGCAAGAGTTAGACCGCCTTCTTCCAGAAAGCCTGAGTACGGAGAGAATGAAAAGCAAATGGCAAAGATGCTATGGCCTGGCAAATGTAGGGTTTTTAGTAAGACGTGCTTGTCTTATCAGGGACTCAAGATGGAATTGAAAGTGAAGAACTTGGCATCGTCAGATTCCAGGGGCTATGACCTACAGAAAGAGGTCATGGTGAAGGTGACCAACCAGAGGACTCACGAGGTGAGGCTGCCATTGAGGGTGGGCGTGGGCCTCCCCAAGGGCTTTCTGGGGACCAGGTCAGCTTTACCAGCAGCAGCCTGTGGAGACCCGGTGAAGGGGTGGGATTCTGGGGGACAGATTCTCGGGAGAGGAGAACCCTCTCCATGTCTCCCCTCCTGGGCCCCACCCCCACACAGCACCCAGTCCTGGGATCTCCCCGAACCAGCAGCATTGAGCACTGTGCTTATTTTTAACATGACTTGAAGGCTTTAGTACCAGGAGTGAGCCTGGAAGTTCCTGACTGCTAACAGTGTCCACGTGCATGTGGGTGTGCACACGTGTGTCCACGCCAGAGGGACTTGCCATTCCGAAGCAGTGGAGAATCCGCACTTGCAGGAAGCGTCCGGGAAAGGCTGGCCCAGGCCCACGCTCTTTCCCTCTGCCCAGCGGACAAGCGGGCCCTATCTCCTCGTGTCCCTTCTGTGTGTGGTGATTTTGGAGCAGCGCGTTAGCTGCACGCTCACTCCATAGCCCACCTTCAGAGCACGTGCCCCTAGTTCCCAGGTGACCTTTGGGTGGGCTGCTCCCTCCCAAATCCTCCGTGCACACGACCCTCCTTAGGAGCGAGGCTTGCAGCAAATGTGCCCCTAGAGGGCTGGCCACAGCTAGGGACTTCCCTGTCACTGGATAATTCGCTTCTCTGGGTTTGGTTTTTCTGCTTACTGCCCTAAAGTTGCCAGATTTTTCTAGAGCAAGATCACCTTTTAAAAACCTTTTGAAGCTGTGAGATATGACTCAAAGACTATAAACGTGTGCGCCCGTGTTATATAGCGAATGCGTGAGTACTCACCATCCCATTCAGGGGCATTTATGTTTGTCTCTGCCAGGTGCTGGGGCCCCCTAGGGTCACCGCTGGCGTTTCACTGGCCCCCTGGTTGTGAGCACCCCCAGAGCCTCCTGAGGAAGGGCCACCGCCGAGCCCAGACTTCTGAGACTGTCCCTCTTTCCTCCCTCCCGCTGGTCAGCGCTGAAGGAGGGCCCTCTACACCTCCCGGGATGGAGGAGATAAAGACATGTCTTAGTCCAGTCAGGCTTCCCTAGCAAACCACCACCGACTGAGCAGCCCAAACAACAAACGTTCTCACAGGCCTGGAGGCCAAGAAGTCCAAGACGAAGGACTTCGGAGGCTGACCTGGCATCCGCCGAGAACCCTCTTCTTGGTTCACTAATGGCCATCTTCTCGCTGTGTCCTCCTCCCGTGGTGGAAGGGCCCAGGGACTCCCTTGGGGTCTCTTGTACCAGGGCACTAATCCCGTCCACGAGGGCCCCACCTCCATGACCTAGTCACCCCCCAAAGGCCCCACATCCCAACACGTCATCTTCAAGGTGGTCCGTTTTTGCCTTTTAAAAGTACCAGTGACCTCCCCTCAAATGAAGCCCCACCTTCCGCAGGAGTCCTCTGAAAGGCTGGAAGTAGCTTCTGGTAGTTTCTAGGGACACTGTGTGTGTGTGTAAAAGGCAAGCCTGATGGAGCGCAGCGGAGGGTCCCAGGTGCACGCAGTGGTGCTGCCGGCAGAGGGTCCTGTGCATGGTCACCCTCAGATTAGGGGGCCGGGGTGCCACACGGCACAGCTCCTGGGAGGAGAGGGCCTTATCCCCAGGCAGTTTGGTGGGACTGTTGGCCTCATGTGATGCAAATTCAGGAGCAAGCCCGGGCCCCGTGAGGGCTGCGGAGGGTGTTCCAGGCTGGAGATGCCGCCGGCATGAAGTGCCTTCTCAGCAGGCCCTGCCCGGCGGCTGCTGGCTCCCACCTCCAGCCAGGGAGTCTGTGTGCCTGGCCTCGCGCCCTCTGGCGCAGGTTTCCCCGCCCTGTCCCGTAGAGCCTCCCCTACCTGCCAGGGACAACATCAGTTTTACCTGTCACGGGGCCATGGCCTGATGCCACAAGCAGTGAGGCAGCGAGCAAGTTTCAGTATCCAAACCCTTCATCTCAGCGCTCTAGCCTGCAAAAGGCCGCTGCACCAGGAACCCCGGCCGTGGTCTGTGCCCGGCCAGGCTCTTGCTCGGCTGCGATGACGTCCCCGGGGGAGTGGCGCTATGAAGTCCAAAGGGGGTCCTTCCAGGAAGACACATAGCACTTGAAAATAACTTACCTGCCACTTCTCTGTTGTTTTTTGTCTCTCAGAGAAGGAATTGCCAGTTTTACCGGGTAGCTATTCCTGATGTTACACTTGTGGTCAAGAAATGTCCTAAAAATCCAACTGGAATCCCTTTCTCTGAGGCTTATGCTTTTGTCCCCTCTCAGTAGCCAGTGTTGAAACAGAGGCCCCGTTCCTCACCTGGGGCAGGGACAGGCGGCGCAGACATTTGTCCCGGAGCCTCTGTAGGATCAGGGCCCAGCACAGATCTCACTGGGTTAAAGCGAGGTGTTGGCTGGGCTGGTTTGCTTTCTGGAGGCAAGGAGGAGAATCTGTTTCCTTGTCTTTCAAGCTTCTAGAAGCCACCAGCACGCCTTGGCTCGGGCCCTCTTCCTCCACCTCTCTGCCCCAGCATCTGGCACACGGCCCTTCCTCTGACTCTCTTTCCTGCCTCTCTCTTCCACACGTAAACACGTGTGATCACACTGGGCCTACCTGGATGGCGCACGCTAACTTCCCTATTTGAAGGTCAGTTAATAAGCGAACTCAAGTCCCCTCTGCCATGTGAGCTGATGTGGACTTGTGGGAAGACCACTACTCTCTGTTCCACAAGCACCAGACCTTCATTTCTCCTGGGCGGGTTCTGACTCCGTCATCTCCACCGAGTCACTCCTGGGGCTCCAGAATGCCGGCAGTGCTGGCGTGACAGGTCAGGACTGCCCGTGGTGCTCCTGAAGGACTTCCCCAAAGCTGAGTCCGGGAGAGTGCTCCGTGGTCTTGGGTACCCCAAAGCCAGCCCACCAGAGACAGCGTGCTGGGAAGCGTGATGGAATCATCGAAATGAATAGGTAGAGCGGCAGGTGAAATCAAATACTGGTGACCTGCCTCTGTGTTTCCAGGTGTGGGTTTGGTCAAAAGCCAAGTTTATCAATAGGAAGTTCCTAATGGAGGAACTCTACCAGCGCTTCCTAGATGGGGAAGACAGCTGCGTAGCACAGGAAGACGACCCCTTCTGGGACCCCATGGAGGCCGTCCACCTGGGCTCAGCCCACGTCTGGCTCCAGCCGCTGGCCTACTGCATGGAGCTGGAGGAGCAGGTGGCGTTCCTGGGCTGCGACGGGCTGGAGGAGGCACTGCTGCACATCCACGTGAGGCCCTGCTCCCCAACAGGACGGTGGGTGTCTCCACCCCCCACCGTAGTCTGGGCCTGTCTCTTGGAGAAAATTCGAGCAAACCTGAGGGCTCCTGGAGGGGGTGGTCACCTTGGTACCCCAGAGAGGTCAGCTAGGAGATGAATGAATGAGCTCTTTCATTTATGACTTGACCTCATTGGATCAGCTGCCCTGGCACATTTCAAATCCATGCTTAGCAGCATTCAAGCAGCTCAGCACTGTCCTGGGGGGGCCTTAGGGGTGAGGAAGGCCCCCTGCAAAGAGGCAGGCGTAGGAGGAGGAACTTTGAATAGGAACCAAAAACCCAGGCTGGCTCCCCGTCACGCCCTCCGAGTTCAGGAGCCGAGTGGGGTGCCGGTGAGGTGTGGCATCCAGCACGTGCGGTAGGCTCTTTCCCGTGCTGACGGCCCCCCACACACACCTGCTGGCGAGGGCCACGAGCCAGAAGCAGAACGCTCACCCCGTTCCATCCTTGGCACAGGCTCGGGTCATTTTTTGGTTCCTTTTCTCAAGGCAGGGACTGAGCCGTCTTTGCTCCCTTACCTGGCCTCATTCTGTGCTGCAGTCAGCCCTTTCTGTGGTCACAGGCTCTGCTCGAACGCTCTCCTCCATAACCTTTACCCTCCTCTCAGGGTGTCTCCTCTGTCCTCTCTTTACGCCACGGGCAACTTAGGTCGTTTTTATGGAGGTTCTCAGAGGTCTGGCAGAGGGCTCTGACCTGGGCACCAGGGTCCTCATCCACCCAATGCGATCTTTCCGTCTTTGTGAAGAGGCAACAGGCGCAAGGAGGGAGCAAGAGGCTCTCAGGGTCCTGTGACTCGGAGACCCAGCTGGCCGTCGGCTCACTGTCTTCACTGGGACTCTAAGCAACTTTCTGGTCACTTGACTACCTCAGGCCTCTAGGCCGATGGACCGTGGCATTTCCTGTCGCCCAGCAATGAGGTGGCATCCTAGTTTATAGTGTCAGACGCTGTGAGCTTGGTGGACGAGAGAGAGGCCCCCGTTGGAAAGCTGTCCAAACTGGCTTCTAGCTTGTAGGCCTGGGGCTGACGCTGAGGAATCAGCAAGAAAATGGTAGCTTGAGAGGCTGCGTCTGGGCATCAGCTGGCTTTCCCTGGGTGGCAGCCTTCCATTCTACTGGGAACCTCCCTCGATCTTCGCCCACGTCCGGGTGCACACTGCACAAGCTTTCATATCTCTGCCTCCTCCTCGAGAAGGTCCCTCTCTTACCTTGAAGTACCAGGAGCGGGCCCTTGTTGAGTGTCTCTTGAATGAAGGAATTCTACAGCTGACACATTTACTATCCTTCCTTCAGTGAACCCGGCCATCTCTTAAGGAGTCTGTGTAACTCCCTTCGACGTCACAGCCCTGACTTGCTTGGCTCCAGGCTAACCCATGATCAGTGTCCCCTCTTCTGTTTCCAGAGCATGTGGCGAGGAGGACATGGTCATGGACCCTCTGGAGCTGCTGGGCGAGAGGATGGATTTCCAGGTCCACATTGTGCGGTGCCTTGGCGCCACGTGGCTAGAGGAAGATGCAGAGCGGGGCGTGCAGATGGGGTACCGGCCGCCCCGTGGACCTGCTGTGCGCCACCCGCCCACTGCGTGGGCCCTGGGGGAGGGAGTCTGTCCTCACATTTCTAAAAAACGAGTTTATCATGAAATGTCCTCAAGTTCCCCTGCTTGCTCAACCCAAAATGACTACTTCCCCCATCTGTTCAGCAGAGAAAAGCCACACATCCCTCCAGGCTGGTAGACGGTGACCAACGTGTACTGACCCTGCTGAGGGACTGGAGTGGCAGGGTCGGAGATTTCCACGATCAGAAAGGCTGTCCAGGAAAAGTGTACTGTCTACATGGAGGGTTGTTCTGGTTTTTGCTCGGAAACAAAGGACTGTCCCAATGGGTCAGCCGCACCAGACAGATCTGCTTAAACTAATTAGGCTGAAAGGATATTATCCAAAGACAAAGCAATAAAGAAAGGGCGATTTTGAAGGAAAGCAAACCACCACCTCACATGGAAGATGAATTTCAGTCCTGGATTACCTAGGCAGGAAGTATTTATCAGAGTCCTTTTTCTGTTTTGTTAGATGTCGGATGTCATCGGTCTCGATGACATTCGTATGAAGGCTGAGAGCTGGACGTGGCACCCCTGAGACGCGCTAGGGGTCGTCTTTTACTGCCTAACCAGTGCAGGCTGTAAATGCTGGGCCCATCTGGTCCTTTTCTTTACAAATGTGTCCCTTCTGGTCTTATGTTCTTTTCTCAGGTACAGAATTTATGATCTTCCACATGCTTTATATACCAAGCCTATATGGAAAACTGAGAATCCCCAAATTGAAGAGTCTGTCCAATTTACAGCCCTAAATGCATCTCAGGAGTTTCTGAATTATTTACAGACAAACGCTCTCATTGTTGACTTATGGGGTCTTCAAGGTACAGCTTTACTTCCTCTTCTGCACAGGCGTTCATGAATCAGACCCCACGCAGTGCATCCAAGGCTTTGGAGGCGGGGAGGGGCTGGTCGGGTCTGCACCGTGGTGTGACATCTCATGCATCTCTGGGCCGGACAACTGAGACTCTTTCCGTGGTGGTGTCTCCCCCACACTACAGAGGGCTGTGCTGAACTGAGCTGTTCCCGGCAGGGCCTCATGGTCACAGGGGAAGGCCACATCATGGTGGACACCAAGGACATGACTACTGTGATGACTACAGGCCAGGTGTGTACGTTTATGTGACGTTGAAATGGATGTCACAGACTGGAAAATCTCAGTCCTTGCACCCCGAGGGGCTTAAACCCCACTCACTGCACCCCCACCCCATCTGGTTTTCCTGCCACCATAGAAACTGCCGGGCTCAAAGGGCGTGCAAATGCCCCACAGCGCGGCTAACCGAAGAGGCTAAGGGACACGTCTTTTGTAGACACCGTCAAACCGGACGTCAGAACTGCATCTGAAGCTGCTCGAGTTGGAACAGGAGACGGAGCTGCTCAGGAAGGTCAACAGGGCCCTCAGGGAGGAGAACCTGCGTCTGCGAGAATCCCTGGAGAGAACGAGTTCCAGTCAGCCAGGTGAGAGGCCGCCCAAGACCTGGCTGCTTAGCTTCCGTCTAACTCCTGCCTGTCTTTCTAAGGAGTGAGCTTTTGAGTCTGTTAGTCCATGTTGGTTTCATGAAAACGGCAGTCCGGATCGGGGCCTGATGAACGCCGATGGGGGAGAATGGCGCCTGGCAAACACACGGGAGCAGATACGAGCTGTCTTTCCTTCCCCCTCAGCACACGAGCCTTCTGCTGCCCTGACGGTGGCTGGGGACGCAGCGCCATGGCCAGAGAGGGACCGAGAGAGGGACCGAGAGTGCGCCCAGCGGGCTGGCTGCGACAGAGAGTTTGCCAAAGCTCTGAAAGGGTTCTACCGGCGCATGACTACGGCGACAGGCCAGCTCCTCAGACTGAGGCGTCATGAGCCCCCTGTAAGTGACCGAGCCCCGGGAGCAGCACAGTCCATCCCGTTTGGATACCACTGGCAAAAAAAGCATGTGATAAACTTCAGCATCGTGCATAATAAACACTGTGAGCAAACCAGGAGGAAAATGAACACTCCTTAATCTGATAAAGGCAATCTTAAACAAACACTTTGCAAGCATAATGATTAATGGTGAGTCACTGGAAGCTCTGCCTTTCCCCCAGGAAGAAATCGGGGAGGCCAGCCACCATCACCTCTGTGGACATTGTCCTTTAGGTTCTAGCCAGTGCAGCTAGGCAAGAGATTCAAGGTGTAAAGACTGGAGAGGAAAACAAGCAGTAGCAACAGCAGCACACCTTTCTATGGTACTCAGTGCTTCCCAGTCACCGACTCGGCTCTCACAACCTCCCCACCCCACGAGGCAGGTGTCAGTGCTGGCCCTGCTTTACCGTCGACGGGTCTACGGCACAGAGCGGTGCAGCGACACACAGCTGGTAAGTCGCAGTGCCGGCCTCCCGGCCCAGCCAGGGCGGCTGCACCGTCTCCTCTTCCAGCACGCCAGCTGCTGGTTATCCTTCCCAACGACATATTTATGTGAACACAAAACCCAAAGAATTTATAGGTAAACAGAACTACAAAGTTTCTGGACACAAAAATCAATACTTAAAAAATTAACTGCATTAGGATATAACAGCACCAAGCAGAAAACATTTTCACAAAAGATACCATTTATAATTGCATCAAACATAGGAAGTACAGAGTCCTCTCTGAATACTGTAAGTTCTGTGGCTTGAAACAACATATACCGAAACCAAGACTGAAGTTCCTATAGCATCTCACTAACATTGCACTGAAGTAACAGCGAGTGGGTTGACATTATTTGAGGACCTGCTATACTTCAGCCTACATACTCATAAAACTATGTGCTTCTATGCAGAAAATTTAAAAACTTGTTCGAGAGATGATCTAAATAGACAGAGAAATGTGCTATTACAGATATGTCAGGTCTCCCTGAGACTTGATGAAATCCCAATCAAATGTAATGGAGACCGACAGTGATTTAGATGGAAGTGCAAAAGCAAAGACAAGCCAAGGCAAGATCAAGACCCACAAACAAGGTGGAAAGACTTGTCCTGCCGGATGCCTGGGCTCACTGCTACAGACAGCAGGGTGTTACCCAGTCAGAGACAAGGTCACCAAAGGCAAGGCCTGGGGGACCCAGGAGGAGATTCACTCAGGACCAGAGACTTGATACACGTGTACAATCGAGGTGGGGCCGCTGAGGAGTGGCAAGGAGAGTGTTTCGAAAAACAGTGCCAGAAGAATTAAGGACATGTACAAGGAAAAGTAAAATTGTAATCTTACCAAAACTATTCTCAGAAGTCAATTTTGGTGAGAATTAAAGACCCAAGTCTTTAGGGAAAGGGAAAGCCCTGCTGCTCTTTAGAAGTTAATGTAGGAGACGCTTTGTGACCTCACAGTGGGAAAGGATTTCTTAAACAGGACACAAAAAACATTGAGCGTTAAAGGAAATGTCTCAACTACATTAAAATTGTAAAGTTTGGTCCAGATACCAAAATGAAGTCAAAAGGGATAGGAACGGTTATTTGTAACACATTTAACATACAATGAATATCCAAAATAAATAACTACAAACAGGAAAAGAAAAAGATAACCCAACTTAAAACTCAAAGGATTTGAACAGGAACTTCTCAACAGTGGAAATCAAAAGGCCAATAAATACATGAAAGAGTGCTTAATTAACCTCATGGATAGCTTGGGAAATGCTAATTGAAACTACAATGAAATACTATTATAAACCCACCACAATAGCAAAAATTAAAAAGGATATCAAGTGTTGGGGAAGAAATGAAACAGCAGCAGAAACTCTCACATGCTGCTTGGAAAGAATATAAATTGGTGTAACCACTTAAAAAATCACCTGCTGTTACCTAGTTGAGTTGAGGCTGCCTCTGCCCTAGAGGCCTGCAGTTCAGCTCCTCACAGGGTGCAGCCCTATCGCCCCGAGGCAGGGGCTCTCAAAGTGTGGTCCCCAACTAGTGGCTTCAGTGCCATCTGGGCTCCTGCATATTCCAGGGCCCCATCCCTGACCTCCTGAATCAGAATCTCCGGGAGTGGGGCCCTGGAACCTGGGCCCTAAAAAGCCCCCTAGAAGATCCTGCCTTAAACCACCTCACCAAGGCAGCCAGTGGATGTGATGAATTAGTTTCTTTCTGACATGTTTAGATTGGTACAAGTTATCTAACCATTTTTGAGAGAACTGAGCAAACAGTTGCTCAGATCACTTTCTGTTGTGTGGGTCGGGTGAGGGACCAGCTGGAAAACTGCAGAAACCCTCACATAGGTATACGAACCGCCCCCAACACCATCTTCCAAAAGAGGCTCAAGCAGGACACACCCTCTAACGTTTGAACCAATGGGAGACTCTCCACTTGGTATGGTCCAAAGAACATGAGGGTGGACCACAGTAGGTTTACAGGTGTTCGTATGGAAAATAACACGATAACTAATAACATGAGAATAAGCTCTGTTTTGCATACTCGTAACTATAAGCCTCCTTTTGCCCACCGCACACCACTGCAATCTGAAACGCCTGCGTTATCTCACCAATTGTCCCCACTGGTGGTAGCAAAGGGGCCATTCAGGTGGCCTTCCTGAAACCAAACATGCTCCCAGGTGGTGACTTTCAAATGCAGCTTTTCTGGCCCAGAGGAAGGACTTACTTGGCCCCCACTCAAATACACACAACATTTCTACTCTAAAGATGTAGATCTACCACTTTCACTCTTCTCCTTTCGCTGATTTGTTTTAGGAAGATGATCAGATGCTCCGACCATTTGTACAGCAACAGTCACAGATGTTACAGGACTTCGGGGATCTCCTTGAATCCAGCTTGTGGACACTGAAAACTGACGTAGCTCTCATTGTGAAGAAGAAGAGAGAGTGTCTGTTACAGAGCGAATGATGAGGATACGTAAAAAAATCTGAAAACGGTGTTTTGCATTGTGAAGGTGAATTGGGCAGCTAAGAAGCTTATTGAACTTGGCTGTCAGAGCTGAACTGGGGACTCAACGTATCCAACCCAATTCCCATCTTATTAATTAATCATTAATTAACTACTTCACTTATTTCTTCTACCGCTTTTAAGCAAAACTTTTCTTCATTTTGACATGAAACCATGTGACATGAACCCATACCCAGGGTGAAGGAGAAGTGGGGGCCATCTCAAGTGAATGGTTAGCATTCCAAGCTCTGGGTCTGACCGCCCAGCCCTGGTTAAACCCGTCACTTGTAACTGTGTGGTTTCAGGCAAGTGTGCCTGTCTAAGCCTCTTTCCTTATGTTACACAGGAAGGGTGGCAGTTAATAGTCTCATAGAGCCCTCGGGATAGCAGTTCCTGGCACGCAAAAGCAAGGAAGCACTTGTCATTCACTCGTCATGGTAAACAGTCTGAAACTTCAATAAAACCCTTCTGGTAAATTTGCTGCTGTCGGACACAGAGCCAATGGTGATCTTGTGCCCCTGTTTTGTGTCACTGCTCTGAAAGAGGTTCACATCCCCCTCCCTCGTTTTCTTTGTCTTGGGAGGATCTGGAGCGCACTCGGCTCACTGGGCAGTGTCAGTGTCTGAGCTGGGGGACGGGTTGGAGGCGGGGGTCTGGGGTGGCAGACACCAAGAGTGTTGGTGAGCCCCGCTGGGGGGACGTCCATCTCGAAGCAGTCTCGGTCCCAGGAAGAGCTGACGGATGGGCACTCAGTGGTCTGGGGAAAGCCTGTAAGGAAAGCTCCCGAGACTGAAGGAGTGCTCACTCCGTGCTGAGGCAACCCTCTAAGTGCCAAACATCAAATAGCTCATTTAATTCTCACCATAACCCTAAGTTTGGCACTATTATTTCTCCTATTTTGAAGCTTTGAGGGTTAAATAAAGGACACGTGTCCAGGCAACTGTGAGAAAGCAGGGGCTGACTCTAGGGACTGCAATTCTAACCACATGGCCTGCCACATTAACAGGCAGGACTGTCCAGGGGACCAGTCAGACTTGATTTGCCTAAGAAACCAGGAAGGAGAAAATAGAGGTGACAATCCCAATCCTCACTCTCTGAAATAAAAAGTGAGGGAAATCAAACAGGATGACACTGAACCTCTACTGGTCGGAGAAGTTATCGAGGGCCCCCGGAAGGAGGCACCCTGGGAAGGCGGGGGGAGCTAGGCTGGTGAGTTGTTTAATATCGGGGGCCAGAGGCTTATGGGAAAGGCTGGGGTGCTGCCTGCGGCTCTGGTCCTGTGCACACACAGGAACCAAGAGACAACCTGTAACCTGAGAGCCCGAGCGTGCAGTGCCACAGGGACCGCGGGGCCAGGGGTGAGCAAAGCGTCACCGAGTCCCAGAATCCCAGAAAGCCTCTCTGGGGGGGCAGAGCGGCGGCGAGGCCACCACCTCCTGGACCAGCCTTATAGTTCTCAAACAATTCACACAGGGTGCAGTGCTTGCCTTTCTGCAAATGAGAGCAGGTAGCGCCTTGAGGCTGGGGGGTTTAAAGATAAAATTAAACCCTGGCTGGGTAGCTCAGCTGGTTAGAGTGTCGGCCAAGTGCACTAAGCTTGCGGGTTCCAGCCCCAGTCAGGGTACATACAAGAACTGACTGGTGAACACGCAAGTAAGTAAAACAACAAACTGATGTTCTGTCTCAGATCAGTGAAGATTTAAAAAGATAAAAATATTAGAATGAGACACGCATGTATGTCAAGCTGGAGGACAGTCACCCCAGCTGCCGCACGTCAGTATCAACACTGAACAGCATACGGTGCAAAACTAGAAAGAGCGTTGACACACCTGCAGCCCCACTCGGCGGCTCCCGAATGCGGACTGAAACCCCAGATTCCGAAGCGGCCCCTCCGGGCCCCCTGAACGCAAACGGCTTGTGACCCCGCAGCTAGTCATGAGATCTGTTGCTTCTGCGCATCCTCCTAGTTTTAGAGGTGATAAAAACTTTTCGACAGTCCCCCAGATTAGGACACAGCTGAGACCAGATCCAGGGGCGGACGGAGCCAAGGTAGGAGGAACAGTACTACCACCAAGAACCTCCCTCCACAAGTTAGAGACCCTCTTTCTTCTCTGCAGGTGGCAGAAAAGGGACGCCCAACACGAGCAGTGTTCCTGCCTACATCACCTTCTCATCCCGGAGCAGAAATCCCATGAAAGTCGTGTCTGTCCTCCTTACGTAACTAAAAGGCACAGAACATCACATTTGTGTTTATTACGTGCCTATCTCCAGAGGAAAAGTCCTGTGCTGTGCCTTGTTTTAGGCCATTACTGAAAAACATACTTAAAGTACAAAAAGTCAGTCAGTGAACCATGCTGCTCAGGCGGCGAACACCAACAGACACTCACCGGCTGTACCCTAAAACGAAACGCGTCGCAGGCAGCGAGCCAGGCACACGCGGCCCAGGCTCCGTCAGCAGCAGCAGCAGCAGCAGCAGCGCAGGAAGCTCGTCGCTGCCGCCACTCAAACACCAGGCAAGTCACACGCAAAACCACCACTCGACTGGCAAGCCTTTATTATTCAACTTAGTTAAGTCCAAAAGCAGTCAGTGTAGATGGGTGAAAAACTAAGCTAAAATGGCAACAAGGGCAGTTCCATCTCACAAAGGCCCCCACGCACAGAGAGCAGCTCGCTGGAGAGCGGACCCCGGGACTGCACGTGTCCAGGACGGCAGCCTGGGCCCATCAGGAAGCGTCAGCGGCGCGGGCGCGGGCTCCAGCCCACCCTCACACCTGCCCGCTCACTTACAAAACTGGCCGCGAATTCTGCAACGTAAAGGTCGGTCAAATATCCCCATGAGCAATAAAATCACCAAGACGGCTAAGATTTGAAATTTAGGGTAAGCTAGTATAATTTCTTGCTTTTAATGTGTACATATTTTAGATTTGATGATCTCTTCCACACAGCCTTATAGGATAATTTCAAATATCAGATAAAAAGTTGTTAGTTCACGCATGTTATGACTGGTTAATTCTTCAAAGGTTTAGACTTCGGAGCTGCTAATGACACTGAATTCAATGCCGCGCTGGTGGAGCCTGTCAATCAGCTTTGTCCTGCAGAAGGCCGCTCCCGGGGTGAAGACCCCGCCCCTGCAAGACAGTGAGAAGACACAGCAGTGCAGAAGCCCGGCTCCAGCCCGTCCCTCTGCCGCCGCGGTGTGCCGGAGGCCTGGCCACCAGACCGCTACAGAGCCCAGGAAAACCTGGCTCTTTTGATGCTACTGGGGACTGGTTTGGGTTCCATCCCTAAAATCAGCCAAACAGCAGGCAGCTACTGCTCAGGGGGAGCTGGTGACCAGCACTGCAGTGTCAGTGAGCAGGTGACTGTGGCCGCAGCACACCGTGCTCGGGGCACACTGAGGTCACCAAGAGGAGCAGCGCTGCTGTTCACAAACACAGCCCTCCGACCAGGGGGAGTGTGAACAAAGGCCTGAGTGAAACAGATTTAGGTGACTGATTACTAGGAAAGCACAAATAAGACTTAAATTGAGTGAAAAAAGTTTCCTTAAACATAATGGCTAAATGTAAATGCTAAGTATTTTCAAAGGATATACAAGTATTTGAAAAAATTTAATTAGGTTTCACTTTACACAATTTTTATATTTACTACTTAATACTGTTTCAGGCCATACCCAAATGTACTTATTTCTAAGCCTAAGGGCCCATGTTCACTTGTGAAGGTGGCTACTTGTAGGGACAGCTAACAGCTGCAGTATGACTGTCCCCTTGGTAATCATCCAGCCAGGAGGCCATGAACCAGTCCACGCTGATGCCAGGGCCCAGGGACCCCAGGTCAGAATGCACAGCTCGAACTGTTCTGTCTCCTCTCATTTACCTCTGTTCCCAGAAGCCCGTACAAAATGGCCCTTCTCGCAATTTTAGTTTACCTCTAGCCTGATATCAAAGAAGCTGTAAATTCTTATGTGCAGACCCAATACCTGAAAATCGAATCAAAATACACTAAAACATAACAGGAAGAAGAGACCTTCAAATCGGAAGGAAGGAGACTTACGCCTTGGGAAGGTCAGAGGCGTCATTCAGGAGAGTCATGGCTGCCTGGACCATGGCTATGGGGGTCGCCACGTAGCCAGCCTCTGGAAAACAGGTGGCCAAGGAGAAGCAAGCGTTGGTCAAGGCTGCACTCCGCCACACCCGACAACCGGACAGCAGGTTGTATGTCAAACTCTAGGTATGTGGGGTTATTGCCATAAATACTGTTTGTGTAATACCCAAAATAACACTTATGTAGTACATATGACGGTCAGGAACTGTATTAAGTGCTTTAAATTTACTAACCTCATTTAACTCTCCTAGCAATTACATGAGGTTGGCACTACTTTGACCCCCATTTTACAGATTAGGAAACCGAGGCACAGACAGGTTAAGGGACCAGCCCGCACTCGCACCGTCAGCCAGCGGCCGAGCCAGAAGTGCACGCGGGCCACTCCTACTGCACCCGGTTTCTCCATGAACACGCCACACTTCCCTTCAGGAAAGACTCAATTTCTCAAAGAGAAATGCTGAGTAACTTTAAAGGAAGTCTAATTTCAAGACAAAATAACTTGAAAGTGGGACAGTAGTGTTTACACGTCTGTCAAATAATAAAAACAGCCAACTGCCCTGGCTGGCGTAGCTCAGTGGATTGAGCGCGGGCCTGTGAACCAGTGTATCGAGGTTCGATTCCCAGTCAGGGCACATGCCTGGGTTGCAGGCCAGTTCCCAGCAGGGGATGCATGAGAGGCAACCATACATTGATATTTCTCTCCCACTCTTTCTCCTTCCCTTCCCCTCTCTAGAAAAATAAATAAATTAAAAAAAAAAAAAAACAGCCAACTTATCTTAATAACCTAGATGGAAATTTGAAAACAAAACAAGATATAAAGACATCTTTGCCATCTCACTTGATAAAAACTGCAGAACAAATCCCTGGTAACCTATCAGGGATAACAGTTACTGAACTAATATTATAATTTCACCAGTGGGACTGTCTGTATAGTTCTTTAAAATTTACAGCAAAAGTTCTACAACTTTTTTGGATGACAGTTCCTTTTAACAACCTATCAAAAGCTTTCACCCTCTGCAGAAAAATGCACAAGTCACACCCATTCTATAGACAATGTCAGGGTCAGCACAGCCTCCAAAGAAACCCTGGATCAGATGGATCAATATCAATATTAAAATCTGCATTAGGAACTACTGAAACATACCAAAAAAGAAAAACGGAGGGAGGAATACACCAATAAATTGAACCCTTCTTTTGACAGAATCATGTATCGGTAATACTTAAATAAACTGTGCGCATGCATCTGTAAACCAGAAACGCTTTGAAAAGAACAGCATCCCCCTTACAGTCTCAGACAACGTGCAAGTCCCCAGCGACCTAAGTCCTCGGTGAGATACCTGGTCCTTTCACCTGAGTACAGATTCTGACGTTGGGTTTGCTCGTGTCGGGACTAGAGCCTTGGCTGTATCCTTGACCAAAGAACGTCATTGTAAATGATGAGGCATCCATCTGAGAAAAAGAAAGCAAGGAGTTTATTTAAGAAACATGTCCTTTCCTCCTGAACGCAATCTAACCCACTATTCTACTTCATAGGAGACATTTTCACCTGACAAAAACATCAATTTTCTAGCTACCAGAATATCCTGTTATCCTTTAATCCTTTGAAGAGGTGAGTCTTTTTTTTAACTGATGTGTTTTTCCAGTTCCTTACCCTGCATTTCAGAGCCCAGGTGGCAGAACCACAGGAGACACCTCTCTGAGAGAGTGGGAGAGGGGTGAGGGAGGAGTGATGGCGATGGTCCAAGGACGGAAGTCTGGGGGGCGGACCCCAGAGGACCCCGGTTCCACAAGTAAAGTGAGACTACTGCGGGGGGGGGGGGGGGGCTCGCAGATTTGAGAACAGCCCGAGGGCAGATGCAGAGATGACTACTGAGAAGTAAAGGCTCTGCAGGCGGCGTTCGAAGCTCCAGTGAGGGGACGAGTGAACGTGGGGTGCTGTCTTCCTCTCCGCAGTGGGACTCCCACCCCGCCCGCCCCCCGGCAGTGCCCGGTGTAAAGGAGATGAAGGCAAACTGGCCCAAGGCCTGAGCTGGGGTCTGAAAACCAAATCGTCCAAAAGGAAGGCACAGGGTCAAGAATATTCAACGAATGGTAATTCCATTTATCTACCCCGGGGAGCCAGGGCATGCAGAGGGGGAAGGGAAGCCTGAAGAGAGGGGACCAGAGGAGGGGAAAGGAGACAACAAAGGAGGAGGGAAAAGAGTAAAAATAACTGAAATCTCAATGAAACAGAGAATACAATGAATGGAGCCAGATGGCTGAGTTCTCACTCCGACTTGGCTGTTTATTCACTACAGGACTTTGGGCAAGTTTTTTAACCTCGCCGTGCCTCAAGTGTCCTCATCTGTAAAATGGAGATAATACCCACTTCTCGAGGTGTTTGAAAAAACTAAGGAATCTAGTTTATGCAAAGAATGTCAGAGAGTGTCTGACGCACAGGAAGTACCATGAAGTCTCAGCTGTCACTGTCACTGCACTGAGGAAAAGTAAAAACCAAGTAAAGAAAAATACCACTTTAGAGACCTGGACACAGAAGAATGAGTTACCTGTTTTTGTGTTGGACCGTGTTTTGAAAAATAACCGAAGGAGAAGAGCCATGGGAACTAAAGGGGGAAAAAAAGAAACCCCTCAGTGATATTCTTTTAAAACTCATAGCAAATACTTTTAGGTCTAATTTCATAAAAATATTACTTACTTTTATGAGAAGTTGCCTTCCAATGCCAAACTTCACAAAGAACAAAAAGAAAAGCCCCGCAAACATCAGCTTCACGACAGAGGAGAGGCCCCCCACCGTCACGTACGCGGCGTACTGCACCTGGGGAAAGGCAGCAGGTCAGAGTGCCGCCCTGCTTTCTTAGGCCAAGCAACGTAAGAGCGTTAGCTGCTCATAGCTTACTCTGCGGCCATAAACACCGAACAGAAGCAGTGTCGGCTACACAAATATGTTAGGTTCTGAAAACTTGTTCAGAAACCAGACAACAGGAGCATACTTTTAAAAGAAATTGCTGCAAATAGTATTTAGCTTTCTCACTTGAACACAAAAGTCCACATAATCCATAAGTAAAAAGTTCAGTAATAGCCCTGGGCTGGTGTGGCTCAGTGGATTGAGTGCCGGCCTGTGAACCAAAGGTCACCAGTTTGATTCCCAGTCAGGGCACATGCCTGGGTTGCGGGCCAGGTCCCCAGTAGGGGGCGTGTGAGAGGCAACCACACATTGGTTTATCTCTCCCTCTTTCATCTTCCCTTCCAACTCTCTCTAAAAATAAATAAATAAAATCTTTACTAAGAAGTTGAATAGTATACCTGAATTTAGCAATTATACATTATAGAATGTAGACTACATTTATAATCTCTTTTGTAAAACAATATTCTTATCTTGTAACTTGAGATGGCTTCCTCTTCAAGTCTCAGCTGAGGGAGCAATCGTGTACATCCCTCAAGAACAGGAGGAGTGTTCTAGCAGCTGCAACTCTGAACAGGGACTGCCGGGTGCTCATGACCAGGGTCTCCTGCACTGAACTGGTGCTGTGGTCTTACGTGACAGAGGTACTCAGCGGGCCAGACGTGAATTACAAGGGAGGGTGCTGTACACTACCGATTCTGAATACTTCCAGAAACAGAAGCACACATTATTTAGCTTCTTTTTCCTTTACAAACCTAAAAGTCCTAGTCAAACTATAGGGGAAGTATAACAAACACAGAATACTCTTTATTAAAAAATAAATCATATAGCCCTGGCTGGTGTAGCTCAGTGCATTGAGCGCAGGTCTGCAAACCAGAGGATAGCGGTTCAATTCCCAGTCAGGGCACATGCCTGGGTTGCAAGTGAGTTCCCTGCAGGCCAGTTCCCAGCAGGCGATGCACTAGAGGTGACCATACATTGATGTTTCTCTCCCTCTCTCCTGCCCCTCTAAAGATAAATAAATAAATATTTTTTAAAATAAATAAATAAATAAATAAATCATATACACTTACAGGCGACTGCTCTAAATTTTCATGCAAGTAACGCTGTGTTCGCTTCACAACAGACACGTCTGATCCCACAAAAGGAATGGAGTAGCTGCCGAGCTCCCTGCAGTAGGACACCAGCCACCTGCAAGACAGACCTTGCTGCACGTTCTCCACTTACAGTGACCGCAGTTCTAACAGGCACGCTTCTGGGCAACAACGTTAGCTTTGCCTGAGGCAGTAACAACAGTGAAGACGGCAGATCCACTCTTGATTACTATTTCAGTATTTGTCCCCTGTTCTTGACACCGACACCCAAACAAGTGACGGGTGAACGGAGCAGAATTCCGCACACCAGGGGCACTAAATGCTTGACTGTGTGTTACCCATCGATTTCACTGGCCGGTGATTTAAAAAACCACTCATTTCAACAGCTCAACTCTGAGGTTAGCATTCTTACATATAAATGTTATTAACGTTTTGATTGATCTACATGAGATCATCGCACTTTAAGTGGATGCTTTTATTGCACAAAATTGATGTTTAATGTTCATGTTGATAGTGAAAAGTAACAAAATCCATTTTCCAAGGGTACAAATGTATTATTATATATGAAAGTACTTAAGCTTAGGATAATGTAATAAATATTACTTATTTACCTTTGAAAACAATTCTGGATTTACTACAAAACAGTCTCCAGGCCCTTCTTACTAGCATACCTTATTAAGTCAGATCAACACAAAATACTTAGACCGGATATGCTAAGGAACAGGTTTTGAATTAATATACCTTCTTTTCAATTTTGGACCAACAATTGGGACGGGTTTCAGATTTGCCTGTTTTCGTAGCTTCGTCAAGTTCCTCCTGTTTGCGAAACCATAGACCGCGGACTTCCAGGTGGTATCGTGAATGCACGGTCCCTGATAAAGCAGGTCAACAGTTAAAGACAAGTCTTGAGAGACACTGAAAAGCAAAGTTGAGTAGGAGATCATCGGCGCAAAGAACATTTTACCCAAATTTACGCAGGGCACACTCTCTCTTATTTCATAATTTTGAAATGAATTTCCGTGACTAGCTGGGCAACGATAACACTCGGCAGTCTGGTCATGTCCAATATTTGCACCAACAAGCGCCCTTTCTCCTTCCCTCCTACCGTTACCTATGCTCTTTTCAATAACCATTGCATTTCTCTTCATTTTCAGTCAACTAATTGATCATACACGGTCTGTGTGGGAAACCTCCAGCCATTGTGAATATCACAAGAACGGTTTGCACAACATCAGTGTAACCTGGCGGCCAAGGGGAGTGGACTGGGATGCACATGCACGAACAATGCTGACTACACTGCACTAGTCAGTGGGGGCGGTAGATGCCGCTGAGTGCGCATGTGCACTGTGTGGCTGTCACATTCAAAACGACTGAGTGAGGAGAGCAATGAATCTGCGTCAAACTGTGTATTAAGCTTGACCATTCCTCCACAGACACTATCCGGATGACGTAGAAGGCTTTCAGGGAAGCCTGAGCTTTGGCTCACAATTTAGAATTGACTTGGGAGTTGTACACCAACACAAAAAGGAACACATGAAAACCTATTTGGGATACTGATTGAAACGACAGACTCTGGAGCCGAGGAGGAACATGATGTGAGTGACGTTTTGAAAGGACCGTCCTGGCTGTTATGTTGAGAACAGACTGTCCAGGAAAAGGAGGCAGCAAGAGGAGTGGTGAACAGTGGTCAGATTTGGACATATTTTTAAGGCAGAGTCAAAAGGATTTCTCAAGAGACCAGATATAATTTCTAGGAGAGGAGACAACAGTGACTCCACTGTTTGGCCGGAACACTAGGAAGGACACATCACTATCACCTGACACTGGCCCAGCTGTGGAGATGTCTACCAAGTGTTTGAGTGGGGATGTCCACTGGGCAATTAGATATCCAGTCTAAAGTGGAGGAAAAAGGTCTGGGTTGAAGACATAAACTTGGAGTATAGTTCTTAATGCACAAATATAGAGATTTTCTTTCTTTTTTTTTTTTCTTTTATCCTCACCAAGTACATGCTCACGGATTCTTGAGAGAGGGGAAGGGAGGAAGAGAGAGAGGGAGGGAAACATGGATGGGTTGCCTCTCATATGCACCCCACCAGGGACCGAACCTACAATCTAGGCAGGGCTCTGACCACGCGACCTTTCAGTTTACAGGACAATGCTCCTTGGTTGGCCAGGGTTCCTGCTGCTTTCAAAACATGCCTCCATTCTAGCTCTATCAATTTTCTCACTGTCTCCTGTAGTCAACAATTTTTGTCAGTCCTGCAGTAACTCCCCACAACCTGTACCCTATCTTCTGCTTATAAAACCCCCTTTCCTCTTTGGTACTTGTTCCCTGTTGTGTAGGTGGACTTGACCTTGTGATCCTACCTCTAGAGGCCCATGACCCAGGCCCGGGAAATCTTCTCGCTTCATCACTCCAGGTCGCACTGACTGGTTCAAGAATGGCCAATGACCCACTGCGTGACTAACCTTCCCTATCACTTAACATATAAACTGGTAGCTGTTTCTGGGAAATCATGAACCTTAACAATGAGCATCAGGGGCTGCCAGCAGCTTCCCGGCCATGCTGAGAGCCTACACAGAGGAACAGAGAAGAAATGAAAGAGACGGAAAGAGGGAGGAGAAAATAAAGAGCTCTGATAATTTCACATCGAGACCCAATCACACTACTCACTTGTAGACATTTAGTCACGCAAGCCCAGAAACCCCTTCCCGTTTTGTCGGTTTAACGGGGTTTAGTTGGGTTTCTGACACATACTACCCAGAGCTCCGAGCACGCCTTTCATCCTTATTTCTGAGTCTTTGGTCAGGTTGCTGCCTCTGACCTTCCAAATGCTATCCACATTTTAAGGCAAAATGTAGTTAAGGCCTCTGTGAGGCCTTCCTGAATTTATTACTCAGGCCCATTCTCCCTTCCCTTTAGTCTGATTGTCTGGTGTATACTCTCTGTAACCACAGATTTCAGCATGTTTTATATAGTTCTTTGTGTTCATTGATCTGAATCCACACTCCAGGTGAACAGAACCATGACGTTTAATTAACGGGCTCTGCACCATCCCACAGTTGTCTTCATCACACGATTTCCTCTCCCTCATCCACAGCTCTGCAGCACCAACCTTTATAACTCGGTCCACATCCTGGCTTCTCCAAAGACTCTCGATCTCTGGCCTCCCAGCTATGTCCACTCTCCATTCTCAGAATCCCACTGTATTTGATCTGAGCACTCTGATAACACTTCCTGCCAGGCTACATCAGCTCTTTGAGGGCAGGGTTTGCATCCTATTCATTCATGTGTCACACTACCCTGAACTTGAACTACGCAGACTTGCACCACGCAGAGCACTTGTTGGATGAATATTCTTAAAAGAGAACAAACACTTAGGAAGCCTCAAGTAAAGACACAGAATTGGGTTAGGCAGCACTGGCAATAACAGCACTATCGTAAAACACGTTTTTTTCCCCCAGAAATGCAACTACCTTATGTTCCAAAATAGACTGTCAACTCAGTAAGATTACATTGACATCACACATCCCCTGCAGGGACATAAGAGCACCTAGCTGTCAGCCAGGCACACGACAGAAACGTGCCAACTCTACACCGAGGTGGTGACTCTCTGAGCTGACATCTGTCGCACAGCAATGACAAAACTTCAGTTAGGGTCACGGTGACTCATTCCAATATAACCAACTGTTCAGTTGTCTTCAAAGTAGAATAGTGTGGGAAATGTAGAAGCTAAAGAACTTATGACACATGGACATGAACTAAAGGGGGAAATGTGGGTGGGAGGGGGTGTGCAGGGAGGAGGGGAATGAAGGGGGGAGAATGGGACAACTGTAACAGCATAATCAATAAAATATATTTAAAAATAAATAAAAGAAAAAAGTAGATTTTATTCTTAAGTCGAAGGACTTCTCAGCAATCTAGTATCTTCATTTTTAAAAATTAAAAACAGTGGCTTTCATACACTAAAAATTACAAATAAATATTTTTTAAGAGGCATATATCATTTCCAAAATGTTTTCAATATTAACTTAGAAAACACTTGACAAATAGAAAAACTAACCTCGGGTCCTGAATGTATGGTCAGGAAACTTTCCACTGCGGTCAAAGTACCTACAAGAGTAGAAAAACAGTCAAAGTAAAATCAAACAGAATCCACTAAGCCAGGACAAGTAACAATGAGCTATTTCCCTCCATTTAGAGACTGCTTTTTACTAAGGCTACTAATGAATAGTCAGGAAGTCAGTACTGGTAAGTTTTATTATGTTTTTGGAAACAGTTTTAAGCAGCAGTGGAAGCCAGGTGAATTGTCAGGAAGAGTAGTTCAGCATCAGCTCTAACTGCTAGAACTAATAAAATATTTTCTAGCATTCAGACTCACGCTAAAAAATCTCTTCCAGTATGGCAACAATTTTGCTCTCTTGTTCTGGAAGGCCAGCGGGACATAGTTATCAAGATTATGTCTTGTGGCTCAGTGGATTGAGCGCGGGCCTGTGAACCAGACAATCGCAGTTCGATTCCCAGTCAGGGCATATGCCGGGGTTGCACGCCAATTCCCAGCAGGGGACGCACGAAAGGTATCCATACATTGATGTTTCTCTCTCTGTCTCCTTCCCTTCCCCTCTAAAGATAAATAAATAAAATCTTTAAAAAAAAAAAAGATTATGTCTATGGGAATTAATCAGTTTTCCAATACGACAACTCTGAAGGATACTTATTCATAGTTCTATACACTGGATGTACAGAAAATCTATCAAAAATGGCCTTTGTGATGGCTTGTAAAATACTTAAAATAAGGCTGTTCAAATGAAATAAAAATATAAGTGTAAAATAAAAACAGAAAACCCAAACCAGAAAAGGTCAGAAACCAACTAAATTAACCATGAGGACTAGTATATAGGTATAGTGACTAAGTTTTTAATTAATCTCTGAAATTCTCCAGAGCAGTAAGAGAAGAGAAACACATAGTGGGATGGTTAATTCTCAAAAACCCGATAAAATGACATATATCAATCCAATCTCGTAAGAGATGTTTAATCCCAAGAGGAGAGCAAAGCATGGGCGCTCAGCAAAGTCGACAGTGAGCGAAACGATGGCGCACCGTGTCAGCAACAGCGTTAAGGGGACTGCAGCCACCTAAGCACCACTGGTCCGACCACTGACACAAACTACAAACAGGTCATCGCGGCAGCTCTCTCTGGAGATGGTTCGAAGGGCTGATACGAGAGCTGGGCCAGAAACCTGGCTCTGCGACCAAGCCCACACCGAGGACAGGATAGAGCCCTCTAACTTGGTGTGCGGTAAAACCTGGACCATCTGCACCAAAAGGCAGCTCGGGTAATTGTTACGCAGCTGACTCCCAGGGTTTAGTATCTGAAAAGAGTTTTGAAGCAAAACTTGAAGTATTATTTCTCCCTTATAAAGAAAAAACAAGCCCTGACTGGTGTGGCTCAGTGGGCTGGGCATCGGCCCACAAACTGATTCCCAGTCGGGGCACAGGCCTGGGGGTGCACGCCAGGTCTCCGGTTGGGGGCGCGCAAGAGGCAACGGGTTGATGTTTGCCTCTCACATCAATGTTTCTCTCCTCTTTCTCCCTCCCTTACCCTCTCTCTAAAAAATAGATAAATAAATAAATCTTTTAAAAAAATGACCTATTTAAAGTAACAAAAAAAATTTAAACGTCTGGGAATAAGCTCAACGTGAAATACGTAGGACTATCATATGTAGGACTATCGTGAAGAAAACATCTAAACTCTGCAGCCTTAAGAGACTTGTTTATAGAAATAGAGATAGACCAGGTGTACGATTGAAAGACTGTTTCAAAGATGCTCAGTTCGTGGATTTCATTTCACTGGGAGTGGTTCCAGTGTTGCACCATTAAGTGTGAGGTTGGTTACTGCTCTCCGACATTTATTATGTTAAGAAAGTATTCTATTCTTCACTTCTAAAACTTTGAAATCAACAAATGCCATGAAGTTTCAAATCTCTTATTGAGATGGCATATAGTATTCACCTCTGGTAGTCTGATGTGATGATAATGTAACTTCCTAATACACCTTGGCCTTGATATAGTATTCTTTTAAAATTGCCATCTTATTATCATTTTATTTAGGGTTTTACAACAAGCACAAAACATGTTTTAACATTACCCATTTAAACTTGTTTCTTTTCCCAACCTGATTTCAGTTCAATACAACTGCAAATAAGCAAATATGAAGCCCTTCTACTGTTAAGTTCAATTACTGCTGATTGACAATTACCATTAATTTTATTGCTCATATATATTACTCCCAGATCTGCCGGAATGGAGTCAAAGCCACTGCTTCCAATGATGTAAACCCCTTTTTCCGCAGCCTTCTCGTGGTACTTCCAATGCATTAGTTCCAGAAACTGAAAAAATTCAGGACAAAAGATCTGATCAGAGCTCCGCAGAAGCACCCCACCGGTACGACATGGTCAGAGACAAGCCCGGTGCAGTGTGGGAGCGCCGACCAGTGCGGCTCTGTGGCACCGCGGGAACCGTCAGGATGGTCTGCGCTCATTTAGCCAACGTCCACCACATGTGCCGGGTGCTGGTCTGACTTAGGGACACTACCACGCTACTGTCTTCGAATGTCTCGGAAAGGCAAAAGTACGACTTCTCATAAAAATACCTATCAGTACAGAGAAATACAAAGAAAGCCAAAAAAGTTCCCCTAAATCACATTGTCCAGACATCATTACAGACCTGTATCTACACGTATGTTGTTAAAATTAATAAAACAAAACCCACACATTATCATTAACATTATTAGTCCGTTCTTTATTCAGGACATTTTACCTAATGTCCTTCTTCTGTCTGTTTCAGGACTACGTCCAAGAGACCACGTTCCATTTACTGTCACGTCTCCTTAAATGCCTTCTGAGGGTGACAGTCTCTCAGACACTCCTTGTTTTGGATGACCTTGACAGTTTTGAGGAGCATTGGTCAGGCACCTTGTAGAATGCCCCTCTATTGGGGTTCATCACATGTTGTTCTCATGATGAGACCAGGGCCACAGGTATTGGGAAGGAAGGCCACAGGGACACAGAAAGCCGTGACACCTCAACATTGCACTACACGGTCTATCCCTGTTGCTGGCCTTAAATACCTGGCCGAGAAGCTGTTTTCCGGGTTTCTCCACTCGGAAGTGACTCCCCTCTCCCCTGCTTCCTGCACCGCACCCTGCGGGGGGGGACTCCGAGGTGCACACTCGGGCACGGGGGGCAAGCCCCCAGTCCTGGAGGCCAGAGAGCTCCCCAGATTATCTGGAATTCTCCTGCACAGATTTGTCTCCTCATCCTTCTGCCTCTTTTAATGGGATTATCTGAGCTTATATGATGACTTGTAAGAGTTCTTTATAAATTCTGGATCTCTGCTAGGTTTTGGTTATTACTTTTATGGTAGTCTATAAGTTCCTCACCATTTTCTCTGCTCTTTCCCTATCTTAACTAAAATAGGAATTGGTTTTTGTTTCATTCATGTTTCCTCACTCTTCGTGAATAAATTTTGGTAACTGACACTTTCCTAGTAGTTTCCAATGCGTCATCAATGGATAAACTCTGAGTAGTACTTTACTGGCGCACTGATGGGAGAGGTCAGTGACCACAGGGACATTCGCGGTGGTGGTTTTGAAGGAGGCGGCGCAGCTCGGTGCCACTAACACACCACTTCCTCGGCCGGGCAACCCTCAGTTCAAGCCCCAGTTTTTCTACTTACTGGTTGCATGACTTTGAGGACAAGTTTCTTAGCCTTTCCAAGCTTCGATTTCCTCATCGTCAAACAGAGAAAAAGATGATGCCTACTCTACAGGAATGTTAGAAAAGTTACACAACACGCCTAGTTAGCGCACTGCGAGGCGCGTGGCCAGCATTCAATGAAGGTGAACGTAGAAAATTTTCTAGGTCGAAGAGATTTTTATGTTTATTTTTCTGTAATGTTGTAAAGATGTCTGATTTTGAACAGGGGATTTATGATGAAAGTTACAAAAATAAGATTCTGAGAGTTACTTGTAGTACACTATTTGAATTAATTTGGTTTATGGCATGCAGTGGCATAAAAAAGTCAGCGTGCCTTACACACAGAGGACTTGAAACACATGAGAGCGCGTGGGAGAAGAACACGCGAGAACACCGAAGCCGAGGTCTCACCCTCATGTGCTCCTGGAAGCCGTCGACGGGCCGCTCCAGCAGCGAGCAGACGTCAGCCTCTAAAATGTCCGTGACACTGCACTCGGTGTTTTCCACGTCAGCAGCAAACCGTGCTGTTTTCTGTCCTCCTTCCCTTTTTACTTACCTGAGGCTCTCCACAGATGTCAACACAGCTGGCTCCATTTTCCACACAGGCTTTTACTACAGGTTCTCCATAAAATTGATACTGGGGAGTAAAGAAAACCGTTCAGCAAGCTTAAAAGAATGAAATACCACTCGGTTTTGGAAGTACTGTCTTGGTTACTAAGAAATCAAATATTAATAAAGTAGCCTAAAGATCGACTGAGAAAATAATGTAACTGTACTACACCGACTCTCACAGGAATGAATCACAGAGAAACGTGTCCTTACCTTTGAGGACAAAATGGGACGTTTTACACAAGTGATTCATTTGAGCTAAATTCTGAAGAGTAAGGATTTGCTTAAAAAAAAAATCCAGATAAAGGACAAAGCATATGCAAAGGTGTGAGAAAGGGGGCTGCCCAGGCAACCTGAAGCACAGGGTAGTTGAGAGGGCAGCTGTAAGCGATGAGTCGACAAAACTACTTACAACACAGGAGGAAGGACCCTGATTGCCACGCTATCATCGCTGAATTGTATCTGTTCTGACAGCTTCTACTTTCGTAATAAAAAAAAGTAGTAACAATAATCCCACAGACATGGACAACAGTGTGGTGAGTCGGGATGACGGGGGTAAACGGTAATGGGAAAAAATACAACAAAATAACAAACCAAAAACAAAAGTAATGATAACAGTGAAAAAACAAAACCCATACACAGACGACAGTGCGGTGATGTCCAGGGGGAAAGGGGGATGGGGGCAGAAGAGGGTGAAGGGAGGATAAAGGGGGAGGAAGGAGACTTGACTTGGGGTGGCGAGCACACAATACAGATGATGCGGCAGAGAGATGTGCACTCGAAACTTACACAACTTTATTAACCAGTGTCACCCCAATAACTGAAATAAAATAAAATAAAAGTCACCATGTAACAGTGAGAAAAAAGAGAGGATGCTAAAAGTGTGAGGAAAAAGAAGTTGTAAAGCTGCTGCTTCTGAGTGGGAGAGAGGACAGCAGCCTAGGGGAATGGAGCAGCCCCGCAGGGGGTGTATAACCCCAAACTTGACCGGTCTGCGTGGGGATGCACTTTTCTCCGGCCATGCCAGGCTGCTCGCGTTCCCGTAAAGAGCAAGCAGAGAGCTGGAATAGCCAGGACTGGGTTCTCCCCAGAGTCCTGGGGCGGGGAGGGCGAAGGAGCTGGCTGAGGGCGTATCTTTTAGAGTAATTCAAGCAAAGGACCGCAGAATCTAAGCTAGTTAAGAATGAGGTAAATCTAAATAAACAATCATTTAAACACATTTTTACTTGGTAACAATCCCAAAACCTTCCTGCTTTCACGTTTTAAATGACCAACCGTTTTCCAGATGCTTCGTGTTCAAACGTCTTGCTCGTAGGTGCTCTGGCACCTACGGCTTCCTCAGACCGGGAAAGGTCGCCCACACTCACTGTCACATGGGCCAGAAACGTCTCTTTCACACCCAGTAGGTGCCAGAGCAATAGCTGGGGGCTGTCCTTTCAAAACACGGACTCGCCCACTGCTCACGCCTCTGCTACTCCCCTGCCATCTGTGTTTCCTCTCGGAAGTGGACCCCTCGTTTCCAGCCATCCAATGACTCATCACATTTAGAAGAAAATCCAAACCCTGACCTGTCCAACCCTACGACCCCTGGGTACCTCCCCCCTCCCCTGCCCACCCCTCTGCCCTGCTCATGGCCCAGCCACAATGGCCCCTCTCACATTCTTCAGTCTAGCCATGTACATGCTCACCTTGGGACCTCTGCACCTGCCTCAGGACCTTTGCACCTGCTCTTCCCTGGGCCGCCTTCCTCCTCAAACCTCATGTGCTTTACTCCCTCGCTTCTCAGGTCCCCAGGTAAATGTCAGCTCGTCACAGAGACCTTCCCTGACCATGCACTGACTAGAGGCTGATGTGTCCATCTCCTTACTCTGCTTTCTTTTTCTTCAAAGCACCTGTCACTGCCTAGTGATATAACCTTGTTTCTTTGTCTGCCTCTCTGGGCTGTAAGCTCCATGAGAGATTCTATCTTGTTCACCATTATGTCCCAGGTACCTAGACTAATGCAGATCACATATAGGGGTGGATAAAAAGTAGGTTTACAGCTGACAGTTCACAAAACAGTTTATTCTCATATTACTAATTTATTATCGTAAACCTACTTTGCCTGCTCCTGTATAGCAAATATTCAATAAATACTGAATAAGTGAACAAGTCCTTTTCTAATCTCTATTTTTGTGCATTTTTTAACAAACATATTTGCACAGTAATACAGAAAAATAATTTACAAGTAAATAAAAAGCATGTTAGGGGTACATGCTCAAATTTTTTTAAATAAGGGGCATACAGTAAAGGGAAAAAAAGCTTGGCAATTATAGCAGGGAATAAAACAAAGCAACAAGCCAGCACAGCTGCTGAGTCTGGGTTTAGAGGATCTGACACTCTCTCCCTCAGGCGATTTTGGTCAAACCCAATTTGCTAATCACAAGAAGGGAAAACCCCGTAGAGGGTGAAGGCCCCAAACGAACTGTTCTGTCCCCTACTCCATGTTCCTCTGGAACATAAAATACGAGATTCTGCTGGAGATGAAAAGATTGTTTGTTCCAATACAAAGGGCTGACTACTTACTGGTCCTACGCAATTGAGGACAACTGTTGCCTGTTTGGCCATTTCATCAAGTGAGGCTGGATTACTAACATCACAAACTATGATTTCAACTTCAGATGACAGAGTTGGTCTTCCTGAAATAAGAAGGAAATCATTTTAAGTGAATCCCGATACAGTGTTAGACCTTCCAGATCTCCTATTTATAGTAACCAGGGACAGCAAAATCCCAAAAGCTAGCCTTCCCTCTCAAACAGAAGAGAAAACTGTTTTTAATCAGGTAATAAATAAAGAAAAAGGTTATGAGGAAAATGGAACTAATACTAAGGGTGATTAAAAACATTATTAACCTTAAAAAAACTCACAAAAGTAATGTCTAAATGACAACTTTACAATCATTTAGACTCTGAATAGATTGTCTAGACTTCCTCTCTGCCAAGAATTATATTATAAAAAGTTTCTCGACAACTACTAAACAATTACATGATGATAAAATTATGTGGGGAAAGGTGAGTTGGTAATATCAACATAAAGAGAAGAGGACTCAGGAGGAGTCTAGGTAAGAGCACCAAGGCTCACGAAATGGAAATAACTGGAATTCACTGGATCAAGAGAATAATGCAGGTTTTGATAGGCCAAGGTGTACTCCCCAGGATAACCTGATCTGGGTATATTACTGTACAAAAGGCACGTAACTAGGTTATGTCTGGAAAAAGGAATGGAAGTATGTATTTTTAACAGTGGAGTTATTTCTTTTGGAAAAGTAAAGAAAGGCCAAAAAGTCCTTTGGTCAAGATCCTACATGGGTCGTAGCAGCGCGGAGACTTGGAGGAGAATCCAGCCTCCGCGGGGTATTTCGTGCACAAAACCACCAACGAAATAGACGCTACGTCCCCACCAGAAACAGAACTCTGTGTGGAATGATGGGGAAGTGAGATGAAAACTGAACCGAGGAATCTAGTATCCCCAGAACTCTCACAGGTGCTATCTGCCTGCCTCAGGGGACACAAGGGTGGAAAAAGCCAATTTAAAGGCCACTGAGTCTTAAATCGGAGATCTCCGCCACCAGGAGGGTAAGGTCCGTGTGTCTGTCTCCCTCCCCGACATCTGCAGCCTGGCACTGGGAACTAGACCTGGTCTAGAGACGACCACTCAATACAGATCCGTGAAATGGAGGCTAAAAGGACACGCAAACGCCCAAACCAGAAATCAAACTTTGCGGTGAGGGGTGGGAGGTGGGTAAATAAAGACTAAGCTTGCTGGAGGATTCTTAACGAGAAAAAAAAAATTTTTTTTAAGCCACAACCAAGTCCGCAGTACAACTGTTAAGCTTTCTCTCCCGCCTCCAAAACCCGAGACGGAGAGTTACAACCAAGAAACCAATGGTGTACTTTTCTACGCGGCCAAATACCGAGAAACCTCCAGTTGCACCTGATACCCGTGCTCTAGAGTGAGACGGAACAAAAACCAAAAGCTGTCGACTATCTCGCCAGTGGGGCTCCCCAAACTTAGGGAGAAATTCAAAAGGTGGAAAGAAATTTTATTTTGAACGTGGGGAGTAAAACAAAGCCACGACACTAAACGAAGCAACGCTGTCCTCCGCCGGTCCTCCAGCAGAGCTCCGGGAGCCCCTGCGCCACTCCCGACGGGGAGCCGCTCTGTCCAGGCGACTGGCGCCCCCAGCCGGGCGAAGGGGCCCGGGCAGCGTCGGCGCCCGCCCCGCCGCGCCCCCTTTACCCAGCTTCAGGGCAGCCCTCTCCAGCACTTGCTGCAGCTTCTCCCGGGAACGGCCCGCTACGGCCCAGGGCAGGAGGGAGCCCCCCTGCGCGACCGCCTGCTCCCGGGCCACCTCCTCGGTCACGAACTGGCCGGTGAAACCAGAGGCGCCGAACACCACCAGGTGGTAAGGCCTCCACTTGGTCGCCATGACGAGCTCACAGCCAGCAGAGGCCCCGGGCGGGCTGCATCCACCGCGCCTGCGCTTCCGGCAGCGACCCCAGTACCGGATGCAGCAACCGCCCCCGCCGCCGCCTGCATTCTGCGCTCCCTACGCCCTGCGCGCACGCCCCCGAGCCGGGCCACGCCCACAGCCACGCCCATGCCACTCCAAGCCGCTGTGCAGCGCAGCTGCTGCACCGAAGCCCCAGGGACGGCCTGGGGCTGTGGCCCCGCCTCCGGGCCTGGCAGGAGCTGAAGACCACCCACTTTCCCTGCCCTAGGTGGCCCCGCTCAGCGCTGACGCCCCTCCCGGAGGCCCGAGGAGGCGGTCCTTACTGGAGGCGGTTGCGCAAAGAAAAAATTTGAGAAAAACCTTCTGATGACGGAGGGGACCGCCCACTTCAAGGGCATCTTTTTGTATTCGAAGCGCGTTGGACAGGTGTGGGTTTGGGGTCCTCCGCGGGTCCTCTCAGCCCTGCCTGGGGCCCAGCTCTGCAGCGCCGCCAGCCCCTCACCCCACCCACCCACCACCTTGGTGCCGGAGCCCTCTGGGCCCCCAAGCCTTGGTCAGTGACACAGCTGTTAAAGATTGAGGCTCCGTGGGGAAATAACTCCCAGAGCTATCCTGCCATTTGAGCTGCGAAGTAAAATGAATAGTGGTTCAGGAAGTCCTTAAAATACAAAAGAAAGTTTCTTTTTTTTTGTTTTTAAATATATTTTATTGATTATGCTATTACAGTTGTTCTATTCCCCCCTTTATTCCCCTCCACCCTGCACACTCCCTCCCCCACCATTCCCCCCCCCCTTTAGTTTATGACCATGTGTCTCAGGTTCTTTAGATTCTATATTTCCCTTACTATTCTTACCCTCCCCCCTATCTATTTTCTATCTACTGTCTATGCTACTTATTTTCTGTACCTTCTCCTCCCTTCTCCTTCTTCCACTCCCCTGTTGCTAATCCTCCATGAGATCTTCATTTCTATGGTTCACTCCTGATCTAGCTGTCCTCTTAGTTTGCTTTTGTTTTAGGTGTGGTTGTTAATAACTGTGATTTTGCTGTCTTTTCACTGTTCTAGGAATGAATCCTTTTCATCCTTCTAGGATTCCCTCCTTCATTTTAATCTTGGCTAATATAATTATGATGTTCCTTGGTGTGTTCCTCCTCGGGTCCAACTTCTTTGGACCTCTCTGAGCTTCCTGGACTTCCTGGAAGTCTATTTCCTTTGTCAGATTGGGGAAGTTCTCCTTTATTATTTGTTCAAATAAGTTTTCCACTTGGGGCTGTTCCTCTTCCCCTTCTGGTACCCCTATAATTCGGATGTTGGAACGTTTAAAGATGTCCTGAAGGTTCCTAAGCCTCTCCTCATTTTTTTGAATTCTTGTTTCTTCATCCTTTTCTGTTTGGTCCTTTTTTTCCTCTTTCTGGTCCACTCCTTTGATTTGAGTCCTAGTTTCTTTTCCATTACTATTGGTTTCCTGTGTATTTCCCTTCATTTCAATTAATTTAGCCTTCATATGTTCCTCTAATTTGTGACTAAAATCGAGCAGTTCTGTGAGCATCCTGATCACCAGTGTTTTAAACTGTGCATCTGAAAGTTTGGCTATTTCTTCATTGCTTAAATTTATTGGCTCTGGGGCTCAGAGTTGTTCTTGAGCCATGTTTTTATCTGTTTGTGCCTGTTACGTATGAGGAGCGGAGCCTTAGGTGTTCACCAGGGTTAAGCTACCCAGGTTGCTGGTTTGTGACTCTGTATGTGGGGGCAGGGTCAGAGAGGGACAATGGCGATTCCCTCTGCTGCTTCCTGCCACTGGGGCCTGTGCGGTCTGTCTCACTGCTCGCTCCTTCACCGGTTTATCTGTGCACAAATGTGTGACCAAGGTCAGCCCTTAGTGGGTTGAAAGAAAGTTTCTTGACAGGTGCTATTCATATAGTCAACAACATTAATATAAACAAATGATTGAATACTAAATAGATAAATAAATGGGGGAAAGAGACAAATCTCCCAGTACAGAGCCTCCACCAGGAGAGTTTCTCTCTCCTTTGAATACAGGCTCTGCCTAGTGACTTGCTTTCGAACGGTAGAATATGCTAACAGGGGGGAGGGGATGAACCCACAGTCCAGAAACTTGGTAAACAACACTTCAGCTAAATAATCAAGGTGAATATCGTCTTTGATAAGCTGTGTTGATTGCACATAACATTGATATGATGTGATAAGAATGACACAATCTCTGCGGTCTTCCTCCCCAGAACTCATGGCCTCTGTCTATGGGGAATATTCTGCAAAATGCCTGACCAAGGTCAGACCACCAAGGTCACCAGAAGCAAGGAGAGTCTGAGAAACTGGCACAGACCAGAGGGGCCTAGCAGGACTAAATGTAATGTAGCAGCCCTGCGCAGAAAAAGGACATCGGAAAAAGTGGTAAAACCCGGAAGTGTAGAGTTTAATTAATAACAATGTCGGAAGCAGACAGTACCCAAGCATGCCATGCCAGACTTCTGACCTAAGATTCTTTTTTTTTTTTTGCCATACAAATATTCAATGAGTTCATCAGCATTTATTGAAATAAACAGATATATTTAAAATTTATTTAAAAATGTGACATTTGAAAAAAATGACAGGCTAATTGGGGGAACTCGAACACTAAATATTTGGTGCTGTTCCAGTGTTAATATTATTTTTCTTAGCTGTGAGAATGGTATTGTGGTTACATTTTTTAATTCTTATCTTTTAGAAATACACAGTAAGGTTTTTTTTTTTTACGGATAAAATAATATGATGTCTGGGATGACTTAAAAATAATGCAGGATACCTTTTGGTATCAAAAGTTAAAACATCTTTGCACCCTAACTATAGTGGTTATTTCTTCTAATCTGGATAAATTTGTCATGAACATTAAAATATTCTCAGGATGAGTAAGGGAAGTCATACGGCACATCTAATAATACATATTTAGCCATGTTGACTCTAGCTGACTACCCACCCACGTCTAGCTGGCAGACACACTCTTCCTGGTTTGCCATCTGTCTCCTGCACGTGTGAGCCTCCTGTCTACACGATGGGCGGTAACTCAGAATCATCAGGGAGACTGTGTTTTGGTTGCTTGAAGATGTTTCTCATTTCCGCCTTCCAAGAACATGAGCACACATAGGAGAAAACCGGGTGTGCTCTCATGTAGACCCAGGCTTGCCGTCGGCCCGCGGGCCATGTTTTTAGACTGTCTAACATTTATCTGACACTTAGGAACATTCCAGGAAATGCTGAGTTTCGCTGATTGTTAGACCTTTGTCTTTGCTCTCTCTCTCTCATCCATGCCCATACACAAATGTAAACTTTATTTCCAAAAGTTGTCATTAATTTTTTTCTATCGTTTCCATTTTCTCTGAATTCAAATAACCTTGTTTTTTCCAAGGTGTTTCCTAAATTCTAGTAAGAAAACAATCCACCATTACTGTAAACTGGAACATTTCAAACAATCAATGTTCTCTTTTGTTCAAACAAAAAATGTTCATAACCACAAATAAAGATGATACGACTTATCCAACAAAGGGATAGATACATTGGCCCATATATAAGGGCTGGGATTCTTAAATGAATGACAGTGTCGTAGTTGCCACTGTTGTTTTAGGAACACAAAACTCTTCCTATAAAAAGGAAATGTCTCATTTCACTAGCAATCAGCCTTATGGTGTGGATACTCTGACCTCTGTTCACACGCGTCTAAGCCCCATGCACTGTCCTTTAACACTGAGTTTCACTTCCAAGGCCTCTAATCTCTTTCGGGCAGTCAGCTTCTGTGAGAAATGGGCCTTGACCGCATTTCCCAGAGGTTTCCTCGGAAACAGCCCTGTTGCTGCCTGCTAGATGGTGGTCTTCGGTCTTCTTGCCCCAAAGCTGCAGGTTTTGATTGACAGCTGTGCTCTCAGGATGAAAGTACCCTGGGCATTCCCATAACAGGGCCTCCCACTGCTCTGGCTATAAATAGCGTCTCTGTGCACAGCGGCCTGGGCCTAAGCTGTGCTTGAGTCTTGAGTCTGAGTCACTCAGACAACACACCAAATCTGAGTTTCACCCTTTTCTGGAGACCATTCTCGTAAACATAAACATCGCCATCTTTAGACCAGCAGGAACATGTATCCAGTGTCAGAGTCTCGCTAGCTGAATTCCCCTTGTTTAAGTAAAGGACTCTTACAGGAGGCAGGAATACAACGTAGACACAAGCCACCATTGCCATTTACATTACAGATGCTTCTCCTGGGCCTGTCCATTTGTCACGCCACATGTGTCTGCGGCGGGACCCAGGGCGGCCTGCCGTGTCCTCAGCCCAGGGGGAAGGGAGTCTCCTAGCATTGTGAAACCCCTTCAGAACACTTAGTAATATCCCGCAAGCAATATTAACGCAGAAGAGGTTTGTTTGTCCTCTTTGTGCCTGTCTCTCTCAAGTACTGCGCCGTTCAGGGACACCTATGAGATTCTGGTCATCTAATTTGGAGGTTCAGATTTGCAGACAGTAAAAACCCCAAGTTAAAGGTGAGTAACTAAGCACTTTATTAGGGGAGAGCAAAGTGAAAGCAAGAATCAAGAGCACGAATCACCAGACGGGAGTTCGCCAGCACCCGAACACAGACGCTGGGGAATCCTGGAGACAGCATTCAGGGTCCGACCAGGAAAGTTTGGGGAGAGCATACCTATTATATTTTATTCTTACAATAAAGGTCACGGCTTGGGCATAAACAGGGGGGATTCTCAATGTCCCTTTTACCCGTCAAGCACCCACGATCGGGGAGTGTCTGGAATGCAGGAGTTTGTGGGAGGTGGAGCTGGAAAGGGTAGAGAGGAGAGAGAAGGGAAGGAAGAGGGGCTTCAGGTATCTCACCCCCCGCTCCACTGTGGTCTGAGCACAAGGTGGAAGGTTACCTACAGGGAACAGCAGAGAAATATTTGCATCATCATTTAGCCCTTGAGTGTGTCCTTGTCCATCGGCGGGTAAGAATGAGTTCTGAACATCCTGCCAGGAGTCTACGGGCTTAATAATAATGAGTAAGTGCCATTCTCCTTGGGGGACACCTTTCTATCAGACCTGTGTCCTGC